TTTACAATGTTTTGGAAATAGGTGAGGCTATGGTGGACAACCAAAGACGTTATTACCTGGTTTCATTTTACATTTATCCCTCTCATCTGAAAAGCAAATTGGAAGGATTATCATAATGAAGTCCTTAACTCTTGCAAAAAATGTATATGCCATGTCGTTTAGTTGTTTTCATTTCTTCAATGTCTGCTCATTCATCGACTGCTCATATATTGAGGGTCGAACTACATTAACTAATGTGACGAATTATTGTAAGTCAGTAAGTCGCGATAGTATATAAAGATACATAAAGACTGGGCCAAAACCACAATTTTTTTGCATGAAACAGAAACGTGAAAAAATGATATCTCAAGAAAGAAAAAGAAATTTCTTTAAATAAAGGTTTTCAGAAAACAAAAATTGACTTTACCTTTCCTCATGTCGTAGATAGCTTTGAAACCCGTACGCACCTCCTTGTTGTCAGATTTAAACACGACGAGCAAATTATTCGACGAAGATTCCAACATTGCAGGGTGCGTATGACCACAAAATCTGCCAAGCGAAGCAGAATATGTCGAATTGCCATCAAATACTTCAACATAATCATTTAAACATTGAGGTCCAGTCGCTTCCAGCTGAAAGTAAAAAAATTCAAGTCTAATCACGTGACCAAACGCAGCGGTGACGAGCCATTCACACCAACTGTCGTTTGCGTAATATCCTGGGTAGTAGGGTGACGTTATAACACCAGTTTTGTCTGTGAAGAGCTCCCTGCATGCTGAAGATGAATAATTTCAGAAAAGGTTTAGTACAGTAATGTTATAGTTCAATGTCATTTGTTTTTGAAAGAGTTGGCGTAGGAAGATGCAATTGTCAGAGAAGCAGAAAGTCCAAGGTGAGTGGCTTAGTAACTGCAATAAGACAAAATCTTATCCATATCTATTTCAGTGTAACAATATTATGTTATGGTTGGCAGCGCCCTTAGAAAAGATGAAGCGAGTTCTCTATTCTGATTGGCCACTCGAGCGGAAAGATTGGCCCATCTCGCCTACTCGGGATTGCCTCAAGATTTCGTCAAGCAGACTCACAAAAATCATATTGTTTTTGACGATGTCGCAAAAAGTGGCATGAGACAGTGAAAAGGGAGTAAACATAAATGAGTTCTCTGAGTTTATTGCTTCGCCATGAACAGGGAAATTAAAACACAATGTGAGATGAATTTCCCAGCGCTTAAAAATGGACAAATCATTCTTGATTCTGATTGAAACGAAATATTTTAGGTATATCATGAATCCTTTATTGACCAAGGTTATTAAGTCAAGGTGGCCGGAAAGTAGCATCCATCTTCCTTTGCCTTTATATGGACCTTGACTTTGTCTCTACCCATCAAAAACCCCAAATATGAACTCGGCCAATCTGTGGTCCAGCCATCTCGACCACACGGTTGGTAATTAATTCATGTATTTTTTGTTCGTTACCTCTCCTTGCAGCTGCTTCTGGCTCTGGGGAACAATAACCATTGATGAAGTAAAGTGCTCCTATCGAAATAAACCCTGTTTGGTCTTCCAGGTTTCCTTCAAAAATGAGCTGCAACAAAAGAACACGGAAGTGCACAAAATCCCCTCCGCCGGTGAGAGTTAAAATGAAATGGAGAATGTAATTGTATTCCAGGGCTAATTTACTTGACGTAGTTGTCACTTCCATACTGAACAATATGGTAAGGTGACATAGCCGCACTATTATATGAAAGTAAGTCGAACATGAAGTCTCTCTATTCCCCTTATCAAAAACTCCGAGTAAGAATGGAAGGCAAATTATGACCTGAAATTAGAAGATCCTCGCAGCTAAGAACACTACTGAAACTAGTAGTTGTAAGTAGGACCTGAAAAAAATTTCAGGCCCGTACGGGATTTGAACCCATGACCTCTGCGATACCGGTGCAGCGCTCTACCAATTGAGCTAACAAGCCAACTGGGAGCTGGTCAATTGAATTTTTTTTTTTCAGGTCCTACTTACAACTACTAGTTTCAGTAGTGTTCTTAGCTGCGAGGATCTTCTAATTTCATCTTTCCACCGCAGTGCAATTTTCATATATCTAAATCTTCATTCACTCGGATGTTTATTTGTACCCAATTCATTGACCAGTAGTTGGCTTGTAGCTCAATTTAGAGCGCTGCACCGGTATCGCAGAGGTCATATACGGGCCTGAAATTTTTTTTAGGTCCTACTTACAACTACTAGTTTCTGTTCTTAAATCTAATTGCCGCTCTGAACTTTCCAAAATCTGTCCAGCTGTTTTAGTACAATCCATTCGTGCCAAAATTCAGGATGCCAATTCTAAACTTTTTAAACATTTGCACCAAATTAAGGCCCAAAAACTCGACCAACTTATCGGCCCTCAAGTTACTAACGACTCATCGCCTGAAAACCTCAAAACTGTAGTTACCATTCCAGAAAATTTACTACTTTCCGATTCAGAAAAATCAGTTCTCAGCAAGGGCTTAAATTTTGTTCCCATATCACAAAAAACCGACGAATTTTCAGTTAAGCAAGACGTTGAAAAATTCCTTCGCCGCGTTCAGTTGAAAGCCTTTTTTCATGACAAAGAGGATGATTCTAACACCTCGAACAAAGATACTTTCGAAACACTCCAGATTCGAAAGTCTAAATGGACTCCCCCAGAGGGCCAGTTCTCATCTTTAGATTTTTTCCTCAAAAAATGTCGCCACGATATCAACAAACTTAAATTCAATCGTAACACCAAATTTTCCAATCTTTCTTCGGAAGAGTGGTCGGCACTAAAAAGTCTAAAAAAACGCAAAGACATTGTCATTAAGGCGGCCGACAAAGGCGGTGCAGTTGTTGTTTGGCGGGCCGACCTCTATCAAAAAGAAGCTTTGCGGCAACTTTCTGACACCTCCTTTTATGCTAAAGTCGACAAAGATCTCACTTTAATTAACCAAAACATTGTCAAAAATACGATTAACGATCTTATAGCTAAACAAGAATTGCCGGCCACTGCTAAAAATCTCATCATTACTACTCCTAGAACTTCGTGTATTTACTTTTTACCTAAAATCCACAAACCTAACAACCCAGGTCGACCCATCGTTTCTGCCTGCAGTTGTCCCACTGAACTTATTTCCAGCTATTTAGACAAAATTATGGCACCTATCGTCAAAACTCTACCGTCTTACATTAAGGACAGCCAACACGCACTTGAAATTTTTCGTGACTTTAGTTTCCTCGACCAAAACAAACTTATTTTCACCATGGATATAACATCTCTTTACACTGTCATTCCCAATGACGAAGGTCTCCGGGCCCTCAAACATTTTTTCGATCAACGCACTGTTAAGGAACCTAGCTCTGAAACACTACTCCGTCTGGCCGAACTAGTACTCACACTCAATTGCTTTTCATTCGGTGGTAACTACTACAAACAAACTAATGGCGTGGCCATGGGTACTAAAATGGGACCCAGCTACGCCAATCTTTTTGTAGGTTTTATCGAACATCAATTTTTTAGCCAATACCACGGCCCAAAACCTCAACTCTACGGCCGCTACATTGACGATTGCATCGGCGCTACCTCCTCTACCAAAGAGGAGCTCACTCAATTTATAACCGCCGTCAATTCCTTTCATCCGGCTCTTAAATATACCTGGGAAATTTCCGACACTTCTTTGGCTTTTCTAGACATCAAAATTTCAATTGAAGGCAACGGCTTATGTACTAGTGTTTACTACAAACCTACAGATTCACATAGTTACTTGTTGTATTCATCCTCACATCCATCACACGTCAAGAACTCCATACCTTTTTCACAGTTTCTCAGACTTCGTCGTTTATGTAGTGACGACTCTGATTTTTCCGAAAAATCAGAGGCAATGTGCCAGTTTTTCGATAAACGCGGCTATCCTGTTTCTGTCGTTCAAGCGGGCTACCACCGTGCCCAACAAATCGATCGACAGGCAGCACTACAAACGGCCGAGAAGGAGAACACTGACCGCATTCCATTTACTCTTACATTTCACCCTCACAACCACGCAGTTAAATCTATCATTCTTAAAAATTTTAAATTACTCCAAAACGATTCAGAGACTGGCACTATCTTTTCGCAACCCCCACTTATTTCATTCAAACGTGACAAAAACATAGGCAACTTTTTAGTCAGGAGTTCATTTCAAACCAATGACCAATCTGGAACTTTTAAATGCGCTCGCTCACGATGCAAAACTTGTCCTTTCATTCATAACGTAGAGAAAATATCGGGACCCAAAAGATCCATTAAGATCATTGATCACTTTACGTGTACCTCCGCCAATGTTATTTACTGCATAACTTGCACTTATTGCAATAAGTTATACATCGGCGAAACAGGAAGACGACTGGGTGACCGATTCCGAGAACACCTTCGCGATGTGGAAAGAAATGACAAGGACGCATCCAAACCAGTCGCTAGACACTTTAATCTTCCTTATCATTCTAAACAGCATATGGCAGTTTGCGGCCTTTCCTTACATCTAGGCAGTTCGGAAAGCCGTAAAACACTAGAACAAAAATTTATATTCCAAATCGGCACCCTTAATCCCCACGGAATCAACGAGCGCTTTTCATTCAACTAATTTATTCCTGTTTTCTCGTCACCATATTCCCACCAATGGCGTAGCTCCACTTTCTACATATAAATCCACACATTCATTTTTGTCACTGAACAAGATCCCTTTTGCCTCCAGAACTTTTTACTCCGGTGACAAGTTGTTCAAAGGCCGATTAGCGCTAAGCTAAGGTTAAATTTTAACTGAGATCAGAAAGCACACTAACCCTTAACCCAGCTTTGAACAACCGGGCCTGGAGTCAAAGTAACCTTCAATCATTTCATAGGTCAGAAAAATAACCAAAACTTCATAATTGTCATATGAACAATTATTTCTGTAAATTGTTACGGGAGATGCTTTGAAGGCAGTGACAATCTCAGCTCTTATCCTGTTCCTCACACATTCCCAGACACAGACTTTAGGATGTTTGCCATGCAAGAGCAAATTAACGAGCTTGGAATGAAGCTAAATGGAATCGCTAAGAGTATAGAGCCTAAACAGGAAGTTAGTTATAAATGGAGGAAGTACAGTTTCAAGACTAAACCCGTATGTTATCGATGTGGACGCCGTGGCCATATTCAGTATTACCGCAACTATAACCAAACTAATGACGGTTTCCAGAAAGAGAGACAGGTCCTACATCGTGCTACCCGACCAACTTACTGTCAACCAGAAGAATCTTCCACTTACGAAGAAGAGAACCAATCAGATGTTGAAGGGACTGCATCACAACTCGAGAGTCAGGAAAACGCCACAAACAACCCTGATTTACTACAGAAGATGAAGCCGACACGAACCAGTGACCAGGGTAGAAAGCCGAGAAATCCAAACCAGAAGCCAAGAAAGTTACAAATACCAAATCCGTCAAATGTCCAGCTACCCCTCGTAAATGAAGCAGACACGTACCCTAGGAACCTGATCACTAAAGGTAAAATAGCAGGAAAACCTGTTCGTCTAATGTTGGATACTGGTGCAAGCGTTTCAGCTATAAAAGAAGAAGTTTTAAAAGAGATCTACGGTGACGTTCCCTTTTCCACAGTTCAGACTGGGAAAGACAACCTACAGCTAAGAAGAATTACCTTGCCGTTATATCTTAAGGAAAGTCAGTTCCTTTGTGAATTCCGGGTCGTGCAGAACCTTACTTATGACGCCATCCTTGGTCGCGATTTCCTCCAAGTAAACAGAGCTATGATTGACCTCGATAACAACACCATTACTCTAAAAGAATCAGCAAATCAACAAGAGCGAGCAAGTTCAGCCTCAGCACCTTTGACAGGAACGTTTAAACCTCAAGAAAAGAATGTCAGAAGAAATGGATACGCCCCTCCCAGTGAAGGTTCAGTGCAGCCTGCTGCAGGAGATTTGCCTTCCCGTTATCCAAAGAACAAAGAAGTTGTAATAAGCCAGTCACTATTGATATTAGTGCTCATTGCCGTGTCCCTGTCCGCAACATTTCACACCGACGCAAATGGTAACTTCAGGTCTGTTATCCAAAAACCACCACCGTCCTTCGCACAGGTGTCACAAAAGAAGGTTTGGCACCAAGGCGATCTTTCTGATACCCCAGCCAAAACTGATTACAGAATGGAATCTAACGAGGGATTTGATCGATATAAAGAAGCACCTCCAGGAATGGAAATGCCTAAGTTCATGATGCACCTAAGGAGACTACTTATCCTCAGACCCATGACTGACTTTAGCAACACGTAGAGAGTACCACTTAGCTGTTGACCAGGAAGTAAGATAGGATCAAGACGATTGATAACATGTTATTTTAAAATTCTTCCAAGAAGTAGGTTAACAACTCGTTAGTCAATAGAGGGTTACGCACAACAAGAAATACGACATGAGAGCATACAAGAAGAGAAATATTGTTTAACTCGAGAATGATTTATCGGTTATAAGAATGCCAAGTTCAATGGTCATTATGACCACTACGTTTCTAGGAGTTTCCTCGACCGGGAGGTCTCGATTTAAGGTGGGAAGAATGTTACGGGAAAATTTACTGATTTTCCCGTGTGTGTTATTCGGAACATATTTATTCGTAAACTTTCACATATAACCATTTCAAGTCCTTTCATTTCAATAAATCAAAAAATGCATAAAAACCACAGTAGCTTTTGAATAGGTTTTTGTTGTTACTCGCTTTCATCATATGTACCTGCTTGTCGGCACTTTTGTTATTTATTACATGGTTTTTTTTAGGTAAATATAAGTGTTAATGGTCTTTATGGAAACATTCGTTTTCAAGGTAGATAGCAGCTGAGTTTAAACGCGTAAATCTAATTTCTTTTCATGCGATGGTTTCCAAACCAATCTTGCATAAATAAGCAGAAACTTTTAATTGCTTTTCCGTTTTTTATTTCCTGAGCTGCGCTACTGCAATTAAGATAGGTATTGTTTTCTATACCAGAGCTGTAAATTCGCACCTAGGTTTCCTACTTTAATGGCCTAAAGTTTATTGCATCCGTCTTTTTAATTTTGAGATACTTTCCGTCGTAGAAACAGATGGAATATTTAAGTAGTTTTCGTTTAACTTCAAAGAGACTTTTTCCGCTCCTTTGTGTCCTTATCCAAATATTGCGATTTGTGTAACAATAGCACTTCGCACCAGTTACTTCTTAAGCAAGTACCTTGTACAGCTTTGATGATTACAAACTAGAGTATGCTAGAGGTCATGTCGCTTGTTGGCCTGACCTAGAATAAAAGTACTGTGGAACCAAGATTGTCTTATCCTTGACATCCGTATAAGCTCGCTCGAAGTAGATCTCCGTGTACCAGGAAATCGTGACGAGTTTCCGTTCTCGCTGCCAAGTCGTCTCTACAGAGTTATTTCCCCCAGTTGTTATTGTTCCGTCCGCGAAGAGTCAGTTCTCCAGTTTTGGGGAAAAACGTATCGTCACAAAATATTCAATTTTATTCACAGTTAGTAGTAACTACTAATTGTTCCCTAGTTATTTTGATGACATTTAAAAAATATCTCACTTGGTGTTCTGTGATCCCTGTAACTGACACTTGTCCATACTGCCAGGTGTCGTCCCCTGTTGAGTCACCTTGCCAGATTGGACTTTCCTTTGAGTTGTTCCCTATTATTTGGTAAAGCCGTAAGTTGTTATTTCCTACTCCAAGAATCATGTATCGGAACTTCAGGCATCTACCATAACCATCAGCTGATCTGATATACCATGGGCTCCATACGCGTGCTTGCTCTGTTGTAATATTACTTGAAAGAGAATACGCCGCAAGGCGATCACCTGTGATGAAGCATGCTGCGGGTTATTAACATAAACTTTACCCTTGTTTAGTCAAACTGCTTCTCAGTGATCTTTTCTTTTGCCGAACGTTCTATCATGACGTTAATGGTTTTTGAATGGTGAGAGGAATACTTCTAGACAACTATATTTGCATACTTCAAACAATCCAGTCACTAAAAACCTCTAGATCTATTTAATGCCCAACATCGGGGTCAAACCTGGACTTTGTTTAGAAGAAGCGGCCCTTGATTTTAGGTTAGTGGTCAAAGCAGCAAAAACATAAAAAACCAATAACAGAAAGGGGCTTCATTGAAAAAAGTATCTGTATAACAGGTCAATGAGCGAAGAAATTTTATTACCTCCAGGTAATTAAAAATTTTTTGACCCCGTGTTGAGCAGCTATGTTAATTCATTGGTTAAAAAGGTGTAAAAGAGATCAAATTCCTTAGGACTGACTTGGTCCGTACACAAGACCGCCTTTATTTTGATTTCGTAACCAAAATGGCGCCGTGGTGACAAGTGAAAACAATCTATTTTAAGACGTCACTGTTTGGTTAACTTCCTAAAATGTACTACATGGGTAGGTGCATTCACCTACCAGTCACGTCTCGACATGCGGAAGTATCGTAATGAACATGGGCGTCTCCTATGACACCACTAGTTATGCTCCTCCAGGCCATGAGATCACCGTCTCTCATTCCACATCCTAAAGACATCCGTTGAATTTCTTCCTCATCGAGTGCACCTTCCCATAAGTTAAGATCACTTATACGACCGCAGGCGTCTACTTTTGTTGAATTTTTAACATCGGTGCAATTGACAGTAAGGCGACCTCTTCCTGATGATCAATGAGTAATTAAATTATCCCTATCAGCAGAGCACACGATGCAGTGTTTTGAACGGATGTTTGGGGGTGTTCATCGAGTTGCAATCATAACGTTAAAGGAATTATTGATTAGCTTTTGGTTATCCTTCCAACCATATATACATTGATTACCACAGAGGATTTGGTTATCCGTGAAATGTTGGAAAGCATAAGAATAAATTTAAGTTCAGGATAAGAATTAGTTCATCGTTCAGGATTAGAGGCAAGATTATTTTTCCATCGTTCACTTAAGCATTTTTACGCGATATCGAGGTACGATGTAGGATACTTTTAAAGAAATTCATATTTGCTTTTTAATAATATCTCTGATGTCGAGAGCGTCGATACTAAAATCAGACTTGCTGACAAGTTTCAGTCCGTCGACAAAAACTTTGAGCAGTCCACCAAATGAAGACCAGGTCAGACAAACATGGTGCCACTCTTGATCAGCAACAAATGACGGGACTTTCCTGCAGTCAAAAGCTGAAAACTGTCTATTCTCTTTGTCAAATTAATTTGACCAAATAAACCAAAATCTGACTGAAGAAGATCTACCCCGAAACTACCTAATCGCCTCACTTAGAGCAATTACGGCGCAGAGTGCTCAATCAAATTCCAGTAAAACGGCAATAGTTCAGTGTCCAGTAATCTACTGACTCGAAATTTCGGTTCAATATTTTAAGTATCAAGTACTACTCACCATTCTTCTTCCAGGACAGTAACTGTGATGATGCTATTAACATTTATTCCAAGAGCTGATTCTTCAGGACAATCCGCCAATTTCGTCTAGTATGTTATGTCCACAACGGATTGGTTTGTTTGGAGCCATACGCAGACAGTTACAGTTTTCAGATCATTTTCTAGTGCAATTGGAACTGAAATGTTTCCAAACTCGGCTAATGGTAGGATAACTATGAATTCGTCTTTCTCTCTAGGAGTCACTGTGTACAAAGTCAAAATGTAAAGTTGTAAAGATAGAAAGGTCTTTTCCCAAATTCAGTTGAATCTAGGAACAGGTTCAGTTCAGGAATGGGGCGAAGGTCGGAGCGACCGAATGTAAAAGGATCTGGGGGCAAGGTAGGTAAAGAGGCCTTTTCCCTGAATTATTCATCCTGCTTTAGACTAAGAATCTGGTCCAAATGTACTGTACCTAGGCAAATTGTGTAACACCCAGTGTTAGAGCACAAAGCTTAATCATTTTGAAATACGGTTTATGCTCACTATTGTAAATAAGGGTACACTGTTTAACGAACTGATCATAGTAGAAAATGCGATGTCAAACTACCTTTGCAAATTTTCATTATCGTACCTTCAAATACTTTATAATCGGCATTCAATGCTGGTTTGATTTTTTTGTTCCAATTCGCAGTTTCTTCACGACTGACATTTTTCCATGTTATATAGCCATCATCAACTTTCCACCGACACAGCTCTCGACCAAGACCACAGTAATCTGTAAGAGGAGCCGAATTTTGTAGAGGCTTGCATCGAGCGTATTAGGATAATCAATATAAATGGAATCTATTTACCTAATTTGTATCAAAGAATTGGTTCATGCCTAGCGTGCGTATATGGAGGAAAGTTTGGAGAGCACGAAAGAAGCGCAAGCATCTATGGCTTCCTGAATGCATCCATAACTCGATATACGCACAGCTAAAAGCTTGAAGAAATTCAATTATAACATAGCGGGCACAACTTGTGCTCGAAGAAAGACTTTTATTATTATTGCGTCAGGTTTACTAGGTAATCACGATCTACCCGAAAATTACCAAGAAATATTTCGAAACCACTTCTCTTTTCAAAGAATTGTAAATTTGCTGATAAGAAGCTAAAAACGAAGAAATTTCTTGCATGGTCGAGACCGAGTAGATGATTTAGTATGCTTTAATCGTTGTTAATTAGAACTTACGACTAGAAAGTTACGTAGGATTTTGATGGAAATCTTCTATTGAACAACACTTTTGGGACATATTAACACCTAAAATGACTTTTACCATTTTGAAGAATTGTCTCACTTGAACTCAGAAAGACTACTTTGTTCTTTTCCAGCCATAATTCACATTGCGTTTGGGAATGAAGCATCGTCAACTCAAAAGCTAATTTCGTCGCTTGAAAGAAGTACATTCTTATTGTTTTTCGAAATAAGTGTTTTTTGAGCTCTTAAAAGTCTGTATCATCGGGATGGAACGGAAAAACAATATTAAAAGGCTTGAGACCTCGCGGCTAAACTCGACGGGAACTTGCAGCCAAAGTGAAACTGTTCAAGTCATGTTATGATGCACGGCCGTGCAGTACATAAGGATTTTTACCATACCATCCCCTTAGGAAATAGGTAAGACTTGCACCGGCAATATGTTATAAAATGAAATGGTTCAATCTATAGGAAATCGGCACAACCACCACCACACGTTCATGAAATATTCTGCAGCATTTCAAACTACAAAAAGGTGCCCCTCTCTGCAAGACCCAAAACGCATGATGTCGCAATGTTATTTTAAGGCTCGTTTCTTTTAAAGGACAATAAGTAAAAATCGTTAGCCAAATATTAAAAATTACCTTTGCAGAAGTCCCAGTGTAAGCCATTAAAATCGTAGAACAATTCTGTAGCGCACCATGGTCTTGGCTTGTCAGGTGTCGTAATACAGGAAGAATAGATTCTGTTTTTATATTCAAACGGAAAAGAACAGCATTTTCCACTTTCTGTTGTCCAAAGACATTTATCTAGAAAATGAAATAATGAATAATGACCTCTTCAATACCGATACTCAAATGAGCTAATGCGCCAACTTGGAGTTAACCATAATTGATGAATAAACGACTGTGAATATATGAATATGACGTATTTTAACTGCAGATTGATAAATGAAGATGGGAGTGATCATCGCAGTTCTGAACACTGCATAAAAAGTAGTGGAAAAAAGGCATTAGCACATTCGAACGCCATTTACTATTTTTGACTCTTGTCCTCGTTTCGGGGAGTGGTACACCACTAATCACTTTCATTTTGTTGTTAGTCCTTCCATCTGGGCTTCAATGATTTAATATTTTCGTAAAAACTTGGGTTATTATCTCTGTTAGCACTGATTATGGTAGGCTCTGGAGCGTTGGATTTTTTAGGCTGCATAACTGTAGTCTGTTACCTTTACCTCAGAGATGACTCGGTAACACATTCGGTAAAAAGTTCGGAATGCGTTTTCGACATATCTACTTGTGAGCGTTTCCTAAAGGTTCTAAAAATAATTTGTTTTTTTTTTTATTCTTAAACGTCATCCAAATATGGTGATGCTGACTCAAGGCCAAGAGATCTCACTCTTTTTGATGAAGTATAACGTGAAGGTACGCGCGCTTAGAATAAGAAATCTTCCTTTGGTTCTAAGCCATAAAAATATGAGACAAAGATTGCATCTTGCCATCACAGCCACCAGCATCAAACTCATCGTCTCCAAAATAACACCACTGTCTGTCGTTATCGTCTCCTGTGCAGGAGTGATACAAAGTGTTCTCATAGACAAAAGGGAATCTACAGCAGGAGTGGTAGCGGGTTACCCAGGTGCATATGTCTGAAGAAGATAGAAAGATAATTGATTACTCTATGTCAAGAATAAGATATTGACAACAGATGGGCAATGATACCACTTCACAAAATAAATAACGAATGACAGAAGACTTGAACGCATACGATTTTTCAAACCTTAAGTGATCAATTTTCTTCTCGTGTTAATCGAAAAGCTGAGAGAATAAAAACCAAGGGTTTGCAGTTTAAAATCTTCGAAAAAAGCGCCCCTAAGTTTTCATTTTGATACCAGCCTCCTCGAATAGTAAGCCAGTTATATTTCTAAAGTTTTATTTTGACCCACGAATTGAATATTACAGATTGTGTCCTGCTAATGTTTAATCACTCAATATCAATAATAATAGTAATAGGGGAATATTGAGCCAACTTTCTTTCAGACACTTTCCTAAAGCTGGAATCAAATACTTTCGTCGCAGAGGGCGAAGATTAACCAATTTGGAAACCTGACGCTAAATTTCCATCCAAACATCACAACGTTGCGTTGGTTGTTGTTGCCACTTATGCAAAAAACCAGAGGCTTCTTGGAAATGAAGATAGTTAAAGTACCCAATTGGACAGATGGACGGATTTTTGCAACATTGCTGGTCCCGAAAGAGCATTCGCGAGACAACTTAAGAACTGGTTTACTCTTTCCTACTATGGCAAACGAATGTTTGAGCCAACTCACAAAGCAAAGCGAAACAAGACATACCTTTCCCCTCATCGTTCGGAATAGCGTTACACTTCTCTTTAGAAAAAGATATGTCATCAATGCCCAGGAATACAACCTCGGCATAATGTGTAGGACTTATTCAGGGTGACTCGTGCAAATTCTGAAAAGGATTTGATTTAAACACTGAGCTTGAAGCTATATATATTTTATTTTCGCTCTATTATCTCTTTTAAATATTAATACTGATATGTCGAGCTTCAGAGAGTGGAGATTAGTCTGCATGGAATGGTTGATAATATTTTTGAGGCTTTCCTTCACCTTGGGTCCTTTAACCTGATATCTCGATAGTTTTAATCAGTAAGATACAGGCATAACTCTTATTACTTGCACAATGTTAGACGACCACATGATGTAGACAAACTACCCTGTTTCAATAATTGTCAGTTATACTGATCATGGAAGAGGTTTCTCGACACAAAGAAGAAATAACACTAGCACTTCTCTCCTAGAGGGAAAAAATGCGTTTTGACGCGTGCCTCAATTTGGCAACCTGTCGATGAAAGGTATCTAAAGAAAGTTGGTTCAAAGGAAATTGATAAAATTTGTTAGCATTGATCATGGCTGAAGATTGCCAGTGGCTCTCACCTCATTGAACTTTTCCCCAAAATTTGACGGTAAGAACGCTGGTTTTAAAAGTATTAGCTGACTGGTACAGAGAGGTTCCTGGTATCAATATCTGCCTCGCATGTCTTGTTTTTGAGAACTTGGATGGAAATCGAGGACTTAAAGCAAGAGCTAGTGGTGGACATTGCCATGATAAATCTATTTCACTTACCGTAAATGAAATAGATCTATCATGGCATGTTCGCTCTTAGAGGGACACTGGATTGACAATGGATAACTTGATTGATTTTTCGTCTTTTTATCTTAAAGTATGAGATAACCTTCGTGTTTACGTCCTTTTTATCACATCGTGTAGGAAAATTTTTTGGCAACCCCACAAGGAAACTTTAATATCACATCTAACGTAGAACAGGAACATAACAGGGTTCTTTTCACATGATAAAGTTTGATAAGATTAGCTTTTAAGGACGTTAATTTAAACGACGGCTATTGTGTCTTAACGTACGATAGCAGTTCCCTAAGCCCCTTAGCGGATTTACGAGGCACAAGAGCTGAGATACTTGAGTGTTCAGGTCATTTTAGCATATTAGGAACGTATTCACACCCGGATATTACGTTTGTCGTGAGTATTTTAAACACTGTAATTCACACTGGCGCTGCCTAATTTTAGCGACAATCTTTAAATATTGCTGCTATTTCGAGCCCCCCTTAATATTTCTATGCATTGCGTGGGTAAGCGGTCAAAATTGTTAGCAATTTTCTAGCCTTACGTCCAACTCGACAAAAGTATTCGTTTGAATTTAATTTCAAGATGTCAGAGCATTGGTCATGGGCTTCTGTTCATACGACACGCTATGAGTGTTATTTGACAGGGTATTTGCTAGCGGCATCCGCTGGATGTAAGATTTTTGCCAATATTCAAAATGGCGGTCTTCGTTATTTAATTTATTTCTTCAGTGGATAAAGTTTCCTCGCATTTGGAAGCGCACGGTAGAATCATGAAAGTAAGTTGAATTTTACACTACTTAAAGGCAAAAGTTCCCCGAAATTTTCAAAACATTACGGTTCTAAGACATTTTGTCTTTTCCCTCGTCACCATGGTAAATAAACAAACCTAGTCAGACACAGTGTATTTTTTTTGGAATGAAGGATTAACCTGCCAAGTAAAATGCTAGAAACGCATTTGAAACAGGAAAATAGTAGCAGAATACTTTTCTTGCTTAAAAACGTGTGGAATATTGCAATGTTTTAAACGTTTGCCGCAAATTATTCAGCCGTTGGTTCCTTGTATGTAAACGGTGTAGTCGAGTCCAATTCTGCTGTCAACATCTGTCAATCTTTACAAGTGTATGATTAAAATAGCAATACTTTGTCTGCCATAATTCTAAGGGTAATGTGTTAATTTTTCTGTTAAGAAGAGAGGATGGTATCTGTCTCGTCCTAATATTATGACTGTATTCATAAGAAACAGCCAAGAATGAAAGTGTTCTCATGAATTTGTGGCGTTCTGGTTATAATTATTCGTTAACATACGTGTTTTTACAAATCAAAATTGTTACTTTACTTTGGGAAGTCAAAAAGATATGGTGGCAGGGCAGATTTCATGTCAGGCAGTATATCTCTAACAAGACATTCCTCATTATTTTCAAGACCTGAATACATCCTCTTTGCCAAAGAAAATTAAAATTTTATTTGCAACATCATAAGTAACTTGAATGTAATAATTACAAAATCATTTTCTTGTTTCCCTTGAAATACCATTTTGTGAGCAATAACGTTTTGTTGTTGTTTTTGTTGTTAAAATGTTACACAAAAAGGGCAGCTTTTTTGTTAAAGTCATTCAGATTGATATTTTAGCATCTTTGATAAAAAAGACCATTATAATAATATATAATTATATAAATTTAAATGATAGAAAAAGAAAGATGTAGGTAATGGCAACATCATCCATGTGTCTATCCTCCAATAGATTATACATTGAGCAAGAACCGATCAGAATGCGTGCTTGACTTGTAATTAATCCCTTAACTCCCAAGATTTCATTAGCAATTCTCCTTACTGTCTGCAATACAATTCATTTGATTTTAGTTTGGAGAATTTGGAATTGGATCAACTAAAAGATATTTCTCTCTATTCTCATTACTTGTCTGCTTGGTGTTGTACTGATAGTGTAAGGAGAAATTCTGTCTCAGGTACCAGTGGGACATAAAGGGTTATAGTTTATTATGTACATGTAAACTAAAAATGACTTGAATTCTGTTCAAATTGCATTTCATTTTACTTACTTCGTTTTGTTTTGTGTACAAATTTATACTGTGAACATCATTTATTTGTTTTATGCATTCTTGTGCACATTCATATGTATTCATAACCTTTTTTTTAGGATAACAATGTTATAGCCTTTGAAAAAACTGTGAGTTAGTTCTCTACTTTTAAACAGTGGCCATCTCTCTACAACTACCACTTCTTTCTTGTCTAATAGTTGCCTTTGTTGAGATGTTCCACTAAGGTAGTAATTTTTTCTTGCTGTCAGCTAATATTTGATGTGAAAGATAGTTATTTTACTATTTATGACATTGCAGCGTGTCTTCAGTGTTCCTGAGAAGGTGACAGGAGGTGGTACAGTCCAATACTGCTGGCAGCAGAAACTAGGAAATTATTTAGCTGTAGCTGGGTAAGATATATTTAAGTAATATAGAGTTCAGGTGAAAGTACCTGTAAATATATGTTATTAACAAACAGACATGTACCATTCATTACTGTCCAAAAAATGCAGGACAAACAGAGTTTTGATGATCTATGATCGTCATGGGGAACAGAAAGATGAAATCAACCTTCCAGGGTAAGTGGTTTTTGTTTAGTATTTTAAGGAAGGTAAAGTGTAATTACATAGTCCATGATTAATGACATGTAATGGTATAGCATGGCAAAAGCTTAGAAGCAAGGGGAGAAGTGAAGTGTGGTGAGAGAGGGAGGGTGAGTGGTTTTACCCTATACTCTTAAAAAGTACTTGGCAATGGGGCAAAGCACAACTACCTCAGTGTACTGGGTGTCAAACTATAAATTTTTGGCATGCAACCAAAGGGATTTGAGAGAAAGAGGAAACAACTAAAAAAATTATAATCTACCAGCTTAAGATAATGAATGAGCTGGTCTTGTCTTGAAAATGTTGCCCAGCTAGCAAAACAACATGAAAAATTGCAGCAAAGCAAAGTGTGTACTTTGGGTACTCATTATGCAATGGATACTACTTGCTGTGTGTAGGCCAGAGTGGAATAATTTACCTGTTCCTGGAATCAATCAGATCACAGGACTTGTAGAATAATGGTCACTCATGCATTGAGAAAAAAGTACTTTTTGTGATGACATGTACATTTAATTTTGGAGGTGCTCTCTGTAGCCAGAATTTTTTTTCTTTGATTTAGACAATGCACAGGAATGGCATGGGACAAAGATGGTGACACCTTGGCAATCATACAGGATAAAAATGGTAATAACACAGTCATAATTTTCAAATTAGCAGATGTATCCTCTAAATAAAATTCCCTACTAAGCTCAAACTCAGTGTTATCTACATTTGGCTCAATTTGCATGCCATTTAAATCAACTCTGACACCAACAGCACAGAGTCCAAATCAGTCATGTGAGTAACTTTTATAAGTCAATATACAGAAGCTCACTGAAATTTAAATAAAATTATAGTTTTCCCTTGCCATTAAAAAGTGAAAATTCACAGCTACCTGTTACTACCAATTTACAGCTTTACTGAAGGCTAAAAAATTTCTTTTAAAGTGCTTAAAATGTGACATAATTAGACCTGTCCAGTAACCTCGTACAATTTAACCTCATTACCCTGTTGACAAGCATCTGTTGCTCAGGTTTTTGCAAACAAATAAATGTTTAAGTCAAGAGTGCTTTTAATATGACTACAAACCAGTCAAATGTCTACAGATGGAAGAAAAAGAAGTAAGAATTTATTACGCTTCCCGTAAGTTGCCAGGTTGCTGAACAAGATTGAAAAATCTGCCAGCAAGCATCATAAGTTTAATATATACACTTTTTGATTTGGATTTAGGCTTTGGGAACATTTACTTCTCCTTAAAATAAACTAAAGCTGCTCCATACATTATACCAGCAAGTACATGTAAAATATAACAATTATTCCATGAGCACTCATTGAATATATGAGATAACAAATAGCCAATGAGGTGTGCAGAGCTAAATTGCTTATAAACAATCTTGTTTCCAACAAGCATGAATGGAATGACTGGTTTCACCAGTTAAAATCTTGAATGGTTGGATATTTGGAACCTTTTTTTAGCTTGGCAACATATGGTGCAATTCATTTTTCATATAAGATGACTTGGAATTTGAGCTGATAACCAGAATTAGTGAACCAATCAGAACACTAGAATGCAATATTTGGAGCTGAAAAAAAAATATTGTCTATCCTCCTTTGCTTCAGGTATTGTTTACCTGTGGGATGCTAATTCCCACAAGACCATCCAACTGGAAAGTGGTTTGAGGTACATTTATCTAATTTTTAATTCATGCCTGATTATTCCACAGTCATTTTGATCAATACTTGTTTACAACAAACCTCCTGATTGACACTGACAGGGACATGTACATACAAAGTCATCTAACCATGTTTTGTCAGCCATGGACTTAGACTGCAAAAAGGGTTTTTAAAAGATCCTTAAAAAAATAACAAGCCCCATCAGCAAACAGATTAAGCAAAGCCTTAACCTGGAGGTTTGCTCAGCTTAATTAAAGAAATACTCTCCCAATACATGTGTGGACACAACCTGTAGTTTTTGTTGGCAGCTTCCTTAAGCATAGACTCGATTTTTTGGTATACTGCCCGCACATTTTGAGATTGTGTATTGATTCCAGGCTGACTGTTTCTCATTAATGTAGGGAAGGTCTGGCATTTTTATTATGGTCAAGAGTTGGACCACAACTTGCAATAGGTGAGAAATGATATTCATTTAAGCAGACAATGGGGAAGAGCAGTTACATTTAGTATTGAGCATCAAGTTTTCCTGTCATTCTTAAAACTAAGTGTAATCCAAATGAGCCACATCTATAGCTCACTAGGTGCACCTTGGAATGTGAGCAAATGATTAAAGTCAATGGCTGCCAGCTCCTTAAGGCAACTCTGTATACAGGTGTAACCCTTAAATTCCCAAGATCTGATTGTGAATTCTCCCCTCTAGCTGCTACACATTTCCTTGCAAATCAGTTTTGAGAATTAAGTTAAATCAAGACAACAACTTCTACCTGATAAGTTGGAGTTTTCTCAATACCTGTTTGCAGGATAATGTACGGATATGATTGGGAGAAATTTTATGTTAATTATTTCTGGAAGTTGAAAGGTTAACAGAAAACACTTGACCTACATGTACATAGATGAGGAAACAACAGAAGAATGATTTTATGTACTACATGTTGTATGTATGTGTCTTAAGGTTCACACACATGTACATATACTGTTCAAGTGTTAATTAGACCTTTGTTTACTTCTCAGGTACATCCAAAGGCAATTTATTGATGTACAACCATCAGACATCAAGGTAATCTAATTTTTGCTTAGAAGTATTCTTTAAAAGAATTTAGAACTTTATGTTTGAAAATTTAGTGTAGGTAATGTTCACAGTTGCATTAGTATTTTGAAAACTTAATTGAGTTATGAAAAGGAAGGAATCAAGGAAGATTTCATGGAGAAAATCCCCTTTTTGGTCTCTGATGCTATTATGATTTTTTTACAATGCTTGTGACAATGTCTTGTCAGAGTAATACTGGTTTATGAGACAGCAAGTTGAATTTCCATGTTCTGGTCTGTAATATTCATGGCTGTAATTTGAAAATGATGATGTTTATCTTCAAGGTGACATTTATTTTGTTTTTTCAGGAAAGTGCCAATTCTTGGAAAACATACCAAGAAAATAGTGTGTGGAGCATGGAACTCTGAGGTATGACACTGTTATCCTAAAAGGGTGAATTATTATAACTAAACATAATATATCTAATAATAGCTATTGGTTCTACAGTTTTCATATTTTTTTACCTAGTTCTTTTGACAACTACATGTACTGGTTGTAAGCTACAGTACACTGTGGGAGAGGGGAGCAGGGATGGTAAGGTAAGGAGGGTGCTCACCTCCCACCATTGTGGTCAGGGTTCAACTCAGTGACCATTGTCACATGTATGTTGAGTTTGTCATCTGTTCTCATTCTTGCCCTGAGGGATTTTCCTGGGTTCTGTGTTTTCCTCCCACAGCGAAAACCAAGATTACAAATTCCAATTCCACCTGGGAAACAGTAGCCAAGAAGAGCCACTTTGTGAAATTCCCACTTATCTATTTATTTATCTTTTTTATTTGCAAGCTTTAAGTTCATGTTATAAATCTGTATAGGGTAATTTTTTCAGTGTTTGTGCAAAAAGAAATTCTTGTATCCATTTTCAACCATAAAAAGTAATTCATGTAACTCATTAAATTATAGATAGCAATTTACTTTTGTTGAATAATTGATTGTCCAAGAATATTTGCTGATCTTGAAGAGAACAACAGTTTTATTACAAATACATTAGGTTATAGTAAATTAAAAGCAACTGCATTTCCTTTCATTTTCTTCTTTACCAACAAAATTTTCTGTGATGGTGCTTCACAGTTATTGATCAAATGACAGTCATGATATTAGGGGTGATTATAGGGAGATATTAAATAATAATGAACCAATCAACCAGTCAACTGATGTATTTTTATAATCACCACAACAATTTTAATACTGATTTGTAATCAGTGTACAGTGTACATCATCACCATCATCATCTTAATTACATTTGTGAGAGTGTTTTAAGTGTATTGTTCCCATTGTTTTTCTCTCTATATCAGAATTTACTAGCTCTTGGTGGAGAGGACAAGTGCATCACTGTCAGTAATGTTGATGGAGATACAATTAGACAGGTAATAACACTGATAAAAAGTAGTATCCCTCTTATTTATACTCCTATGTAGACTCTGATTTTGGAACTAAGTCTTCTTAATCCAAACTTGTCACTGTGTATTGTGTGAGTCTGCATGTAGTTGATCAACAGTTGATATGAGGAATAAAAAAGTATAATAGAATTACTTAATATCTTACTGGGACAGGGCTGTACTGAGACTATTGCACCTTAGGTACCACAGGAGACTAACTTTTAATTTGTGAGTAACTTGTACAATTCTGCTTTTAGTAAAATATTTGAATTGCAGGGTACCAAAATTTCTGAGGCAAGAGCCTTCACTCACCAGTTATTCCTCTGAGAGCACAGTTTACAGGAAGTTTTTCAGTTCTATTAATTCTAATCATTTTGTCCCTTTCTAAGGAAAGGTGTACACTTACAGTGTGTATATCATAATCTTTAAGCAAAACTGCTTGATTTATGAAAGAAGAAAACTACTACCTGTACAAATTGTTCAAATTGACTTTTGATTAGAAAATATTACACATGATTAGGTTGTTGATTGATAACCATGCATTTACATGGGTATGTGCTTTGATTTGTATTGTACAGGCTACTATTAGAGCAGATCCTACAGAAATTCAGTTTAGTGAGATGAAGACTGATGAACGTAGCTCCATTGGTGAAACAACGGTAAGTTCTTTTCTGAGAAAATGCTAATATAATAATTAATGTTAGATAAATGAAGTAAATCCTAAGTTGTTTTCATTTCTCAGTAAAAAAGAGAGGGAATAATTTTTGTTTATTGTATTTTTGTTGTGTATTCATGTAATGAAGATTTTCACTCTTTCATTGCCTTCTACATTTTGTCTTATTCATCGATCAAGTATCTAATGAGCTTCATATGCTCGATTACAGTACATTAGTCTTGTCTTATTCATTGATCAAGTATCTAATGAGCTGGTACAATCATGTTACTTGATTACAGTACTTTTATAATATTCAGTAGTCTTACAGTAATATCACTAACACTGGTAGAAGTACTTTTAGTATAGAGAAAGATGTTGTCATGAGGGTAGGGCAAAGAAAAAAATTCTGATTCCCCATGAGGAAAAACTTATTCTATTTACAAAGATGATGCTATTGACATTGCTTATGCCAGCAGTATGCAGGATGTGTGTCATATGAACTTTGTAATAGACCTCGTCACCGCAGAGTCTCTGTGGCTCAGTGGTAGAGCATCGGATCAAGGAATCCGAAGGTCTGAGGTTTGATTCCTCATGGGGACTCAGAATGTTTTTTTTGCCCCATATTCTTGACAAGAGGAAAAACATCTTTCTCCATTTCTTTGCTGAGCTCAAAACTTACCATCTCTTTTTTTCTGTTTACTCTTAGTATGCTCTCAATACACTACATTATTAATAACATCTGCTTGTGGACAATCAACTAAATTTTTAATAGCAAGACAGTTACCAGTCTTGGTACTCAAAAAGTGAGTTAAAAACCAAGCACTTTGAAATTGGAATTTCATACTGAAATTACACACTTACATGTAGTCCTGTTTAGAGACTGTGATCAGTTGTCTATAAAAATGGGGGGAGGGAGCCTCTTATTTAACATTTAGGCCAGCAGCCAACATGGTAGATTTTTTCTAATATCCAAATAATGTTACCAGTCATATACAGTACCTTTCAAATCCCTAGAAACTTGATCCTAGATCATTGATTCTGGAAAACTTTGAGGATCAAGGCTTTATTCAAGTTTGAGAAGTAGGAGACCATTTGAGAAATTATTGAGGGGAAATTTGAGACAAGTAGACTTTGATCCCTTTCTTTTCACACAGCAGATTTTGCCTTGTTCAATGGGGTATAAATTAAAAGTTAACAAGTTAATAACTAAAGATAACATAAGTTACTGTAGCTGCTGTGTTACAATGCATTAGCAGAGTTGCAACATGATATCAATCTCTTGACTAATCTTGTACTGTACAGTTGTTTCACTCACTATTCATGATTTGTCCTTTTTTCCCACTTAGGTCAGCATTATAGTTGGAAGGAAAACTTTGTATTTATACAACTTGAATGATCCTGATAACCCCATTGAATTGGCTTTTCAGGTAACCCTTATTTTATCAATAAAATTAAAATATTACATTGCATGAATGAGTGTGTTTTGTTTTTTAATAGATTAACCAAGTGTAAGTTATTGAATAAAATTAATATCACACTTGATTTATGAAAGAAAAGTTAATTGCATGGATTGCCCAAATTATAACAGTGTAAATTGTATGTACAAATTACAGGCTTGTATTGTAAATGTGACCCTCCACGGGAAAACGGACACTAACGCTTTTCCGTTAAACGGTCTCGAAAAACGGTTGTAAACGGATAGTAAACGGTTAACTCGAGCGTTTAAACGGATGCCATAACCGCTTAAACGGATGGCAAAAAATTTAAACGGTTGACCAAAGTCCAAAAACGGATAGCTTAGGCCTTCAAACGGTTGACCAAAAATAAAAACGGATAGCACGAAACGTTAAACGGTTGACCAAAGTTCAAAAACGGATGGCTCACACTTTTAAACGGTTGACCAAAAATAAAAACGGTCAGCCCGAAACGTTAAACAGTTGACCAAAGTCCAAAAACGGATGGCTTAAACCGAGAAACGGTTGACCAAAATCGACAAACGATGAGCTTAAAATTAATGTTTAACGGCTGTGGTTGAGCCGCCGAGATCTTCTGCGGAAAAACTTTCAGAGTGACAACGGATAATTATCCTTTAAAGCGAAAATATTTAGCATGATAATTTGAAAAGTAATAACTAGCATATACTTGCGCATTTTATTTCTGGGTTAATTACTGCCGCTTTCGTGTGACATTCATGAAATAAGCGCAATTTACTGAGAATAGTTTCGCTGCCGAATATCCTGAACGGCTTCCGCGAGAAACTCATAATCTTCTCCTTTGTTTATTCTTATTAGTATTGAAAATGAACTTCATTACTTCCTGTTCGGAAGTTTCGCGAAACAAATTTGCATATGCAATGCCGCCACCTTGTCTGAAGCCGAGACCTTTCAAGGTCAAATAACGCAATGAAGTTCCATTGCAAATAAAAGGTCGAATCGGTGTCACGCACCAAGCGGGGCCGTTAAAATGATTGTCAATAAAACCAAGAATGATGAATCAAGATGATATAAACAGAAAGAGAGTAGCCGACTTAACTTGTTTGTCAAAGGATGCGACGGAACTCGCTTACTATGATCACGCAATAGATAAAACCAAAATAAGATACGGTCTTTCTGTATTTCAAGAACCGGCGAGTATCGAGCGAACGTAAGATTGATACTTCGAACTGCCTATTACAGAATGATAGGCAAACAGTCCAAAGCTTTCCGTGGAACTTTAAACGGATAGCTTTTTTTTTTAAACGGGTAAGCAAACCGTTTAAATGTTTTTGCTAGAGCGTCGAACGGATGCAAATTTTTTTAAACGGATGCAAATTTTTTTAAACGGATGAGCAAACCGCTTAAACGTTTTGGCAAAAGCGTTAAACGGATGCAAATTTTTTTAAACGGATGAGCAAACCGCTTAAACGTTTTAGCTAAAGCATTAAACGGATGCAAATTTTTTTAAACGGATAAGCAAACCGTTTAAACGCTTTCATGAACCGTTTAAACGGATATAAACGGATAGTAAACGGTTTTGCAGCTTAAACGGAAAAGCGTTAGTGTCCGTTTTCCCGTGGAGGGTCACAAATATTAGCCCATGCAGAAAGCAACAAATGTTATAAATGAGAACTTTTTATTGAGCTACATGTATACCTACTGAACATGTATTACAGGTTACAGTGGAAGGTTTAGATGCACATGCATCTGCAGTATGTTGAATTAAGATGAGCTTCTGTACAATACAATTGTAATACCTTTTCACCTTTTTCAACAGCAAAGATATGGAAACATAGTAGCCTACAAGTGGTAAGTGCAATTTTAAATTTGATAATTTTAAATTTGCATAGGCACTCTGTGGTATCAGTTATTCTATAGTGTGGGTTTCAACTGGTATTAAAGATTTTCTCCTATGAGTACACAGTACAGTTTTTCAGTTTATTTTTTTAAGCTAGTACATAATAAGTATCTAATTTATATTTGACTTAATATATATTTAATGGTCTATGATGCAAATCTTACTTTTACATAAATCCAGAGCTTCAAGGTGTCTGTGTGATTTTCCTTTTTCTGCTGAAAAGGTTTCTCAGTCTTGCCAAAGAAAAGAAATCTATTGTATGTTTTAAAGCATAGATAGATGCACCATCACTTTTTATAATTTGCAAGTGCTCCCCTTAACAATTCAGCGCTACAAGTTGTGACTGTTTTGGTTGCCATGGCAAGTGAAGAATATATCTGGCGATTAATATTTCGACACAAGTTGCCAATTGGCGGCTTAAAGACCGTTCCATTAAACTTCCACATAAGCATAAACCTAAAATGAACAGAGATCAAGTCAATTGATTTTGTTGAGATAAACTTCATTTTGTATTTTCCAATATTGCGTGTAACATTTAACCATAACTGTTAACTTTGCATTAAGAGTTATGGTGAATAAATGTCAAGGCAACCATAGTTTTTTATATGGTAACCGTTTTACAATTGAAAAATTGAACTTGGAGCCGGCATGTACATGTAATAGTATATATGGTAATTGTGGTTATCATCATCGTTATCATCATCGTTATCATCATCTTGGCCAACATCAATTTCATCTTCATTTTTATTTCTTCACAGGTTTGGTGATGGCTACATAATGTTGGGTTTCTCCAATGGCTATTTTGTTGTGATCTCTACTCATATGAAGGAGATAGGACAGGTACTGGAAAACTGTTGGATCAACTGTAACTATGGATATTAACTCACATCTGTAATTGGCAACATTAGTGTGACTAGTCTTCAGAAAAATAAACATTTTTTGTACTTGGTACTGTAAATGATTAAATGTTTTCGATGTTGACCTCAAGCCAAACAAATCTTTACAAGAGGACTTTCAACCAACATAAGGACCAGCTACCAGTTGGCTGTCAACTCAGTTGGTAGAGCATAGCACTGGTATCGCACAGGTCATGGGTTCAAATCCCATACAGGCCTGAGTCTTTTTTACAGGCCTTATTTCACTCCTGCTTAAATAAGCAGTGTTCATCACTGCAAAGATTGCTTTCGTATTCAGAACTTTCACTACATGTCGAACTTGTAATTGTGTTACTGAGTGCCATATTTAGCCTTTATTTGCCTGGAAACTACATTGTACAGCTCACCAAGATCAAGATTCTCCATCTTGTCTCAATAATGAAAGTTGTATTTGGAAGTCTGTTTTGTATTCTTTTCTATTTTTGTATAGGATGCTAGTTGTCTATCTCATAGGATACCCCAAGCATTTCCTTTCCATTGGAGGGTTACTTTGAAGTTGCCTGCGTTGCTGGCGGTCTGCTGTTTTGGGGGCGGAGAGAACCACAGACTGCCAGCAACGCAGGCTAGCTTTGAAGTTAAGAGAGACCCCGTGAGAGTAACTTATTTCCCAAAACTTAACGCACTGACTTTTCTGTAACGCTACCTTGGACATCTCCATCCAGAGTCCAATACAATAAACATTGGTTCAGCGCGTCTCCTATCCTAGTAGTGGTAAGAGTTTTAATGAGCAATTTTGTTGCCTTCTGCTGACAGGAATTGTATCAAACAAGGGATCATAAGGATGAGCTGACAGGCATTGCCATGTCTCTTGAACTTAACAAAGCAGCCTCATGCGGCGACAACTGGTATGGCCAGCTTTAATTTATATATGTGACATTTATGTTAATTATTAATTTAAACGGACTTAATTACCTTCAGTTAGAAATGTACAAAATATTCTCGTGTTCTTCCAAAGTGTGGGTTCTTTTAGGGGTAAATAATCAGAGGATAGAGTTTATTGGTGTACTATGGTACAAAAAATGTTATACTGTAGACAGCTTCAACCAGCAAAGATCAGGAAAATTTTATGAAATACCTGAACTAGTTGATAATGTTACAATATGACATGTTTTATTTTTATTTCACCAGTATTTAAATACAGCACAGTAACAATTTAACATGATTTTCCTTTATTTCAGTGTAAAGATTCATGACTTGGCAGAGATGAAGGAGATCTATGCTATAATTACTATAGAGGATGCGGGAGGTATTGTTAAATGGTGTTTTTAGTTAGTGACCAGTAAGGAGAAATAATATTTTTGTATTGGATTCTGTCAGTTCTCAACTCTTCGAAATTCAACAATAAATTTTCTCCTAAAAGTACATGTACAACTTATGTGGGTAAGGACATGTAATGAGTGCATCTCAAATTTTCTCAAAGCAAATTTTTGGTTTTGTAATGAAATCAAACGATTTCAAGCCCAGGATAAGTTGAAATGTAAACCTTCAGATTATTTTGATGAAAATTGAAATTCCGTCTGTATACAGTGCATATGAAAAATATACTCCTATACACCCGTTTAGTCGGTTTCCTGTGGACACAATTTTGGTCTTGTTTATTTTAAGTTTGACAATTTGTGACGGAAACAAACTTTTGAACTTGAACTGTGGCCACCACTGATAATTGCAGATGATAACAATTTTTATTGTTCGCTCCCCCTCATGTCCTTATTCCTGACCATTTTGTAAAAACCTCTTGCATTAGACCTGACCAAAATATGTACCACATACCAATGCACATGTGGCATGTGTTTTTTACCAAACGTTTTGCAGTAGCTACTCGTATAATTTCTTGACACGTATCTTTCGTCATGCAAGTAATGTTTGGAGAGCTTTGGGAGTATACATTTCTATACTATCTATAAGGCCTGCAATCCGCCGCTTCTTGAGAATTTTTACAAACGATAAAAAGTTTGTCTAATAATTAACACGAGAAAGGAAGGATCTCTTCTACATGGAGATTTTGGTGGCGAATGAATAAAAATTGCCAATGATTCTTTATTATCAATGTAGTAGACATGGTTTGATCTATTTCCGATCTATTTAAGACACGTTTAACCACTACTCAGTTGGTTACTGTCTTACTACATCCTCTAGGTACTCCAAGCTGGACCACTTCTAAGTCCTGAGTTACATGTAGCTCTAAACACTATATTTAATCTTTGTGTGTTAGGACACCTGGACAAAATCTCCTGGACAGACGATGGACAACTGCTGGCTGTTAGCACTCAGTCAGGTATAATTACTAACAATCTCTAAATGTGTAACGATTCGTACAAAGTCTACATTTTAATTCGATTCAATCTCGATTATTACCCAGGTGCAATATATGTTTATCTTACAAAGTTACCTGTCCTTGGTTGTGCCAGCGGAACACGATTGTCATATCTAACATCCCTCAAAGAGGTAATGGTAGTGTTTGATTTGATTATGTGATTGAAGAATCTAGACTACAAATGACTATATGCTTCGTCGGGTGATTGTTTTTACTTTGAGATATTCTCACATAGAAAATCTTAAACGATTTAAGTACCGAGTAGTCTCTCTGTACAGCTTGCGCTCACATATCTTGCGAATTAAGCTTCGCCTTAGTGGCGATCGTCAAACGTTGGGCATGCGCGAAGGAATCACTTCTGGCCACTCGCGCGCCAATTTCCCGCGCAAAATTGTAAGGGAAAACATAAGAAACAAGTGCTGTCTCGCGAAAAAAAGCGAAGGAAAATTGGAATGTTCTCAGAAATCTGTGAAAGGAAACAGAGATAAGGAAAGAGGAGGAAAACACGAGCTTTTTCGAACTCAAAGCTTCTTCTAGTACGGATATCCTGTTGATTTACCATTCTGTTTTGAGCCTCAACAAAAAAGCTATACGCTTCTAAAACTCAGTGATACACAGACTTGTGTTGTTGTTTGTAACTCGTGTGAGGCAATTCCGTTCTGGCAGATTTTAAGCACGGCACCTAGTCGTTACCATGTTACTACATGCGCAGACGTTTGACCGCTGTGTTTCGCCGTTCAGTTCTATAAGTTCCTGCTAGAACACTACCATTATATGCAGTTTGATCTTTCAGTCAGTTTAAACCATTGAAATGGCATGAAATGTCTTCTTATAAGCGAAATTAATCAGGATTGCTTAAAGACTCGTATAGAATAACGTTTTATCGGGAAGAAGTTCATGGAACAGTTGTGTTCAACAGAAACATATACGTAACGGTTTTATGATTATTGATCTGTTTTCCTGATGTTTTCAGGTGACGATTGTGGACAATGTGATGCAGGTAATTGATTTGAATCTTAGTGATCGAAATTCAGACCCCTTAATTTTGGCAAATTATAACGGTGTAGAAGACACAGTGGATCAGTGGCTAATACGTTGAACTGCAAGTCGTGAAGTCTGGGTTCGAGTCGTGGTCTAGGTCTCTGCTTTGGGTTTTTATACAAAGTTACTTACTTTCACTGTGCCCGTCTCCACCCAGGTTGGGAGTATGATTGGGTGCGGCGAACTGTCACGGAAACTTGAGGAAATAAGGGAGGAATGGGACGAGCGCGGATAACGCTGGGAAGAAATTGCATCTTGTCCAGGGAATGATAGCAATACTCCCAGTCGAGAACCTCATCCCAGTTTCACTTGCAATGAGGTTCGATAGTATGGGCTGTCTCGCTCCTAAGCTACTTTTAACCCCAGACAATTCACTTTCTGGCTCTCCGAGGTAGCGATTGTTGATTCTCAAGCTTTTTCTAGGAGAATGCATTTGACAAGATGAAAAAATAGTGATAACAGACGTGTATTTTGTTCTACAATGTTTTCCACAGGAGCGACCTCTGAGTGTGGATATCATCGTAGAGCCAAACTTTGTGGCGCTGGGGCCATATCATCTGGCCGTAGGAATGAATAATCGTGCTTGGTTTTATGCTTTAGCTGACAAAGGTAAGCTGTTACTGTAAAGCAAACCAGCTTCGCTGCTTACTTAGCCTCATAGAACTACATATTTTGAAATGAAATCGCCTACTTGTTGCAAGATTTCTCGTATTACAGTATTTTCGCATTTGAAAGGTTTTCAAATTCGCCGTACAGTGCACATTCTCCTAAAACTGAAAGGGAGCTAAACTGAATCGGCAGAAAATAAGTTGTAGTAATTTTTATTTAAGGGTAAGTCGCTCTGTTTTATTCAATGCTGAATAATTCAGTCTGAAAACAATGGTATAATGCTGCTGCAGTAAATGTATATCAAGAGAACCACTCAATGTGAAGAACTAGTTACAGCGAGAGGTAGAACATAAGCCTAGCTAACATTAGATTGCGTTTATGAGAAAACGTGGATTTAATTCTAAGGTGTAAGTTACAAAATCCACTGTCTTCTTAAATTTAACAGCTCTAATTTCATATTTTGGGAAAAGTTGATGCTTGCCTTGTTTGGATAGAACTTGTATACCGAAAGTTGTTTTATCGTTTTGTCACGAGCTTGGGACAAAAAAAAAATTAAGTCCTTACCCAGAATCGAACTTCAGACCTTCGGATTCTGCGCTCTGAAGCTCCACCACTCAACCAATGAGACTCTATGGTAAACAGTGCCCCTGCTGGGTTCATGTACTGCTTGGATCGCCTTGTGTTCGGTAGAAATATATGAAAAATATTTCGTTGTTCAACATTAATTACAAACTTGTGTATCAACAGGTCCTGAGCAATTGAAAGATCGAGAGTATCTCGGTACAGTCAATGCCATTCATCTGAACGCTGATTATGCTGCTGTTCTTTTTGAAGGGAAAGTTCAGCTTCATTTGGTAAGTAAGACAGGCTTACATAAAAGCTATCGTTAGAAAAAGCAAAATATAGCAATCGATTGTCACAAGTAATTCGAGATTTTTCTTTTATCAGCTTCTTAAGAAACTGTTGAGCTGCGTTGGGGAGAGGGGGTGGGGGCAAGTGCAACAGAATTGTTTTTACGACAGCTAAACTGCAGTAAGGAATTTTCAAAACCTTTGCTCTGCACTCTTTGATTGGTCCAGGGTCTCGCGCCTCTCTTTCAACCAGTTAGATGCCACATTTAAGTTTTTGTCAATAGGACCCCTCCGCTGTAGGTTCTCTTTAGCTCCTTTCGAAATATACCTTGTCTGATTTACCGTTGTGATTGCTTTGACTTTGATTATTGCAATTCTCAGTTTAAGGGATTTCTTTTCAACAAGTAGTTCAGTTTTGCTTTTATGTTTGCCTCGACGAACTCGCTCATGTATTCGTATGACGAAGGCAAGCGTATCCCACAGTGCTGTTAGACTTTCAAGCCTTTTTCGGAAAGACAGTTGGTGCCTTGCCTAATAGGCCATTTTACAGTTGTGCACTTAGTCGCCAAGCCTTTGATTTGGAGTGAGGCTGAAGGTGACCTTGTTGTGATAGAGACAAGTATCTAGTTAGCGTGATAACAAAGTAATTTACATTTGAAAAGCAGCAAGGTTTGTATCATAACAAGGTCACCCTTAGCCTCACTCCTATTCAAAGGCTTGGCAACCAAGCACAACTGTAAAATGGACTATTGGCATTAGCAGTTTAATGAAGATTATGACGTGAAAAATAGTGTTAATTTTGAACGTCTTCAAGAAGTGGGATGCAGTTGATATAAAAAGACTGTCTATTTCTTGCACCGTAACAAGCCTTTTGTTTACTGTGAGCAAATAAAGAGTGGTTTCAGTACCTGTGAGAGTGATACTACTTATGGAACCATCAGGTTCCTCAGTTAAGCGCTTCACAGGAAATCCAATCGAAACGTGAATTATTACATATATGCTATCGCAGATTGAAGGAGAAGCTTTGGATACAGCAGATGACCGAGAGACCAGACTGTTCCCGGATAAAGGCAACCAAGGACGGATCACATGCTGTGCTTTGACTTCTGACTTTCTAATCTATGGCACGGATGTAAGTGGAAGTCTTTTCGTCAAAATCTGTTTGAATTTCAAGGATGAAAACGTGAACTGTATTTGTGGGCAAGTGTATGTCCAAGGTTTATTGTAACATGGCGCGTGCGCAAGTCCTACTTAATTCCTTAGGAGCTACCACTGCTTAAAATCCCAATGTACGCATGGCCGTGCATCCATACCACGACTTGTGAAAGTTCCCTTTAAGTTCAGCCGCGTGGTTTCAAAACTTTCATAATTTTTTTTCTGTTCTATCCCGATTGAGATAGCTCTTTTGGAACACACAATGAAGAAAAAATATGCGTAATGATACTCGTTTCGAAAAGCAGTTGGAGTTGACAATACTTCATTCCCAAACGCCATGCGAATTGTGGCTGAAAACAATTTCTGTTTTCAACTGAGGCTTTGCGACGTTCGGAACTCTTTATTAGAACGGTAAATACTATTTTGAAGTGTTGATATGTCCCAAAAGTGTCATTCAATTTCAACTCAAAGCTACGCAATTTTCTGATTGTAAATTCTAGAAGGCAACAATTTAAGATAAATCTATCGAAATCTACCACACAGGTCTCATAAATGCAAGAAATTTGTAAATTTTCGCTTCGATATTCGAATCGTTGATATCATTTTTTGAGTTGATATTTCCTAAAAGTATTGTTGAATTAAATATTTTTATTTTAAAGCCGTACAATTTCAGAATTTTTAACACAGATCTACGAAATTTTATGGCCACGAATTCTAGTAAACAACCATCCAAGCGCACTGAATCTACTACGCAGAAATTCGTTCGTTTTTCGCTTCTGAGCAGAAAATTCACACTTCTTTGAATAAATATTTGGTCTCGAAATACTTCTAGGTCATTTTTGCCCTGTCATTTATTTATTTATTTATAGTTTTCGGGTAGAACACGGTTATCCGGGATATCCGACACGGTTATCCGGGATATCCGACACAGATGTAATTATTTCTTTGTTCGAGCATGACTTGCGTCTGCATGCTATGTTATAAAAAGAATTGGTTCATTCTTTAGCTGTGCGTATATTGAGTTTTGGACGTACTTGGGAAGTTTAAAGAGTACTCAAGAAGCTAGAGTTGTTCTCGGCTCCGCCTCGAGGAACTCTTACGCTTCTCTCGTGCTCTTCAAACTTTTCGTGTTACATCCATTACTCGATATACGCACGCTAAGCATGGACGAAATCTATGTAGACCCACTGTTTAGTCTTCTTTATGGAAAGACCCACACAGTTTAATTCTTCCCGCCTTTTTATCTGTTTTATTTATCCATAATTCTAAAGCGGATTTTTTTATGGCATTTTAGAATGGAAGCCTGTTTTATTTCTTCATCGAAGATTGGCAGTTTGTCAATGAATTCAGACATGTAGTAGGTGAGTGGTACGTTTAGACTTAGAAACTGAAAATTTTCTGCCTCGTTAGCCTCCTATTAGGATTTATTTTGATCGTTCAACATTTCTCGATGCGACTTTCTGGTATCGTGTTTAAATGAAGTAGTTATATATTTATTTAGGTGTAGTTGTCTGAGGCAGGAAGACATATATTGGTAGTGAGACAGACAGAAAGACATAGTCAGTTAGACAAATATATAGTCAAACAGACAGACTAACAGGCCAACAGACAAACAGACGGAAAGACGGACAGACAGATAAGCAGCCAAATAGACAGACAGACAGACAGACTAACTGATGGAAAAACAGCGAGAAGTCAGTTGGGTAGACAGATAGACAGACGATCACACAGACTGATTGACAGTCTGACTTACTTATAGGCAGATTGACCGAAATAGTCTGAAAGTTGAACTATCAAGTTGAACCTGATGAAATGAAATAGAAGCAGGTGGATCAATATTTATGCAATCAAGAACACTTCCTATCGGTTTAGTCGATTAATACGCTCGACAAGAAAAGTTTGTTAGTCACGAAACTGAGGTGAATGATTTTAAGTCTTGCCAAAAGGCAATAATATCACGAATAGTAAATAATTTGGTAAATAGATTCAAGTTTAAAAGTTACATTAGCCATGAAATCATCGATTTCCTTTGTAACACCATTATTTGGGTACTGTTCATGCAAAGGCATTAAAAGGATCTTCCCAGATGTTAGTGGGACTCATCTGGTGTTCATCGATGAAAAGAGTGATGGATTTGTTTACAATCCTGTGAGTATTCAGTCACATGTATCATTTATCCTAATTGCGAGTTTTCCTTTACATGACCAAAAACTGACCTACTTGGTTTTGGTGTCACCCTAAGCAGATAACATGACTACTCCGGAAGTTTTCCGTGACCAGCAAAGTTGACGTGTATTTTTCTCCAAGTATATGACAAGTGTATGACTTGTTTCGGAAAGTTTGCTTGGGTGGAAGCGGTCTAGCTTCAATACACCGAAAATTTTAAATTATGATGTGTTGTACCCTATTCACACAAGCAAAACATTTTTTTTAAACTGGTTTTTACTGAATGAAATTATAAACAGAAAACTGAAAAGCTTCATTTTCCATAGGATTCAAGTACGTACCAACTTGCATTTCCAATGTGCTGCATTTAAGTCAAAAAATATTAGGCGAAGTAGTTTCTACGAAAAAAAAAATGTGTTGAACAAAACGACTTTAAAACATGTTTAAGCTTTATTGTGAATTGAGTATTAGATAGAAACCCATTTCACACGAAATAGCGTCCATTTCCTTTAATTGTGATATATATATGTTACAGCGGTTAACATCTACCTCAGATCTCAGGTTCTGGCTTCCCGGGAAACTGGATCGACACAACTTTGCTTAGGCAACGAGATTGCTTATTGACCGTCAATAAACTCGGTACAAACAACTTAATAAAATTTAGGACGCAAAGGATGAGGTATGGGGGCGGGGGGGGGGGGGAAGAGGGGGGGAAAGGGGGGAGAGGGGGGAGAGAAAAGATTAATTCAAGCACGCAGCTTGCCGCCACCCAAAGATCGTGTTCCACTTTCTCCTTGCTTTCCGTACACGATTTTAATTTTCCTCTCTCTTCTTTAGAAGACGCCTACCGTAGTAGTGCAAGCTACTTTTAGTTGAATTCCCTGAACCTCCTAAATTGTTTGTTTTTCGTTATGGAAAGGGTAAAAAGAGTTGTTGTCATTGTCTTGCAGGTCAATGATGCCACTTTCGAGATTCCCAACTTTTCCCCGAATATAAGAGGCATTATTTGGGAAAATTGGCCTCTAGACAAGGTAAATTAATTCATAGCTATCTACAACAGGATGGGAAATGTGTTCAGTGCTCTCCTTTTGCAATGTCATGAGCTCATCATAAACGAAAATTCCTTTCAAGAATTGTCATATGACTTGGTAGCCATGCAATAACAAGTTCGAGTTACAACTGGACTTAGCCAATGATCGAAACCGTGATTTAGGTTTTCGGTCACCGGGGTTGGAAACAACTTGTTACCGCAAAGCGGTTAACCGATTTCTGCCATTACTACGGGGCAAAAAACTTCTGATGGTTTATTTCTTCTTCACTTGTTCGAAGTCTTCCTGGAACCTGTAAGATGACTTACAAGTACGTCTGTGCGTCTGCTTATTACAGCAATCATGTAAGAAAGATCTTCCGTGGTAACACGCGAAGGCTAGGAACAGCACAGCGGTCGAACGTCTGGGATGTGCGAGGAGATCAATTTTGGCCGCCTACGCGCCAATTTCCTGCATGTCTCTCAAAACAAAAACGTTACTTCTCACATGTCGAGTTCAATTTGGAAGTAGATTTGTACTTTTCTTTTAGGACGTGTTCTGTGGTTACGATGAAGAGAAAGTGTATACCTATATCTTCTACAGAGATAGTGTAATAGGTGAGACAGTAGAGAGTTCATTTAAACGTCTACACGAATAAGACAAGGGCAAGAATCAAATTTTGCTATCTGTCATTTCTTTGCTTTTTTTTCATAAAAAATTATATTAAGACAGCCTTTTTCCAATTATTCGCTTGGTTTGATGGCATTTACAATCTTTTCCATTTCTGAGGAGGGATTTAGTTGGTTTGGTTTTGCTGGTTTTAATGCTTCTGTTATTATTTTTTTTTAGGGCCCCAGTGTATAATGGCGGGAACCACCAAGCTGCCTTACGCTCAAAAACCCCTCATGTTATACGGTGGTGAAATGACGTGTCAGACACAGAGCGGCAAGGTATAGCAATTTAAACGTAACTCATGAATAGCAGTCAACTAAAGCGGTTATTTTTACTTCTAACATGCTTGGCTCAGCGTTGGGGGCGATGTGAAACCAATCATTTACCCTGCTTGGCCATCGCGAGCGGGTAAGGTGGGCCAACCTTGCCTGTTTGGAGAGGCCGGTGTTCTTAAGTCATAGAACAAAATTCTTCATGGTAATCTTTACTCAAACAAGATTATTCTATTTTGGCGTATGTTGCTTTCAAAATTGGGAATTCAAGCAGTAGGGATGTGTAACATGTGACACATTACCTAAGCAGTGGCCTAGCTCACTATAGAGTTTCTGTGGCTCAGTGGTAGAGTATCGCGGCGCGAAATCCGAAGGTCTGAGGTTCGTTTCCTCATGGGGATTCATTTTTTCTTCGTCCCCCACAGTTTTCTCCTTTTCTGGCGGTAACTGGTAAAGTTTACCGCCTTTTGTACCTCTTATTACTGCCTATAATCGTTTGGAATTCAACTGGTAAAACGATTGCTCGACTAGATTGAACCTTTACCTTCTGCTTAAGGTGACGGAGAACAATGCAGCACGCTGGTGAAATGATAGCTTTTTATACTTCACCACTGAGCTTACTATTTAAACTCCTATCTTTATTATTCTAAATTATCTTTTATCGCCTAAGCTCTTTGGGTCAAGATGGGTGGATATTGCTTTGTTCTTGGCGTCATTGATTTGGATGAACCTCGACTTCTGATCGCTCCATGAAAAAGAGATCTTTGCCTCTATCCAACCATACTGAGCTAACAAGTTCTGTTAATAGTAAGAATATTCAAACCAAATTTCTTCATTGTGGATTTCTTTCATCCATTGCTACGTGAGTCAACTTTGTGTGAATTAAGTCGTTCCTCGACCCCTATTCGATCATCTTCGTGGCCATTTTCTGGTGAGAATCAAGTGTTGCTTCGTTTTCGAATTAGGCAGCAGAACTGTAGCATTATTCGTGGTGTTGATATTGACTTCATTGTTTCACAGACCTCCAAACTCAGTCTTACCACGCATTTATTTCACGAGAAGCCTCAGGATCTTCCACAATCTGATGTAAGTTTATTTTTAAACGCCGTGAATGGCCTTTACTTTGGTATCATGAATACTCCAGTCAGAATGCGGAAAGATATTGAGTGTAATTTTGAAGTTTACGGCACTGATTGGTAAACAGCAAAATATGGTTGTGATTTCGCCAACATTTCCTAGTGTCTCCTTTAATTTTTAAGCGAGGGAAATAGAAAAAACAACCTATTCAAATAAATTAAAGTATTTTAAAATAAGTTCACAAAGAGATGATTGCAGATGACGAGGAAGTAAACATTTGCCATTTGCTGTAAACTTCATGCGGAATTCCTCGGACACTGAGGATCGAAATGTACTAACAACAGCGAATAAAAACGTACTGAGAACAGTCTACACAGCAGCCTAAAAAAAAAACGCAAGAGGCGGAACGCCATTACACTGGACAAAGATTCAAAAGGCTTGTGCGATGAAAGCCGTCGTTTTTGTTTTATCTCGTAAATGACACCCTTCAATCCAGTTCTCTCACTATCCCCAGTACCCCCAGTTTCTTTAAGCAACTCCAATACCTTCACAATTGTAAATCTCTTTTTTCATGGCTTAATTAGAGTTTTTTTGTATCCCCTCTTCGTTCTAATTGATCGTCTTCTTGTTTGCACTTACAGTTACAAACCTCATTCAATCACTGTCTGACGTTGAAACGGTAAGTTGATTTCCAAGGCGTTTCTTGCATCCTGTAATTGTTTTTGATATGATGTGAGACTAAAATATTTTCAATTTGGTGTCGAAAGTAATCCAGCTTTGCATAGCTTTTGTTGTGAATTCATCTGTGATTGGTGCACCAACGCCAGATTGAAACCAATCACCAATTGCCGTGCCACATCACTCGATTTCCCATTGGCTCATTGCAGTATTTTCCTTTTCTCTCATTGGGTGTTGTGATTACTTTTATACTTTGGTGTAGTTTCAAAGATGCATGGACGCTGGCTCGCATCCTGGATTCCAAAGATTCTTGGATCGAACTGGGAAAAAAGGCGATCTATCATTTGGACATTGAGCTTGGTGAGTTAAACAAAGCTTATTTTCGCATATGTTATGGGTAAAATAGAGAAATTTTCAGTTGAGTATCGATAGTAATCCGGGAGTGCTTTGTTCTGGCGTTCCTTCGCACAAAACTAGAACCAAACACGACTTGATCGCCCGCGTTTTCCCGCGCTCTACCCAGTTCGTTTGATTTTTTTAAAATTCTCATTGGCTCTTAAAGTTATTTTTCGCTCTTCAGCTTTACCACTGTGATTACTTTGGTTTTGGTTGCTACAATCAATCAATCAATCGTTTATTTATCCACATAGCGTGTAGTGAGCTGGAAAGCTCGTTCAAAATACATACGTGGTACGAAAATCGCTCTTATCGCAGTTTGTTGTACACCTTTCATTTCAAAGAAGCTGATGGGATTTTCTCCTTACAGTTTTGATAATTTGAATCGTTAACCTTGCACGATAAAAGAAAGATATTATCTACTGATCAGACGAGTGTCTGATACATTGGTTATTTAACCCTTTACATCCTAACCTTTGTATGCATATTCTCCATACTGTTATGTTGTCTGTTTACATTTCCTACTGAGCTGGCAAGGAGAATTGTTTAACAATCAAGATTTTACATAGTTGGTGATCATTTCCTTTACTCTCGTTACCTCAATGTTTGATTCAGGGGCTATATTGTAAGGAGAAATTAGATGCTAGTCTCTCTTAGGGTTCAAATGGTTATTACTTTGGTGGATGACCGACGTTTTCCATCCTTAGGGACCTTTAGCAGTTAGGACGGCAACGTCAAGGAAGAAAATAAATAAATATTTTCAGTCGGAATTTTGCGAATGACTGGATGTGTTTACCATCTCTTAAGGCACCACAAATTAACCTCAACACAACGTATGAGAGCGGTGTTGAGTTCCAAATGGAAACTTAAATAATCTGCTTTCGAGGTTTCCTTTCGCGGACCACGTGAATTTTGATGATTTCATGTAGTTATTTTGCAGAGGGCGGCTAAGAAATGTACACAGTTTCAAAACGCACGTGCTGAGCTATTGTTCTGTTCATTAGATCTGTTGTTTTGCCACGTCCTCGTTGCTGTCGCCGTCGTGGTTTGCTAAAGGTCCCTATTTATATCGCTAACTTGTGGATAACGAAGACTGGTTTGTTACCACTTGTCAAAGAAAGTGCTTTCAAGCTTTAAGATTCCGGAGGCTCATATCACACCTCTTTTTTAAATTCAATTTTTCTCTCAAGGTCGATAGCTTATATTTGAGTGATTTATTTTCTCTAGTGAGCCCAACATTGCAGTTCTCCTTACAAATAGAAAATCCTGTCGCTAGAAAAACCAATAGGAAGAGAATATGTACACATTTGGTTCTGAATTGGAATCACGTACTTCATTCTGTCCGCTTATAAGGTGTTTTGATGTTTTGAAACATTTTTCCATATTTCACCTTTGCTAGCCAGGGGCGAACAACGTTTTTTTGCACATGTAGTTAAGATTTGTCTTACATGTAACATTTTTTGTCGGCAGCTATCAGAGTGTACCGAAAGATGGGAGATGTTGCCATGGTCCAGTCTCTAGAGAGTATCGAGGTAAAATGAACAGAACTCTAAATTTCGTAAATGAAGTCACTTGACTGTTTTTGGCTGTTAGAACATTAGGGATGGCTGAACTGACTAAGAGAGTAGCTGTGCATTTAGTTGATTATGATATAGAAAAGGGCAAGAGAGGTAGTTAAACCGCCGTAACGAATCTCGAAAAGCTGGCTTTTAAGTAACCTTTACACCGGAGCACTTTGCCCCAGTGGGATAAATGAAACCCGGGTTATAAAGCGTTTGTCTTCATTTTTGTGTCAAATGGACCAAAACAACAAACGATCAGATGTGTTTGTCCACATTTATTGTATGCCGTGTATCCTGTATGCGAATCGAATGTATTATTGATCCTTTTCTGTTCCTTCATCAGGGAACTGAAGACAAACATCTCCTGGCCGGATATGTTGCCATGTTTCTCGAAGAATACAGTACAGCACAGGTAGGTGGAAAAGTAGATGACAACAATTTCACATGGTTCCTTCGCGATAATGTTTTTGTTTTTGTTTTTTAATAACTCTTAATTTCTGTCGGGCATGTTTCTTAAAAAAAGTACAGGGTCTCGAAACTATAATTCGAGGAAAAGGTTTTGATTAAACCGTTAAGTTTGCTCCATGGCCTCTTACGTTATGTTATCCTTTTCGTCCCAAGAAAGATTTCTCGCGCACAATTGTAGGCTTAACTATGCAGCCGGACCTTAATTAGGAATGTCGAAATAGGACAACAACGCAACAAACAGCAAGATAAAAACCTTCCACATGACAAAACACTTGGACAAACTAGCTCCCAAAATTATTATCGTCTGCCCACTGACTGTGTATAATCATTTTATTATCGTAGGATTTGTTTCTTGGCTCAACATATCCGTTGGCTGCGCTTGAGGTTTGTATCGTTATAACTTGAGAATCCCTTTATTAACATGAAGTGTTTTTCTTATTGGATGTGAATGTTTTTACTGGATCTGGTTCGACAATAAATCAGTCAAAAGGCGTAGTGTCCGAAGATTGTAAATGGTAACCTGCCAAATCAGTCTTCATAACTGAGTTTGGCATCATCATATTTAGTATCAGTGACAACCAAGGCTTTAAGGGAGTATGATACGCTTGAATAGATTTCTACCTTTTAAGCTTGCATATGCCACTCATCGCAAAGGAACACATAATCATAATCTTCATTTCACGAAGGTGACACGCGTGAATTTGAATTTGACGATGTCTCGGAGGTGGTGGATATTTTGCCGCAAGGCCGGGAAATTCCTCGAAAGCTGATGCTATTAGTGTATTTGTTGGAGCGAAAGTTAAATTATTGTTTTCGTGCTTCAGATGAGGCGTGACTTACTTCACTGGGACCAAGCCCTTGAGTTGGCCAAGAGTCTGGCACCCAATCAGATTCCTTACATTTCAAGAGAATACGCCCAGCAGCTGGAGTTCACGTGAGATATATTATGATCTTTGGGAAACATTTTCGCCAGTGCTCTCGCAGAGGATCCCAAACTTTCCCTTGAATACAGTGCCCCAACAAAGAGGTTCCATTAAACGTGACTCTCTGGAATGCAATAGCAGCTGTCATTTCTACAATGAAACCTGTCTTAGGGCGCCTTTGTTCGAGGCACATAAACTTTTGTCCCTGATGAAGCTTTGTCGTTGTCAACTTTAGTAAAGGAACACACACTGTTCAGGTAGCACTGTTTCTTGCACCAAGGATACCCCTCCCCCTAGTAAATTTAGTACTTCATGATCAACTTAATTTTTTTAGCATGGTTTCAATCAGTATTCTTACCGTTTCTGTGTAATTTTTGTTTCCTACAGCGGAGACTACAGTAATGCTCTGCTTCACTATGAAAAAGGAGTAACCAAGTTGCCAGAGGTAAGTTTTATGACTTTGTTTATTACCTCGTTGGGATGGACTGGCATCCCATGGGGGGAGGGGGGGGGAAGGGGGAAAGTGATACTCCTAGTGGCTTCATGCTTAGATAAAAGGGATAAGCTCCGAGTAGCTCGAGAACCGACTTTAACCTTTTTCTTTAAGTGCTGATATGATCAAAAAAATCACTTTAACTTCTCTCTTAAAATTTCGGAAGTATTTGCAATAAGTTCTTACCATGCCAATTTTTTTGTCTTAACTTCGACTTATTTTCATTGCGAATTCTCGTTTCGACTGTCTGACATCACTGGCATGGTTTGGATCTCGTCCCGTAATAAAAAATTAAATAATACATACGGGATATAACGTTAGTTACTATTATGTAGTCAAAATCTCAACATGACCTCGAAAAAGAAAGGAAAAAAAGAAATGCCTCTACTTTTTCGCTCTAGCTACGTTGTATGATGATAGTGATTGCCAAATTGATATCTCTTTCCTCATATTATCTTCAGAAATCTTTTTATTTGTTGTTCCCGTAGAAACGTGACCACGATGAACTGTGTATCGGTGGAATGGCAAGAATGGCAATCAGAGTAGGAGACATAAGAAGGTTTGTGAAAATTATCTCAAAACAATAAAGCTGGGTCCGCCAGCGAGCAACATGAAGCGAATTAGACGTTCACTCAATTAAATTTTGTTTGATTTTCAGTTACGAAACTCTTCATATGCCAGAAACTTACAAGAATAAAGAAAGTTTTTTTGAACACTTTTTTCTACACGAGCTTAGGACATAGAAGGCTCATGAAGGCCTCAGATTTTCCCTCTTTCCTCGAACGTGTCAAAGCGCTAGCATTCTCTAAGTTGGAATTGATTTTGAGAGTTGATATTGATATTGATGTCTATGGAATTATAGTTTTAAGCTGAGTTTAAGTTGCTGAGCTAGAAAAAGAAGTTATGAGTCGTTATTTGATTATTTTTTAAAAAAGATATCTGTATTTTTAGAGGTGTGAATTATGCTGCTAAGAGTCCCAGCAGACCGCTAAAGAAAGAGTGTGCTACTATCTTGGAGTCAATGAAGGTAGGTGCACGTTGAAAAGCAAGCTTTTCTAGCTTGACAAGTCATATGTAAGACAAGAGGGCAATAACTCCCTTCCCGTTAATAAGCTAAATTGATCTTGTTTATGGAAGAGACGCCGTGGCGTGATTGTAAGGTAACCGGGCTCCTGATCGAGAGGTCTGAGTACGTCTGAGTCCTGTGTGGTTTTATTGGGCGACATTTTACTCTCCTTTTGCTTCATTCCGCCCAGGCTCTGGTTTTTCGAGGGCTGGATAACGCTATCCACTGGATAAATCTCTATCCGGTGGATAGTGCAGTACGTTTTATTGACACATCCGCTGGATAGCGATTTTCCAACGGATAACGTCATCCGCCCCTAAAACAACTGGGCCCAGGAATATAAATGGGTACGAACAAAGTGCGAAAGTAACTTGAAGAATTGCTGGGAGTTTACTCCTAAAACTTAACCAGTAAGTTTTTGTTATTCTTTGAATAATTATTAAATTTTATTGATGGGTTTCATTCTCAGCAATATTCCGAGTCTGCTCTGTTGTTTGAGAAAGGACAATACTGGGAAAAGGCAGCTGCTGTGTACATCAAGACTAAGAATTGGTGAGTACACAGAGTAATACTGAGTGCAAACAGAAGATAGTTATTCCAAACTGGCTAGACGAGCTTCGTTTGTCAATTTTACAATCAATACAGAAAGAAAACTGCCAGTTTACAATTTGGTATTTTTATAAGATTAGGATTTTATGTCTAATTCGTTGTAAGCAGTTGCATAATTCTCAAGTTCCAGCATTCAGTACCACATGGTTCTTGTTCACTGAAGAAGAGGAAAGTGCCGCTACTTCCCCTCCCCTCCTTCGCTTTATGTCCTCATTGAAACTCTGAGGAAGTTATCAATTGTAAGTGATTGTGGAGGTAGGGGTGGGGATGGGGATGGGGAAGTGGGGGAATACCAGGCTAGGAAGGTAAAGCGTTGGAAAGAGGCACTTCCTTTATAATGTTTCGGTGTGACAGCATATTGTAAGGTAGGTTTTTGAATATAAGCTTACACAGAGATTATTCCATGGGAAGTGCGTGCAAACGAATTGATTCACGAGTTGCGATACATCAATAAAACGGACAAGTGAGCGCAGCTAACGAGAGTTTTATATGCAGTGCAACGAGCCTGAATTTTTTTTTTCAGGCCTTATTTTCACAACTACTCGAGTCGTGTTTATCACTGCGCTATCATATTCACGTCTTTATCCGCATTTCGCATATATGATTTTCATATTTTCACAGTCATTTATTCATCGCTTCAAGGGTTTTATTTATTTCACAGTGTAAATCTCAGTATGTATGAAATAAATAACGTTCTTTCCTAGGGCAAAGGTCGGTGAATTGCTAGCTCACGTTACCTCTCCTAAGCTTCATGCGCAGTATGCTAAGGCCAAGGAGGCCGATGGGAAATATAAGGAGGCTGCAATAGCTTACGAGGCGGCTAAAGATTATGACAGCGTCATCAGGTAGGGACATTTTAGGACTTGAAACACCACAATGTGATACACACACGCACCTTAAAAAATAAAAGTGAAAAAATTAATTCTAAGTGATAACTCCTAAGGCCTTTTTGTTTGGTATTATATTTAATTTTGGCGACTTAATCCTTTCATCTTTGATTGTTTTAGGATCAATCTTGATCACCTGCAAAACCCCGAGGAAGCTGTAAGGATTGTGAAGGAGACCCAGTCTGTCGAAGGAGCTAAAATGGTGGCCAAGTATGATACCACTCAGTCTTAGTACTAGGTAATTTAGTGTTAACAACTGGGTTGAAAACGTAAATTAGCCACCGTAAAGAGTAAAAAGCTTTTTTACTCTTTACGGTGGCTAATTTACGTTTTCAACCCAGTTGTTAACACTACTCTCCCACCGACGCAGCACCACAGTTTCTTTAGAAACTTACCCCTTACCCCTTTAGTCTTAGTACTAGTCTGTTCATAGCCGTTTTCATAAAACGTCGAAGAAGTGCAAAACGGCCGGTAATCGCTGGAGCTTGGAAAAGGATTAAATAAAATTTTCTTTTTACCTAACCCCACCCCTAGCGATCGGGTTCGTTAAGACTCCCGCGATTTCTATCTCGCTCACGCCATGGACGATGAGCTTGGAGAAATAGAAGGTCTGTGAAAAGCGTCACGAGTTAACCAGTGGCATCCTTTACAAGCCCACAGTTTTATTAGGCAGCAACAACGGCTCACTCAAAATACCTTACTAGGAAAAAAAATCAGTAGATTTAGCAAAAAACGTTGAGATTTGAAATGAGGAATCGACAGCGCGAAAGCAGGCGTGTTTTTTCGTTATTGGTTTTCAATCTGACTTCTTGGTCATCGAGTCGTCAGGTAATTTTCTCACGTTTTTAAGTCTTGGTGACAATTTTTGTCGACGCTTTTGTTTAAGCGCCACGCATTTTTCCCGCTAAATCTTTGTGAGATATATTTATCCACGTATCCTATTCGATACTAGGTTCTTTCAGAAACTTGGTGACTTTGGATCTGCGATTCAGTTCCTTGTTCTGTCCAAATGCAACGATGAAGCATTTCAGCTCGCCCAGGTATGCCAATAAATAAAGCATAAAACTGATATGGAAAAGTGATGGACTGATCGAGTCTAATGTTCACGTGTTTCTTTCTCATCTGATTTTTAGACGCATAATCAAATGGAACAGTATGCTGAAATAATTGGTAAGTTTAGTGGCAGAAGATATTTTATCATCCAACTGCACGAATTAGAGTACAAATAACGCGCATACAGTTGGTCATATTATACTGTAAAAAGACCTGTTTTACTGGTCAGCTGCGCGCGCTACACTTCTCTATCAGCATTGCTTTTCCAGCCGTTCGAGAAATGAGCAGAAAATAATGCAGTTGGATAATAAATAACTAATTAGACGTTTTGTTGTGTAGTGTTGCTTGGTATATTTACTCGTTCTTTTATTTTGACTCATCCTACGGGGTCGTCAAAATACGGCACAACTGGTAAAAATACTCAGCGATACTACACACCAAAACGTGTACTAAGACATATGACTCAGAAAGGGCATCCCTCTGTTCCATGTAGAGCTATCTTGCTTACTTTATTTTTTAAAGTGTACTTTGCACAACTACCAATTCTTCTAACCTTCTTTTTCGCAATTTACACCTAAATTTCACAATTTGAATCAGGCGTTGGTGATATGTTCGTAACTAAGTCGAACCCAATCGATCTGTGGAAATTACACCTTGTCCCCTCCTTGTTTGGAACTGACGTAGTTGAACCAATCTCCTTACTGTGCGCAATTTTTGTCCTTGTTATCGCCTGTAAGTCTTACTTCTTAATGCGACACTTTCACATCTGAAAATCCTCCTGTCATCGTACTGCAATAAATGTCAATTTTTGTTTCTTTTTTTTGTGTGACAGGCGATGATGCAGTTGCGGATGACTATGCCAGCATCGCCATGTACTTCGAGAATCAAAAACAATATTTCCTGGCTGGAAAGTTTTTCCTGAAGTCAGCACAATATGCTAAGGTAGGAAAATTGTTGAGGGTTTTGTTGCGTTAGCCTCTGTTTACCTCCTTTAGCATGAAAGAGGAGAAATCTACTGTCCATTTCCTTTACTTATGACCTGTCATTCTCTCCTCTAAGGCTTTGAAGCACTTCTTGAAATGTCCCGTTGGAGAAGATGGCGAATCCATTGAGCTGGCAATTGAAACTGTAAGAACTGTTTCTCTTCTCAAGTTTTCTGTTCTTCGTTGTATTTTAAGACTGTGTTGTTTTGTCTTGGACCAAACTACAGCAACGTCAAGTGCAGTCGCCTACAGAAGCCATAACAGTTTGATGTTTTATCAAAATACCATTTACTTATCAGAGTATTTTGATTAGTACCAGTTGTTTTGGTTTGTTCATGTTTTTTAACTGGCCATATCTGTTGGTTGTTTAGGTTGGTCGGGCAGGTGATGAGGTGTTGACACATCAGTTGATTGACTTCCTTATGGGAGAGGCTGACGGTATACCAAAGGTAAACTATTGTCGAACCTGTATTAAGAGGTGACCTACGGAGTGACCACTTAATACAGGTTGACCAGCAAATTACTTGCGTGATTTTCGTGCGAAATATTTGTCCTAACAGTCCAAAGGAGAAAGACAATCTACAATGTGTCGAGGACACTTGAACTAAGAGTACTGACTTTGATTGCGGGAGATAATCAGAATAAATTTTATTCGAGATAGTAATCTTGGTTTTATTTTAGTGGTTTCGCTTTTAGTGAGCGTTCAATTCAAGTGGAAGGCAATTTAAGCAGGCCGTTGGGACTTGGTTTAGGGTGACCACGACCGCTTAATAGAGATGATCGCTTGATAAAGGGTGACCGCCTAAAACGGTGGCGCTTAATACAGGTTCGACTATAATACTGACTGTGCCTCAAACAATAACTTCGTATATAAAACTTGAGGTGTCACATATTCCTACACAAAAATTCCAAGACGGACGTGGTGGTGTTTGGTGTTGAACAATACGGTGACACTTATTCAACTCTTTTCATTTGTCATTCCGTTTTCGTGGCGGTCTCTTTTTGAATAGTTAAACAGCAGTTGCAAGTTTTTTTAATCCCTGCACAGGGGTCTCAGTGAGATTTGGTGTAAATGGGTGATTCAGAATAGCAAGCGGGTTGTTTTGAGGTCCTCGACTTCTTAGGGAGGTCTGAAGTCCTTGTGAATTTTGAAGTTTTAAACTCTTACAGTTGCATTGTCCTGTACTTCGTGGTCTATTCAAATTTATGTTCCTTTGTTGATCCTAAAGGTCAACCAGTTTGAGGGGAATTAGTTGTAGCTTAAGAGTACAATGACCTTTCTGTAAATGCTACAACTGGGTAAGTCTACCCAAAACCCAGCTGCTCTTGAAATCACTGCATCCAACGTGAAAGTCATTGACGAACAAGCCATAGTAACAGAATGTGCTGTCGGAAACACATAGAAAAAAAAACAATACATTGGAGCAGTTTTCAATCGTGTGTCGAAAGTAATCCATGATTGCTTTAGTTTTTCTTACCTTTGCTCAGTTATTGATTCAGAAAACTCGCGCCAGGCAATTAATCGTGATTTAATTTGTCACACGCGTTTTCCCGGGTTTTTCATGCAGTTTTTTTACTTTTACTTTGAGTTCCCATTGGCTAACGATGATGTCCATCTTCGCTCCTATTGGTTGTTGTGATTGCTTTGATTTTGATTTTACGAAACTGAACTGAAAACTGCTCCAGTTGACTACATTCTCTTAGGAAGAGAATATATTCTCTTTTTCGTAATAAATACATAAAGACAAGCATTATTCCTTTTGAATTTTTCCCTACTCTAGGAAGCAAAGTACTTATTCCGGCTTTACATGGCGTTAAAGCAATATCGTGAGGCAGCGCGCACGGCCATCATCATTGCGAGGGAAGATCAGAATGCTGGTAACTACAGGAATGCTCATGACGTCTTGTTCAGCATGTACAGAGGTTTGTTCTCTCAATTATTTTTCCTTGACAGTATCGAGAATTCATATCATTTGCGAGAGGATCACTTAATTTTGGCTTCAATGATCTAAATTCTGTATACATGTTTTGTACATCATGTCTTACCGAGAAAAATCATTCCACTTCATCTTGTTTTAGAAGCTTTTTGATACCGAGAGACCTTGAGCAAAAATTGATGGCGACGGCAACGAGAACTGGCTGAACAAAAGATTTAATGAGCAGAACAATAGCTCAGCACGTGCGTCTTAAAACTGTGTTAATTTCTTTGCCGTCCTCTGCAAAACAACAACGTAAAATTACCAAATTTTTCGTGGTCTTAAGACGGACACCCCGATGGCAAATTGTTTAATTTTCCATTTGGGACTCAACGTTAGTCCCTCTCGTTTTGCTGAAGTTGAGGTGTGTCGCTAATCCATTTCTTCCTTGGTGCTGCCTTTCTGACTACTTAACTTCCCTACTACCTACTTTGGAATATCCCTTACGTCTAAATTTTAGATGAATGAAATATAGACATCGTCTTGTTGTCGGCTTAAATACCATATACAAAAGAAACAACCTCTCGTTCCTTTTGTTGTTAATCTGATAATACACTCCAGACGTATGCAGTTTACTGTTTTGCTTGAACGATCTTCGAATTTACTCTTACAATTTCCCGGCAGAACTTACTGATCACAAGATAAAAATTCCCGCGGAGATGATGCAGAATCTGATGATCCTTCATAGTTACATTTTGGTCAAGGTATGTAGGACTTGCTGATAGCAGTAACTGTTTTCCTGTGGCCTGTTTGTCATCCCCTTCCCTCAGGTCTTACTTCAGCAACACTTGCCTAATATCAACAAAAGAATTGCACGTAGGAAAAGCTCGACAACACACGCGTCTATACTTTTGTTTGTTATGGGAAGACGCCATTCATTTAATTTTTTCTTCCAGACTTGTGCGTTCGGTTTTGTTTTTTCACTTTACGTTCCGTTTTTGGGGCTACTGCGTAGGCACTTAGTCATTATTGGTATCATGCCAGTTTTCTTTAATTTAGTAAGTAGCAATAGGATATTCAATGGAGCCAATCAGCACACGAAGCTATCATAGTTCGGACTCGCGACGCGGCGATGATTAACCGATAATTCTCGATAACAAACGAAATGATCCGCTTCCTCGTGGTCTTCAAACACAAGCAAAGCTATCTCAAAGCTATGTATTTTTTTCCGTTTTGCTTACTTTCTCAACTTAGCATTTAGTTTACTTTCACTTCTCAGTCTACGCTGAGATGTGATACCTGGTTTTCCATAATTGTGTTTATTCTGCCTGCGTGTGAGAGTAACAATTGTTTTGTTTATTCTCTTTCAGCTACATGTGAAACGAGGTGATCACATGAAGGGTGCCCGTATGTTGATTAGGGTGGCTAATAACATCAGCAAGTTCCCTGCACGTAAGTGTTGAACATTCGTGTTCTACTTGAACTGTTTATTTTTTTAGTAGTGCGCAAAGTTGGATTGGGTGCCTCTTAAAACTCTGATTCTTGCAGCATAGTGCATTTCCCAATATTTTTACACACCTTTTTAGGGGAGCAGAGTGTATTCACTCGACTTACCTTCAAAAATTTTTGTGTGCTAAAACAGTCATGTGTAACTTGCTTCCTTTTCGTGAAAATACATTTTCTGTAAAAATAGAGAAGTGTAAAGCGAAGAAATAATGCTTGCTGGGATGTTTCGAAATTTGTACAATGTATAGAAGACGCCTGAAAAGTATTCCTGATTTGAACAGGATTTGAATTTATGACCTTCGCAATGGTGGTGCGATTGCTTAACGAAACTAAGCAGCTACTGAAGGCACTGACATTGTGAGCATGCAGATCTGTTGTAGGCTAATATGTTCCTGTTACGAGTTGGAAATAAGATGTGGTGGTGAAAGAATACACATGAACTGCATAACTGAAATGAAGTGAAATTTAAAATGACGAGAGTTTATATTTTTCTCGAATTCCATAAATCATTGCCTAACATCACTACGACGTTCATTTCATCATTTCAGTTTATTTTCCGCAATCCATACGAGTCCAAGGATAAACATATTGTCACTACAAATACATCACTTTAGTGTGGCGCCTGTGTCTTAACTTAACCCTTTAACTCCCAAAAGTTATTTTGAAACATGTAACCTTATCCAGCAACGGGTAGTGAGAATACTCAAACTTATCATGAAGAAGTTTTTTTCTTGATCTAACATCAAATTTTCGCGTTAGATGTACAAGGAAATGTATAGCAGTTAGAGGAGAGAATTAACTATTTGATCTGGGAGTTAAAGGGATAAATAAAATCGCCCCTAAGGGTAATGATGGTTCTACCTTCATTCTTTGGTCCTTTGGTTCATTTTTTGACTAATTTTTCTCGATTTATTATGATTTATGTTTTTTTTCATTACTTTCTCTTCCTCAGACGTTGTTCCCATACTGACGTCCACCGTTATCGAGTGCCATAGGTCGGGACTGAAAAATTCTTCCTTCAGCTATGCGGCCATGTTGATGAGACCTGAATATCGTCAAAAGATTGACCTCAAGTACAAAAAAAAGATTGAACAAATTGTCAGGTAAAACTTTTCAGAGCCGGCTGTTTAAACATAGTTTGACCAATGACTAGCAAAACAGCCATCTAAACTACTTAAAATTTAGCCAAACTTTTTGTCTGAAAACCTTGGTATTTGTGAACAGTGTCCTGAAGGCTTCCAAGAAACATTTTCCACAAAAACATCGGGATCCATTTGTTGTTTAAAACCGCGGAAAAGGCACAGCTTCGTTCGTTTAATCGGCACCAAGGTTTTTATTAAGAACCATTCAGAAATCTGACGAAGTCTTTCCTTTGATTATCAATTTGTCCAGCAAATTTGTCCAACAGATTGTTTCCAGTTCTTCAGTTTTATTTCAGTGTCCTACGATTAACTCTGCTTTCAGGAAACCAGACAAGACGGAAGAGGACGAACCTCAAGATCCTTGTCCTTACTGCGGCAACGAAGTACCTCAGACTAAACTGGACTGTCCAGAATGTAAAAACACCATACCTTACTGTATTATCACGGTGAGTAACAACTGAATAGCGGAAGCCCGTGGGCCAAACAACCGCCAGAGACTGGGATCTAATATTTCGTGGTTTGCCTCGTTCACTTGCAAAAATGTCTCGCTTGTGTACTAACATGTTTCTTGAGCTATATTGTGGTACTACGGCAATTCTAGAAATTTAGTGACAGAGAATTAATTAGCAATGATGCAAAGCCTATTGCAGGCAAATTCGCGGAACTTTTGATTGACTCTCACAAAAATTCTGGGAATATGTCGTGACTTTCCGTCAGTCTTTCTATCTCGCTTAATAGCTTCCTCTCGTTTCTTACCTGTGACCGCGTTTTTCAATACTGTTTTATTTCACAGGGTCGTCATATGGTTAAAGACAACTGGACAATGTGTCCTAACTGTTCGTTCCCTGCTCTTCACTCGGAACTTATGAGGTTGGTGTTTGTATGATATAAAGATATAACCTTGCTTTAAACCGGCGCTCTAATTGTTTTTTCTTCGTTATTCGTCATCAAAGGAGGTTAACCATTGAAGAGCGACGTAATATCGTCAGTTAATGCCATGTTTCAAATATGAGTAGAATTTTCAAACAATTCGGAAGGCCTCAACCCAAGTCAGAAAATTGTGATTGTTAATTTCTTGAATGAACGCACACTTTCGGGAGTTAAGTTTTCATTGGCTTAATAATTGTTGATTTTGAGGTTCTAAATGTTTGTATTTATCGAGGAGCGTGGAAAGGCTCTACTTTGTTTTTTCTTTCTCTTTGGGGCTCGCATACTTGAATAGGAACGTGGCGGTAGTCACTCGTGTGACTATGATGGCAGGACCAAATTTTCTTAGATTTAGGATCCGCAGCGCGCGCAAACTCCACTATTTCTAAGCTTCCTATGGTGTGCGACTGTGCAAAGTGTCAGTTTATTTCTTGGTAGGTTTTCACCGCAGTAAAGTAAAGGTATTACTTTTTTACATTTATTGCAGTCTACTGGAGGCCAGTGAAACAGTGTGCCCAATGTGCTCCCAAAGCATAGCAGCCACGGAAGTGAAACCAATCAAGGATCCATCACCGTATTTGAAGACTGCAGATCAAGACTGAGAATCGAGCCAGAACACGAGTTCTGCGAAATGCTACCTTGGAGTTGTATTTAACTGTAAATAATCATCGCTTCTTGGATCTCTGCGTTTTTATTTTATTTTATTTTTTTTTGATCGCATGAGATGGTTAGAATTTAAGTAATAAATAGCATGCGAATGGTACTTTGTCGTCAATAAAAACACGTTAGATGTACTCAACAAATTTGTTGTGAGATAATTTTTTCCTCTTCCACAATGTTGAGTCCGGAAGCTAAACCACTCCTAACTTGCGGACTAGAAATTTTGTTAGGAGAGAGAATGGTTTACATTTTTCCTTTAGAGGCTCATTGCATAATCTAAACGCGCCATATTGTCTTCCAGGAAAATACGAAGTGGCCAGAAATACATTTGTAGGTAGCAGGAAGGACAAGACCACAATCTTACATCTGCATAATTTTCTGTCACGCTATTTTTCCGAACCGTTATTAAGTTTAAATACGCAATTCTTGTTACAGTTGACAAAGTTAAGAGCATTAGTAAGATATTTATATAAACTCAGCTGCTTTTGTGATAGTTAGACATTTCATGAGGGGTTAACCGAAACGGTTGCATAGAGACAGATATTAATATTTCTCTGGCTGCTGCTCACTATTTCAGTTCTTTAATATTGTACATATAAAATAATTATTTTGCATTGAAGTTAATGTACATGTGTAATCTTACAAGAGGACTCAAAATTATGTCGGAAAATCTAACCAGTCAGTTTGGTAAGTTGGACGTCCTCTTGCACTCAAAAATATCAAGTTAATTGAATCTTCACCCATCCAGTTCCACATGCATTTTTCATCACAGCACATCAAACTTACAATTCAATCTTTTAACACCAGTGGAGTTGAGTACAAAGTGACAACAACCACACAGACTGCCAAAATAAGAAGGAAAAAACGAAAAGAAAAAAATTGAAGGAAATGTCGTGTCAGCCATTGAAATCATAAATCAACTGGATGTGCTAATTTGGGATATCCAATTGTTTAACAGACTTGTGTTTGACTGTGGAACTGTCAAGGTTCAGATCTGTGGTACTTTCCACATAACTACCTTGTGTAAATTAATCAGTATTGTTTTCTAGGCAAAACAGAAAATACCTGTGTCCAGACTTCGAAGAAAAAAACATTACACAACTGTTTTGCCTAGCCTACCCTGAGAAGGCAACAATACCTAGCTGATAAAATCTAAACATATATAATTGTTTTAAGTCTCCTGTTTTGAGAAATGTTGATGAAAAACATTCTCCTTTATTTTCATCGAGTCAAGGCTACTCCTCACGTGAAGGCTGAATTATGCAACTAATCAAGCTGACTTGAGCCAAGTTGCATATTTCACTAGTACTATTCTGTACTAACAAAACTAGCTCCAATGCAGGAAGAGGATGGCATTACCAACACTTGATGAAAATAACAGGGCACCTTGTTTACTCTAAATTAAAACAAAATCTCCTACCCTTTACAAATCAGTCTGCCCATTGACTTTGGGAACACAAAACCACATTTAAATAAGCCACAGCATATTAAAGCATGGTGTATTACTTTTTATCAGTTGGAGAGCATTTACTGCATCAAAGACAATTGCATGTAGAATTTTATGGACAGAAATAAAGGAAACTGTTAGAGATTGCATTAAATTCTAATCAAAATAACTTTTGTTCCTAATTCTGCTGTTGATGCCATTACCAAGCTAATCTGGATAGAACAAATTCATTTAAGTTTAAAGATATACCAGCACATCCAGTTTAACTTTGCAATGGTGTTGGTCACAATCATGAAACAGGAAGTTGTGGTTGGTCCATCTCTAGCTATGATTTAGGAAAGAGTATCCTCTGATAATACAAATGCAGCTTGTGTTCTTTATTTCACATCCTCTGCCTTTCCAGTTTCTTTTTTCTTCTTCTTTTTTTTTTCAAGGACACTGCATCAAGTTCCATAAATTACAAAAACTGAAATTTTAAATGTACTGGGCCAGCCACCTAAAGCCTAAAATAAAAGAAAAAAATACAATTGATTTATAATTTTCTCTCAGAATTAAGAGTCTACACAAGCAGGTCTTTGAGAAAGTGAATGGAGACCACCTCTAAATTGTTTAAGTGCAAGAACACTTGGCTTAGCTTGGATTAGTTACACATTCATCACTGTCCCCATTTTACTGCCAAGAGAGACCAAAATAGCATTTCTCTTTACAATTTTGATTAGTTTTCAAGCAGACAGGTCATGAGCATACAGAATAATATCCGATAAATAATGCTTGATTTACTACCAAATTCTCAAAGGTCAAAATATAAGAAATGCATGGTAAACAGAATGGATAATCTGCATCAAGCTCTTATGAGTGAAAGGGTTTTAACTGTATCACAGCAAGCCAATGAATCTCTACATATTGCATATGTAACCCATACACAATCCATTACTGCAAAACTTACCTTCACCATATCCCTGTCTTTTTAACACACTACACATATACAATTCCATTGGCCGGGCTTGCAGATCTTTAGCGGCAATATTTCCCTGTGGGAAAACCATTGTTATTTCATACATGTAGGTGCACATTCAATACTATGGTAAAAAGCTTACAAGGCATAATTAAGGGATGCCACATAAAGGTTACAAGTAGTTGTAACTGCACTTGTGGCCATTAAGAGTGAATGAAAAATTCCATGGTGTTGTAACCCTTAGTAGTTCTGCACTGCCATAGATTTGACACTTCAATCAATTTATTAATCTTATACACCTTTACAATTTAAAACCCAGGAACACTGCATGCACAAAGAAACATTAATTTAGGAAACATATCAAAATAGTACAAGCAAGTAACATCAATGATGAACAAGAACATTTGATTCACCTTTTCCTTAATGTTGAGACATCAGAATAATTATACTTAAGCTCTGTGAAGAGTATTGTTCTGTATCATAACATAACATAAAATGACATTCAGAACAACTACACAGATAGTTCAGTGAGACTTTAGTACCTTTCCTGTGGTGAGACCATAAAGGCCAAAGTACTGTCTAATGACATCTTCACTTGCAGCACCAGGGATATCAATTTTGTTACCAAGAAGAAGAACAGGGCAACTTGCTAACTGTTCATCAGCCAACAAACTCTGCAGAGTAAAAAATAAAACTTCATATAAGCTACACTATTCCTAAGCACTTCCTTGACTTGATTGTACATGCACCTCTGAACATCCAAACACTGTACATGTTTTGCTTGCATGAACCTTTTCTTTTTATTTTACCAAAGAGCACACAAGTGTACACTGTAGTGTCCATGGTTTATAATTTTGCTTATAAATACATGTATATCTTTTTTGAGTGAACTGCAGATGTAAATATACAATATATTTAAATTCAATGGCCTTTGTATAGACCATCATATGGTTAGAGCAGTGTTTGAACATGTAGCTCCAAAGACCCTCAAAATCATATCAATAATTGACTCGAGTAAAGGAAATTATAAGATACATGTTAAACATGTTTGATTTGAAGTTACTACTTCCAAGACGGCACAAACCTCTAATTCACTTTTGGACTCGGGAAGCCTCTCTCCATCGGCACAATCAATAATGAAGACTATTCCATTAACTGCTGGAAAGTAATCTTTCCAAATGCGACGAGCTGTGGAATAAATCAGAAAATCATCCTATATGTACATGACTTTGTGTTCTTTTTTATCAATCTGGACTGATATAGACAAAATGAATTAGAGCTTGAAGTGTTTTGTGACCTCAAAATTAAAAATGTAACCTAACTAAAAGCAAAATATTTTGCTCCTGCTGAGACTATTTTGGAAACTCTTAATTCACATTGATTTCACTACAGACATCCCCTGTGAATTCCCAATTGAAAAATATAATTTCCCTGTGGCATGAAGATGTTTGTATTGAGAAAACTTATCCTTAGGCTTCTCTACATTATATTCCTTTCATGTTTACTGACATCACACAGAGGTAAAACCGTTATGAGAGGGATATCTTAGAAATGAAACTACTCTTCTGAGAATAAAGGGGGTAAGTTTCGAAAGAAACTGTGGTGCTGCAATGGTGGAAGAGTATAACAGGTAATTTAGTGCTAACAACTGAGTTGAAAACGTAAATTGACCACTGTTAAGAGTTTAAAGGCTGATGTTTCGAGTGTTAGCCCTTCGTCACAGCGATCGACGAAAGGCTAATGCTTGAAATGTCTGCCTTTAAACTCTTTAAAGTACTCTTCTGAGAGTCTACATGTACCTGTACTAAAGTTTACAAGTAAGGGAATCAGCACATCCACTCACTCTCCTTCCTATACCCAAACTTAAGTACACTGTAACAATGGATCTACAAGGGAAGCATATCATACCTTGCTTATGACCACCTAGATCAAATGTTGTGAACTTCATGCCACCCATTGACAATTCCTCGGATGCTAGGATTTAACATAGAATGACTTCAATTAACATTTTTTGAAACAAATTGAACAAGACCATGAGGTTTACATTTCCTTTAAGATAACAAGGAGGGTCACATATACGGTAAGAATAATAATATTCACGAGGTTATTGTCCAAAACATCAGAACTACATTTGTATTTTGAGCAAAGATTTCCCTTATCACCCATGATGCATGCTATATGGATTTTCATTGCATGGATTAGACTGAAGGAAAGGAACTTCAACTTGTATGAAAAATTAATTTCCCACAAAATCCTTTGTTGACCCATTTATAGTGTCTCAAACTGAGTTTCAAGGGTCTTGATGCTTGATTTGAATGTCTCAAAACTTGACTCAAGCCCTGTTCCTCAAAGTTATCAAGAACTGAGGATCGAGGGAATGTCAACTTATTATTGAGCTATACTGTATAAAATATTGGAAACAAACTGTTTGAAAACTGACTCTAACAATCCATTTAAGACCTAAAACCTATAGAGTACAACAATGACTACGTGTATGTTTCAACTCCTGACTCCTCTTTTCAAGGTGAGTTGTTACCAAAATGTACCCTCAGGGTGTGAAATTGTGCCTAATACAGGTGCCAATGCTACTAAATTTTTCACTTTGGTGACCAAATCCTGAAAATTGGTTGCCATATTGGTGACTAGAATGTTTCATCATAACCTTACCATGAGATATAGTGGATTAAAAAGATTTGCAGAGATAAATCTGCAGCAAACTTCCTTGTTAAGTTTGTTTCCAAAATGCAGCATGTGCATCTCAATCGATAACTAGACGCCATCTTGGATTTAGGTGAGCTTGAACATTGTATATCATCCATCCTAGTGTCCACTTTAAAGCTCACTAAAGATCTTTTCCCTACCTTAATTTTGGAGGGTCTATCTAGAATGCTGACAGCGTAACAAAGGGTTTTGTTTGTCTCTGAAAATGGCGACCAACTTTTTTTGAATTGGCTACCACTTTGAAGAATTTAGGAGCTGAGTGGCTATCAGAAAAAAAAAATTTCACGCCCTGACCCTTCTGTCAGTTTGAATTGTTCATTAAGCATTGTACAGTTGTAGTGAAGGGCAGAACTTACAACTGACAAATTTTCAAACCATCAGATCCAACAGCTATTTAAATGAATAAATATATGAAAGAACATATTCAAATACATGTACATAAGAAAACAACATACTTGGATGCAGGGTTGGTACATGCTGCGCCATACGATCATCCTTCAGCATGTGCAACAGGGTTGTTTTACCAGCATTATCTAGTCCTAGAAAAACTAATTTACCAGTCTTTTTCATAAGCCCTGAGGGAAAATAAGCAATACACGCACTATTATAAAAAGCAATACACTCATTAATTCACAACATTTGCACCAGTCTCTTTCCCAGATATTTCGAGAAACAGACACAAAATACTTCATCTAAATAAATGTTATAAATGTCATGACACAAAAATGCATGAACTATGCTGACTGATTCAAGCAAGTCTGGACTTTAAAATTTAGGAGGTCCAAAGTTCAAGTTCCACACACCAGATTTTGCTACATCTTTCTCTCCATAGCCTGCTGTGACCTCTATACTGCCTATTATTCATGCCCCTTTCCAGATGGGATTTTTAACAATTTAAGCTCTATTGGCCATATTTGTTTTGTTGTTGCTGTTTTTCTTCTAACAGTGAACCCTATCAGAAAATTAATTCCACTGTAAACACTCTGTATTCATCCTGCATGTGGACTGAATCTCAAACCTCCTGGGCATACAGTGTATAGAAACTGTTTGCTATACTGGAGGCTTGAAGTATTCAGTACAGCACAATCACAGTGGTAGACTGACAAAAGTCATTGTCTCATCATGTAACTCAATTTCAAGATTTAAAGAAATGTCCAATACTTGTATAGCTTTCAAAATAGATGAACAACAACAAGATTGAGCTCAACACAGACTCGCCAATGAAGCAAAAATCTTGAATATCTTTGGCTAGAAAATTAGCACATACATTAGGCAATTGCCCATTAGAAAATAGTTTCATCTCCTAGATGAAAAATTGGCAATTTTCCCTAGAGCGAAACTGAAACAGGTGGTCAAAACTAACAGGATAGATACTACAATGAATCATGTACAATGTATGCACAACACACAGTTTGTATCAGCCCAAATTTAAGACAAAAGGCAAAAGTACGAGAAAATAAAACTCATCTTTAACTAATACACTAGATTAATTTCTACTAAAACCCTTGAATCTGAGTGTACTGAATGTATCTGCACAAACAGCTAAGGCTTTTCGTTTACTTATTTTTTGTAAGTTCAGAATAATTCTCCACTGCAAGTAATTCCATCCGCAGAAGCTAGAAATTTGTCTAGGACAAAAACTTACCTAAATAGTTTAACATTCCTGTAAACCATTCCCACATAAACATTTTTGCAACAAACCTGAAAATGTTGACAGAGACAATCGTTTTTACATGAAATTAAATCCTGAGAACAGTTCTTTACACAATCTTCCTTCGAAGATACAAATTAACTTCACGAACAACTCACAGATTGAATCTCATCATGCTAAATTCACTTTCAGACAAAATAGTCATTATGATACAGCTTTAATTTCTCTCTTCGATAGAAACGGAGGAATGATTGTTTCAAAACCACAGCGTATTTCTTCTGTCAGCTAAATAGTCTCAGACATTTATAGCATTGCTACTGTAGTTGTGGTGACGTGCCAAAAATTACGTAAAGCGCCACTATCTATCCCAAAATAGAACACCGTTCACTTGTACACTGTAAATTCGATGCCGTGGATACTACTACGAAGTAGGAATTAGCGGGATAATTTCATAGAAGACTTAACAAAGCTCTTTTAAACGCTGCATACTTCTCGGTTCAAGGACACGTAGTGCCAAACCGAATTATCATTTGCCGGTTCAGAGTAACAAGTATACCTTCACGCCCAACAAATTTTCGGGTAAAGTGAACCGAGAAGGATTTTCCACAAGGAAATTATCACAAAAACCTTTTCAAACTTACCTAAAACTTTGAAAATCCTACTTAAAATCGTGATAATATTGGAATTTCGTATAAAACTCTTACACAAAATTTTACACGCGTACGACTTTCCGGCACGATGTCCCGTATATTGAACCTATTGCGCAACTGCGCCACGTAATGACCTCGATTTGGATCATGAGTGACTTCCGGTCAGGGGCGTCTAAGGCACGCGAAGATCATACCTGCCTACATAAGTTGTTTTTTTTTCCAGGTTGCTTAGACTTCTTCTAATATATATACATATATACGTATATGTATACGTATGTTTGTCATAGAAAAGTTGTTACAGGTATTGAAAGAGAAACTTGCTAACAATGGCTTTCCCCAAGAATTGTTATTTCTCAGAATAAAAGAAGGGGACAGCCAGATGCGTACGTAAACGTACGTATTTCCGGTTGAAGTTTGGGCTGAGCCAGAACAAGTTGAGGGGAACTAAGCTGATCTTAAGTGCGGTAACTAAGGGTAATTTTCTCTTTTTTTTCTGTTGCTGTTTTGTGGTTTATTTTTAACAAACGGTGTGAGCAAATTCATCACCCTGAATCCATCGTCCTGAAAAAACCACCTGCACATCGGTAACAAACACTAATATGTCGCTTACACAGTAACCGACCTGTAACTACAGGCCCTTAGAGATTGTGCTTGCATAATTTTTTACATAATTTGGAAAAACGAGCATAATTTTTGCTTCATATAAATGTAGCACCACTGGAATAATTAGAACATCATCGGTTAAGTGTTTTTGAAGGGAACATTACGAGAGTCATGAGTTGTTTGGTCTCTTGGATTGATTATTTATATATATTCGTGATATTGAGGCTATTCTGCGTCATTTGTCCTCTAAGGGGATGGAACACCGGGAGTAAAGATTGCATAGTACTAGTTCCGCCTCTACAGGCAAAAAAAGAGACATCGAGCAACTCACAGATAAAGACGATAACCAGCCGCTATGAGGCCGCGTTCCTTGCGAAGACCGGACACGAAAGAGCAACGGAAATCGAGCCTAAGCAGCCACCCGTCTGGCCAGAAGGTTTTATCACGTTCGACATGATCTGAGTTATCAGGACATATTACTCGTGATGCTAACATCATACCTTTTGACACTTTAAGTCTCCGGTTTTTAGATATCATGCTTTATATAGAAATGAATTTGAACTTGTTTTGTGTTCCTTTATTAAAAATAATCAAGCAGCACAATCTTAAACTAGGATAATTTCCAGCATAATTTGGCAAAAAATCGAGCAATACTTGTAGTTTAATATACTACTTTTACTAGCACAATCTGTAAGGGACTGCCTGTAACTAGCACACGCCTTCATTGCATTGCACCCCCTATTCAGTTCTACAGCCCACGATCGGGAAAGTTACGTGTTACAAAAGTACAAATGTGCCGGATCGGCGGCGGTGCTTGGTTAAATCAGTTAAGATGTGCTTTACTCAATGGTTTAACATGTAATACGAGCAGATATTTTGGGAGTTACGTGGTATTTTTCAGAGGCCGGAAGGCCCTCAAAAACGAAAAAAAGAAGTTTGTATCGGATCGTTCAGTCCGTTCATTTTTTTCCTCGGTATTTTTGCCTTGTTCTGTAGTGTAATAACGTGGCATGTTTTGCACTTTTTCATGAATGACAAAGCGGTGGAATAATAATTTTATTCATTGTACGGGACAAATGAAATAAAACCTAACAGTAAACTAAACTAAACATATGTAGACCCGAAACAAAATGAAGACTCTTGTCCTCTTTTTGTGCTTGGTAATTCATTGTCCTGACTTGATGGTGTACGGAATACTTCTTTCTGGCCAGCATAGGGTCAGCATAGGGCCAGCATAGGGCCAGTATAAGACCAGCACTGAGACTAACACATGATGCGTCAGGTAAAGTTCCTTTCAGTCTTTTTGCCTATCGAACTTACATTTCCATAACAACAAGTTTTATGTTTAATACGTTACGCTTCAATAAAATTTCTTTTGATAAAAAGAATACAAAGATGGCGAAACCCTTTCAATTGCAAATTGCTGCCAGAAAAGTGGGTTTGTAAGGATTACTCAACAAGACAATATTAATTGATGAAAATGGTTTCAGAGCCTAGCGAATTACTAATTAATCAATATTACCGATAGAGATTAAATTACATTTGCCAGAGTCTTTTTATGGACCTACGTTTTAACTTAAGCAATATATATGCCTGCTGCTAAAGTCCTTCAGGCGTTGTTATGGATTATTTAGCAGCACCTCTTTATTTACAGCAATTATGAAGGCAGTATTTCATATCAGTGCTAAACTAATAACTGATTGCACAACTTAATTTTCCGGGCAAACTGTTTTCTCCGGCTGTTTGCCTTCTTAAAATTCGATTCTTTCAAAGCGAAGTCTACCCATGTATACCGAATGAACTTTCGAGTCACCACACCATCCAGACAAATGAATGGAACTTTTATGCAAAAAAGCATGGTTTTTCATCCGTAAAAGTGGAATTTTAATAAAGCCAAATAAACACTCTTTAGAATTCCTTCTACGGTTGACAAGTTAGGAATTTGAATAAATCTCTAAGTTTTGTTTAAAGCCCTGCAATTGTTTGTCTTGTCTTAATGAATTTTCGTAATAAATCGCATTTACTATGTTAGTGGCATGAGAAAATATGCTTTGGAGAGATAATATTTTGCACGAAACTGTCAAAAGCTATACTTGATGACTTCATTGACGAATTTTGTCAGACATTTCTGTGACGAAAAACGACTCAAACTGTGTGTTATGCTCTTTGTCGTTAATTGTTGATTGTATATCAATCCGCTTACGCCCATAGTATCAACAAAGTGCTCAAAAGATAATTTCTCCTATAATCTCACTACATTTAATGAGAAACGGTTAATGAGAAGGAAATGAAACTTGCAATAAGCTAAGAGACAATATTCTGACCAAAAGAGGAACTCTCAGAACACGACATAAATGAAGTATTGAATAAGAAGTTAGGAGATTTATTTCTTGACCATTTGTATGGGTATTGCGACAGAATAATTAGTAAGGAATGAAAACTTGAAGAGGTGTCCACAAATCAATTCAGGACATTAGCAGCTGGGTGAGTCATTGTAGGCATTACTCGATTACCTCGTCTCCGACTGCATTGACTAAGATGTCTTGGGTTGGTTTTCTTATGGTCCTGTGCATCACAGTCAGTTTCGTCTCAGATTCCATGGCCGCAGCGAATATGCAAAATTGGAAGTACAACGGCAAGCGTATGATGTTAAAAGACCGATTACAGAATCGTCGAGAAAAAGAGGTGAGGTGTTTATATTGAGTGAATTGATGAGATATAATTGAAATGGAGACCATTTAAGTAGTTTTTTAACCTTGGTAGAAATTGAATTCACCCGAAGGTCGAATGTCTAAGGATTTTGCAAATTTTCGAGTTTAAAGCGAAGTCCTGTCTCAGGCTTGACAACGTAAAGGCTGGTAATAAGTCACTCAGACGTCTGCATAACTTTTTGGCGTGAGTTCACGGTAAAGTGAAAGCAATACGTGAAAACATTAAGTGAAAACTAAGAGATTAGAAGGGAACACACACTGAGACTTCTTCCTTGCAAGTTCAAACAATTTCTTAATTTTAAAACCTGGTAAAGATTGCATCTCTCTCAGTCTGCGATATGCAAATATCCGGTTTGTCTATTAAAATGAATATGCTAAAAAAAGTTTATCTATTGACATTTTTGATGTTAATAACTTTTCTTTCCTTAAACTTCCGCTTTGAAGCTGTTGACGGTCCTAAGTTTCTAGTTTGTACCTCCGCCTATCGTCTGATAAGTCTTTAGAGGCTGTCGTTAACACGTCCCTGATAAATGCATGCTACTAAGTATGACAACCAAAGAAAATGTCAATGTTTAGGTCTTCGCACCAGGCTACTAACCATTGTTTAGATAATTCTCAGTGGTATAATTAAGAGGATTTTAAAAGTTTTATTAGCTATTTCACTCTGCATGGAGTTTGCGCTTTTCATTCGAATTCCCATACTTGCTGCAACGAAGATAATTTTAACGGCGATGAAAATAACCGCGATTTAAAGAACTTTTATGACAACATGCCATTAATTTTCTTCTGAGTAAACAACTAATAGTTTGCATTCCAGTGCAGCAGAATTTCATAATAGATGACTAGGTTCTTTATTTATTTGCAATATTTAAATCATCGGAAGGGTATGAACTGCAATCCCTCTGAAGTGTATTCTCTCGGATTTCTTTATTTAGATTTCAATGTGCGTTATTTTTGCGTCAGTCTATTCAGGATAAGATTGGCTTCGTGAGGTTACGCACTCCTCCAATTATCATCTTCCTGCTGTGTAAAGCAAATACCGGTATTAGTTTTGTACGAGACAGCGTCCTCAGGACTGAAAAGCTGTCAAAATCTGACAGCAATACTTACACCAATCGCTCTGACGAAGGGCTAAAGCTCGAAACGTCAGCCTTTAAACTCTTTACGGTGGCCAATTTACGTTTACAACTCAGTTGTTAACACTAAATTATCTTTTTCAACCGGGTGTCTATTTAAAGCCTCTTATACCTACGTGCGCCTAATTACATGCAACAGAAGACTGACCCTTGCGGCTCTGTTCATTAAGAGCCATCAGAATTAACGCCAGATTTAATTTTTCCGCATAAACGCCTGGTGTGCTTGTATTCATACTCTCCCCACCCATCCCTAGTTGCTCAATGGAATCCTGATGAGGAGGCAGGCGAATAGTTTTGAAAATTTTGTCACCAGGGTCATGCGTGAAGGGAAAGGAGGATCAGTAGCGCGTGGCCTGGGCCCCGAATGCGAATTTAAAGATATCATAATTGGATTGGAATAGAAAAGCTCGTGAGTAAAGCAATTCTCAGCGGAGCATGTTGTGTCACTTTTTTATATTCTATTTTCCAACTTGCTTTGTCTAATCTTCCCATTTAAAATAGTTTGGACAAGATTCTCTTTTCAGAAAATATAATCAAACCTGGGTAACGCCTTTCAACTTAAGAAAATTTCTCTATCATGTCTATTGTTACCTTGCAGTTTCCAATGAGGAACAAGCTTAGTGAACGAGAACTGTCTCGACTTCGTCCCGGACCACAGGCACCCCAACGTGAGAGAGCATTTAAACGTTTCATGGCTCATAAAGACGCCAAGGTTAACGCAGAACTCCATTAACCACCGCTGGAGTAGACGTTGACTGCATTGCTTGTGAAAGAATCTTTAGGAATAGAATTAGCTAAAAAACGTCTGTAGCATGATCCGTGTAATTTTATTGTCTTACAACTGTTTAGAGTTTCTTTTCAAATGTGGTTGTAGAAGCAACCTTGAGACAACAACGTAAATAAAGTGGTGGCGGTGTTCGTACTTAGGTAACGAGATGGCGGTGACGATCATCGTTGCCCTTATTCTGCTGGGAATAACAGTTCTTTCAGGAAGATGGAAATCTGAAAATCAATTAACTTTACGTGCTTTCTTCAATTTATAAACCTACGCTTTTCCGCTGGATTTTGAAGCAACACAAAATTGTTTGAAGATTTTCTTCTTAAAATCCGATTCCGTCAAAGCGAATTCTGCCCATGTATACCGAATGAACTTTGGTGACACTTCACCACCCAAACAAATAAATGGAACTTTTATGCAAAAAAGCATAGTTTTTCATCCTTAAAAAATGGAATTTTAATGAAGCCAAATAAGCATTTTTTTGAATTCCTTCTACGGTTGACAAGTTTGGAATTTAAATTAATCTCTAAGTTTCGTTTAAAACCTAGCATTTGTTTGTCTCGTCTTAATGAATTTTCGTAATAAATCGCATTTACTATGTTTGTGGCACGAGAAAAGATGCTTAGGAGAAATGATATCTTTGCACGAAACTGTCAAAAGCTATACTTGATGACTTCATTGACGCATTTATCAGACATTTCTGTGACGAAAAACGACTCAAACTGTGTGTTATGCTCTTTGTCGTTAATTGTTGATTGTATATCAATCCGCTTACGCCCATAGTAGCAACAAAGTGCTCAAAAGATAATTTCTCCTTTAAATTCACCACATTGAATGAGAAAAGGTTAATGAGAAGGAAATGGAACTTGCAATAAGCTAAGAGACAATATTCTGACCGAAAGAGGAACTCTCAGAACACGTCATAAATGAAGTATTTAATAAGAAGTTAGGAGATTTATTTCTTTACCATTTGTATGGGTATTGCGGTAGAATAATTACTGAGGAATGAAAACTTAAAGGGGTGTCCACAAATCCATTCAGGACATTAGCAGCTGGGTGCGTCATTGTAAGTATTACTCGGTCACCTCGTCTCCGACTGCATTACCTGAGATGTCTTGGGTTGGTTTTCTTATGGTCCTGTGCATCACAGTCAGTTTCGTCTCAGATCCCATGGCCGCGATGTTTATTGGGCTAAGGCCCAGCGGCAAGCGTATGATGTTAAAAGACCGATTACAGAATCGTCGAGAAAAAGAGGTAAGGTGTTTATATTGAGTAAACTGATGAGATATAATTGAAATGGAGATCTATTTAAGTAGTTTTTTAACCTTTGCAAAAATTTGAATTTCGCCCAAAGATCGAATGTCGAAGGATTTTGCAAATTTTCGAGTTTAAAGCGCGTGAAATACCCTCAGACTTGTCAAAGGCTTGACAACACAAAGGCCGGTGATAAGTCATATAACCTTTGCAAAAATTTGAATTTCGCCCAAAGATCGAATGTCGAAGGATTTTGCAAATTTTCGAGTTTAAAGCGCGTGAAATACCCTCAGACTTGTCAAAGGCTTGACAACACAAAGGCCGGTGATAAGTCACTCAGACGTCGGCATAACTTTGTGGTGTGAGTTCATGATAAAGTGAAAGCAATACGTGAAAACTAAGAGATTGGAAGGAACATACACTGAGACATCTTCCTTGCAAGTTTAAACAATTTCTTAATTTTAACATCAGGAAAAGATTGCGTATCTCTTAGTCTACGATATGCAAATATCCGGTTTATCCATCAAAATGAATACGTATAAAATATGTCTAACTATTGACATTTTTGATATCAATAACTTTTAACAGGGAAGGGAAAAGACAATCAATATCGCGTGGCCCGGGTCAGCTTGGCTTATAGTGTTCAGTAAATCGACCTTAAGCGTTTATCGTCAGAAATGACTGCCGAAAGGAAATTTAAGGATATTATGATTGGATCGGAAAAGAAAAGCTCGTGAGTAAAGCAAATCTCAGCGGAGCTTTTTGTGTCATTGGTTTATAATCAATTTTCCAACTTGTATAGTCTCATCTTTCCTTTAAGAGAGTTTGAGCAAGATCCTCTTTTCAGAAGAAATAATTTAGCCTGGCTACCACTTTTTCAACTTCAAGAAAATTTCTCCATCGAGTGTTTTTTACCTTGCAGTTTCCATCGAGGAACAAGCTTAGTGAACGAGAGCTGTCTCAACGTAAGAGGGCATTTAAACGTTTCATGGCTCATAAAGACGCAAAGTTTAAGGCGGAACTCCATTAACCACCGCTGGAGTAGACGTTTAGTGTGTTGCAAGCGAAAGAACCTTGGGGAATAGAATTAGCTAGAAAACGTCTGCAGCCTGATCAGTGTAATTTTATTGTCTTACACCTGTTTAGTAGTCGTGGGAGCAAGAGCTCGAGACAACAATGTTGATAAAGTTGTAATAAACCACTTTGGTTAAAAATTCTTTAGTGAGTCACTTTTGATTGATCTATTGCGACAGTGTTGAATAACGATTTTTTCCCGCTCTTATCACAATAAGGTGATAATTAATGAGACTATCAAAAACCCAACCACAAATGATCCCCTTGGTGGACAAAAAGTAACCCCATATTGAATCAGAAATGATCCCAGATTAAAAAATGATATCATTGTGTGATGGGCTACAAAACAAACATTCAATGAGTTGGAACGGACATGATACTCGATCAAGTTGATCCCTACGTGTGATTGAACATAACTGCCTAAGAATATAGACCAGAAATGATACACAATCGAAAAATTATCCCAACGTGTTATGGACCATAAATTCTTGACAAATTCGACCAGAGTTGATACCCGATTAAGGAAAAAGATTGATTCCAAATTGTGAGGGACCAATAAATACTTAAGAAAATAGACCAGAAATGATACCCGATCAAAAATGATCCTTACGCGTAATGCATGGCCCATAAATTCTCAAAAGATTAGTGTGCAATGATCCTAGACCAATAATGTTCCCTGTGAATGGACCACAAATGATCCCAACTGGTAGTGGAACAGCTATGATCCCACAATGTGACCAGAAATTATCCAGACCGAATTAAAAATGATTTCAACGTACTGTGGGCCGCAAATGCTCCCGAAATTTGATCAGTAGGAAAAGAAATGAGTGGGACTCTTTACTTTGAATCTCACTCAACGAGTACATCAGAATGAAGCTACTAAATCGGATTTCTGATACATAAAACTTAACTTCTAGCAATTCGTTTTCGGTGCGGGTGCTTCGCTTTTGACCTTGAGCGTGTTCCATGCGTCGGTGTTCGTACTTGGGTGACGAGATGGCGGTGAGGATCATCGTTGCCCTTATTCTGCAGAGTGGCTGTTTTTTCAGGAAGTTGGAAATTTGGCAAGGAAGCACAAATCAAGTAAGTTTGCATAATCAATTGACTTTTCGTGCATTCTTCAATTTATAAACCTACGCTTTTCCGCTGGATTTTGAATCAACACAAAATTGTTTGAAGATTTTCGAGCGTTCGCAAAGGGTTCAAATAGGACGGAGATGGCTCGACAAGCAAGCTATAAATAACATTACTCTTAGGAAAGATAACTTCATGTCCTTTTTAAGGACACTCAAATGAAATTATGAGTGTCTTACTGAGATAATTTGAATTTTGTTTTCTTTCTCAATTATTATAAAGGGTATAGTACTAGTGTACGTGACGCAAGGCGGGCGTTTTCAGTGAAACCATCGGTTATAGAAATATAAATAGAAAAAAGTAATTACGCAGGAATATTTACTCTAGAGAAGATTGAACAGTTCAGGAAGCCTTGGAAATTAACCTTTGTGCGCTTTTAAGAACGCCCACGGTGGTTGGGAGACGAAAACTAGCAGGGTCACATTTTAAGCTTTTAGCAAGCAAGTTGAATTGTTCAAATAGAACCCTAAAATACTACGCACTGAAAGGAAATCGACTTTAATCGATAACTCTATGATAAATTCATTATTGCAAGATGATGTTAGGCGTAGCTGACACATAGTCAATTCAATTACGTCTCTGTATGTCATTAAATGTCCACACTGTACACTGAAAATAAATAAAGCTGACATTTCATGCAAATGAGTGGAAATTGGACCAGCATTGATCGTTTTTGAAATAGGGTCAAGAAGAGACTCAATAAAAGCGCTGAGATGAAAAAACTTACACTCTTTACTTGCATTTGATGAAAAAAGCAAAGATACGAATGAAATCAATTAGGGTGAAGACTGATTGGGAGAAAAGTGGAAGAGAAAAAGGTTTTCAGCTACAACATACATCAAAAGCGAGAAAATAAGTTCAATAAAATTCTCCTCCCACGCTAACTTGATTTCTGTAAGAGTGCTTCAGACATTGTTAAAATGTCATTATGGTAGGACCTATAGGTAAACAAACTGGTGCAATTTCAATTTTTTTACCTGTTGACTTTCATTTAGATTTTTTCTCACGCTCAGTTTCCTTTGTGTGATTCATTTGCTAGAATGCATCCCAAATAACGAATCCTCAATCCAAAAATTACTGCTTATTGATGTTTGTCGATGCCATCCGTTTGCTTCTTGGGTAAGTTACCAAAAGTAAATTGTTACTTTTAAACAATAGTATTCTACCGAATATGACTTTAGATAGTAACTCATTCAGCGGGAGAAAAATAAATAAAGCTGACATTTCATGCAAATGAGTGGAAATTGGACCAGCATTGATCGTTTTTGAAATAGGGTCAAGAAGAGACTCAATAAAAGCGCTGAGATGAAAAAACTTACACTCTTTACTTGCATTTGATGAAAAAAGCAAAGATACGAATGAAATCAATTAGGGTGAAGACTGATTGGGAGAAAAGTGGAAGAGAAAAAGGTTTTCAGCTACAACATACATCAAAAGCGAGAAAATAAGTTCAATAAAATTCTCCTCCCACGCTAACTTGATTTCTGTAAGAGTGCTTCAGACATTGTTAAAATGTCATTATGGTAGGACCTATAGGTAAACAAACTGGTGCAATTTCAATTTTTTTACCTGTTGACTTTCATTTAGATTTTTTCTCACGCTCAGTTTCCTTTGTGTGATTCATTTGCTAGAATGCATCCCAAATAACGAATCCTCAATCCAAAAATTACTGCTTATTGATGTTTGCCGATGCCATCCGTTTGCTTCTTGGGTAAGTTACCAAAAGTAAATTGTTACTTTTAAACAATAGTATTCTACCGAATATGACTTTAGATAGTAACTCATTCAGCGGGAGAAAATATTTTACTGTGATGAACTTTTTCTTCAATCGTACAACAACAAAACCAATTGATAATGCAGCGTGAGTCCAAATTGTAGTTATGTTATCCTGAAAAATCCAACCTTTCCAAAATTCTATTCAGTTGTTGTAAACATTTGACTACAAACGTCACTATTTTGAATTTTCTAAGCATGTTGGCCTCACAGACTATACCGCCCATTTCATGGTTAAACTCGAACCGAATCAATTCGAACGGAGACACGAACTAAATAAAAACGTGAAAGCCAATAACTAGATCATTAGCTGCATGTCTACTTCCCCGCTATTTTAGTGGAATTTTTGGACGTCATGTCATGCATGTGCAGCCAGGTTGCCCAGCAATATTAAAAATCGCTGCGTCCGTAGTCGGATTTTTGGTGCGGTTTTTTTAAACTACAACAACAAATAAGAAAGCAAAAACAAAAACTAAAACAACCTAAGAAGTTGTAGTATTTAGCAAAGCTTTTCTAGAGTAAAAGGTGGCGATACAAATATATTTGGTTTTAGTTTCCTCATAGCAACTGCTAGTTATTGGATGATAAATACCTCACAACGATAGTGTCAGAGCTCACAAGGCGCGCATCCTCCTACCTTGAAGAAAAATCACAACCCACCGGGTTATGTAAATTTTTTCATTGTGTCACAATACGGTGAATATTGATTTTAAATTTTGCTGTGTTTAGGCTGCGGTTTCAGCGAAGGTTTAATCGCTAAGTACTAAAGCTTTCGTAATTCTGCAGTGAAGCGTTCTGCCATGGAATGGAACTCAAAACTCAATGGTTCTCTAAACATTTGATTATTAAAAGGTCAAATTTCATATTCGATTACTCTGCCATACTTTGCTCGATCAAACTAATTCAAGATAGGCCTCAGCGGTTTATTGGGTGAGTAAAAGAGCTCTGTGAGATTTTTTTAAAAATAACATTAACTAAGTATGCGGCAGAGCAGTTAAAAATATGATAAGCAAATGGTAATCTATGATGTGTCGCGACGACGTATGTTTTGCCTTAAAGGTTTCTTCGAAAAAGATTCAAGTGTTAGTCAAAGAACTTAGTTTGAGATTTTTGTTCATGGAATTAGTTGTGAACATTCAGTAAAGATGCGAAACGGCCTATCATAAGAAAGATAACCAAATTGTTCGTTAAGATCCGTCTTTGCCGAATAATTTCCTTTGAAGATACATTCACCCTAGATAAGAACCTCCCTGCTAAATAATTTACAATTTCTGTTCTAACAAGGCAAATTTGATTTTAATTGGGCTAGGTACACAATTGAGCTCAGAGCCTCAGACAGGGTCTCAAAAGTTCACAATAGGAGAGAGGAAAAATTTGAATTTGGTATACATCTATCAAAGACATCTGTTAACTCATCAATCATTGATGTCTAAAAACCGACAAAAAGTCGACTTCACAAAGTGAATTTCTCCTGGAAAACGCCTAATGAAAGCAATTTGTAGGTTACCACGACCAGTAACTGTTGATAAGTATTGTTTTAACCGAATATGTTTGAATTAATTTGCAGAATTCTTTAAATTTAAAGCGAAATGGCTTTATGGCTTAAACAAGGTGATGTTGTCTTTCAAGCGACTCAAGATTGCTATCAAGAAGTCTTATTCAGACTTTTTTTATTTGGCTGACCTGGTTAAATATTTTTTTCTCAAACTGGTTTTAAAAGTTGTCTTTTATTTCAGTACATGTTATCAGTAATTACGTAAATTCAAATAACTCTATAATATCAAAAGAAATTGATTTACGCCTGAAACCTGTCAAAGAAATTAATTGGAAACTGAAACGAGATTCGAGTTAAAAACATTAATTTGTTTGCATGCAAGGAAGTTTGATCTGAATAATTTTACATGTACAATTCATCCAGCGGATGCTGTTTTTGAGTTTCAGACATCTTTAACCAACAAGTGAATGAATTTGAGATATTTAACATCGACTCGCGTAACATCTCCGATTTCACAGTGAATCCCGGGCAAGAGCTCTTCTATTGAATAAAATTTGAAGTTGAACAATCAATTATTGACAGCTTAAATTATCGTGCAAGTGAAAAAAGTGAGATTCTGGCTATAAGTTCTGAAAACTATTTGCTTACCGCTTTTGCTTTGACGACGGACCAACGCTCGAAACGTCAGCTTTGAAAACTCCTCACGGTGGCCAATTTATATCACAAACCTAGTTGATGAAACCAAATAACTTCCAACAAAGTACCCTCGGATGCCTCACCACAAGAAAGACACACCAATTTTTCGTTAAGATCTGTTTCGAAGCTATGTGCTTTAAATTTCCCCTAAAAAAATTTCTTTACTAAGACAGACATGACTCTTTATATCATTGACTTTTTCTTCTTCTTCATGAAATAAAAAGAGACTATTTTAGACTGTGCCGCAAAGGATTTCAAGAGAAGCGAACGATAAAAGAGTTACTGCATAATTCAAAGCCGCTAAGTCACGTTAAGTCGTTAATTTAATCCTTTTAGACTTTTTTTTGGATTATTTTAATCCTTTACTAGAGAGAATTGCAAGGGAGCTTTGTAAACGTAAAGAAGACTACAGCTTATCTAATAAAATTTATTACTGCTGATAAATCCTTAAGGTTATGGAAAGTATTAAAGTATACTTTATTTAGGCCGTAGCAATTTTTGTTGTCAGAATTGCCAACCGCTTAAAAGTGAATTGAGATACGTTCACTGATGCACTTAGTATTCTTGTAAGTAAACATTTATACGATTTTGGACGAAGGTGAATTTAAAGAGAAAATTTGGCCATGCCTCATAAAATTGTTCTTGAGTGTTTTTAGAACATTTCTCCTTAGGGAATGATGCGCATTAAATCGAGAGCGAGCTCGGAAATCACTTTAGAAGAATCAAAGATTTTAAACCCGAAGGTCTGAAAAATGCAAAATCGGGCCAAATGATAAGATTAAGTGGAAGTGGGTGAAAGCTTTTTAAACTTGACTGTATGTCAAATAAAGGTTCAAAAGCCTCAATATTTTATGAGAAGGAGTTTAAGGAAATCTGATAGAATATTTTTTAATGAAGTTTAGCATGTTCTTGATGCCAAGAGAAACTGATCGATATCAACTACCGTGAGCTGATGCTTGATTATATGAAGTCATTATGTGGCGTCGAGGTCTTTCCCAATTGTTTAGCTGTGAAATAGGAGAGTACTCGTCATGTAAGGCAGATGCTTGAGACCCAAAAAAGTTCTGCATGAGCTAAGGAAATCTATGTAGGAGAAGAACGTTAGAATCAGTAATGATTACTTGTCCGAGTAGATATAATTGGAGAAAGGTAAAGAGGAGATTATCATATAATAATAACAAGAAACAAAAGACCCAAATCAGAAAATGTTGTTTTAAAGACACCGTACGCACTCGTGTATTTATGGCTAAAATTAGTCCACTTGGGTTTTTAGTGATCGTTTTATATGAATACGAAGTGAAGATAAGAAATCACGAGGGCCGTGAAAGACGGAAGAAACCTGGGCGTGCAAGAAAGAAAGTATCTCCATTGATTTGTTTTTGAAGTTCACAATGACACTCCTTGCGTATAAAGTGCCTTCTAGGCGATAAAAGATCGTAGGCAAGGCTTTGTGTTCTAACACACTTAAGATACTAGTAAATCGATTTGAAAAACTGGAGTGATCATTGGTTCTGTAACTCTTTGTACATAATCTTAAATCTCTTATCTGTTTATTTGTCAACTTGTCAAAGTTGAAAGTGAATTAATTTTCCTTTTCGTGTTGCTGACTTGGTGTACCCAAGCTTCGTGTCAACCTGTTTTATGGGAACTAGGACAGAAGTTTGCGTGTTCTCCTTTCCAATATATTGAGCCTGTGAGAGGAGTTCGACAATAGATACGTGAGAAATTTAACAGACGTCTTTCCCTTTCGTGCGGTGAGATGCGGAGGAGAAGCTGTTACTGTTGATGTTTTAATGAGAAGACTCTCTTCGAGAACATTCATCTTCTTGTCATTTGGCCCGAAGATTTTGCATGAATTGTTAAAAAGGAAAAGACACTTTAAGTACTGCCAAAAATTAATTAAATTTTAAATCCACAATGTGCTTTGAAATTAAAACTTTTGGTTATCTTCCAAATGTATTCAATTACCAAAACGAACTTGCGAATTTCTATTTGCAATAATTGTAAACAATGTTCTTTACAATCACACAGCAATTTCGATTTTTTATTGTTCGATATTTCTTAAAAAGTTGTTTTGGCCCGAATAAATGAATTAGCGTTTGTATTTTTTTTCATTTGGGATATGACCGTCTCACATGCAAGATCACATATGGCCCATACTGGCTGTCTTTAGATATTGAGCCTATTTGACATTTGACTGTTTGACAAAAGTAATATCACATCCAAAGTATTATTACTTACGACCATGGTTCCGTTTATACAGGTAGTCAAGAGAGTCCTATACAAGATGTCAACTTTGAGCCACTGCCTTCAATCATTTTAATTCCACAATCAGAAGTTTTACTGTTTCAGAGGAAAGAGAGGAAATCTGCGAGGGAAACATTTACATAGTTTAGGCGATAGATGTGCGACATGGTCAACATAGCTTTTACCTGGAAGGAAGTGGAGGATGCAAATTCGAGAGGGGATTTGATCCTAAGCATCAGATTACTTGTTACAGGCGATGAAATTTGAAAATCAATTAAATCTTTCTCGGACATGATCGTTTGAGTTTTCAACTACTTTGAAGTTTTAATGCTGTAGAAAACTCTTCGGATTCAGCATGTTTGACAATTATAGTACGAGTAACCAGACTGGTGATGATATGGGCAATGATGGATGCACGCAACACGTAACTACAAAGGCCGAGAACGTTGGGAAGCTATCAGCCTACGTCATCGTATTTGCAATTTCACTCTTTGGGAATATTCTCATTTTGAATGTAATCTGCAAAAACAAGAATATGCACAGAAACACCAACCTTTTGATTCTGAATATGGCCATCTCGGATCTAGTCATACCAGTTTTTGTGATCCCTAGAAGAGTTATACAAATCGCTCTGGAATTACCCTCAGCCAAATGGATCCTCTCTGGAGTAACTGGAGAAATAACTTGCAAGCTGCAGACGTTCATGCAGGATTTTTCCGGTCTGGTCTCAACCCTTACACTGGTTCTAATATCCCTAGAAAGACTAGTGGCCGTCGCATTTCCACTCCGCGCCAAAATGGTCACATACAGGTTACGGGTGAATATGATAATTTTGTCTTGGGTGGTTAGCGCAGCCATCCATGCTCCATACTTCTACATCTTCAAACTATTTGAATTTAACTCTGAAGTGTACTGCCTTGCATCCTGGGAGCCTGCTTTTGAAGAGCCCTCGACTGGGCAATTCTACATCACCTTTCTTTGTATTTCGGTGATTTTAATTCCGTTTACTCTTTTAGCTGGCATATACACAGTTATAGTGTCGATTCTGATCAGGCAAAGGAACCACTTGCGAGACGCAGTTCGTGGAGGAATTATACGAGACAAAATGAACAGAAATGTACTGAAAATGGCTGTGACAATTGTTGTGATATTTGCCATTTGTTGGGCTCCTCTCAATATCAATCTGCTTCTTGTGACATTTTTCAGGAAATCTCAAAATGCGTGGTGCACTCCTCCTGCTTTTGCATTCACTGCCGAGTTCCTTGTGATCGCCAACGCCGCTATCAATCCGTTTGTATATTTTGGCTTCGTGGAAAATTATCGACGCAATCTTAAGAGAGTTCTCACCAAGTCTATCTTACGTACGAACGTTAGGAAAACTGGAAAGAGGCTAAGTGTTCGTCGCGAAACATTTGAACTGACATCTATAACTTGCGATAGAGTGCCCAGCTCTGAGAACGTGGTCTCAGGAATTCGGATTATCTCGTCAAAGAGACTAGACTCAACAAGACGCAGGAGCGAAGTAACAATGGCGGAGAACCTGTAACTTAATGAACACTGATTCATCAGTACTCCTTGTAATTTGATATTTGAATTAAGAGTTTGTTTGCATATCGCTAATCTGGAATAGGCTCTGGAATTATTGTTATTAGAAAGATTGTTTAGGTTAGCCTATGGCTGGAACGTGGTGTAAACTAAATGACAAAAAATCAAAATATGCCCAGTCGTGATGGTGATCTTTTTTACCATGGAGTAAAAGGAGAAAAGTACCGTTTTTTATTGGTCGGGGAAGAATTAGGTGATAAATCAAAGGGAAGTAGAAATTGTGATGCACAATTCTCTCTGTGTCCTTTATTTCAAAGATTTGACGAACTTTAAAGACAGGCGCGATTTCTTAAGGAGAGAAATACATGATCATGGCCTTTTTAGCAGATTGTTACTGAGGAGTGATAACTGAATAAAGAGTTTTAAAGGCCATTTTAGCATTAATCCTCGGGGTTGAAATTCGTGTAGAGCCGTTTGAATAATAGGAAAACTACTTTACTAAGAGAGACCTCGTATCGCTCTAGAAAGAGTTTAGTCGATGGGTTGCTTGTCAATAAATTTTATTGCATTATGAAAGACCTGTCAACATTTACTGATGCATCCTTCGCAGTTGACAACATTCAGTCATTTCTATATCTTTTATGTAAGAGATGCATCTAAAATCGAGCTGATATAACTGAGTTTAGCGCCTCCTTGACGCCGACCATCATCGGTTTAGGAACTTAAACCAAAATAAATAAATATATTATGCTTCTACTTAACATTATCGATATGATACGTGTTTTATATAGAAAAAGACCTAACAACGTGCATGTACCATTGTGAAATATCTTCCAAGGTTCTAGTGAAGCGAAATTTTCTGATTTTATGCCTCGAGGTAACGAGAAATAGCTAAAAAGGATAAAAATAATGATAGTAAATAAGAAAATAACAAATTTAGTTGTTACCCTCGGATGAAATTGATTTCAATGGACTGTAAATCTAACAAGCAGCTTCTTTCCGTCTTGTAAAATAACAACAATAGAAATAAAATGGGTTGATAGCTAAAAAAAAGTTGGCTGTTTTCCATTTCACACTTTCAACAACTTTTCCCATGGGGGTTCCGTGCGTTAGCAAGTTATTTTTCTTTGTTGAATTTAGGACGAGTTTTCCTGCAAAATCAGTGCAGGATTTCAGTGCAGATGTAGGGAGTGCTTGGTAAATGGGCGGGCGGGAAGGGGGGAGTGAGTATTTCCGTTAAAATTCTCGCTGTGCACACTATCTTTCTATTTTTATGCCCTTAGCTTGTGGTATATTTGTGTATAAGCTCGTAACGTCCGTTTACATCAGCATCACTTCTTTCGGAAACTTTGATTTTCCTACGAAGTTGATGAAGTCTGTTTAGGGTATCTTTGGGGTATGACTTATGTTGTTTTGCGATCGGCTGAAGAATTTTATCTACGTAACAGGATAGCTTTTCTGTTGGTCTTTCCGTAGGTTGAGTTTTTGTGTCTCATTAACCAAGACTGTAAATACATCGGGTGGAAACGGTCTTTTTAAGCCGGCTAAACATGTCTTAAGTAAATCTTTGTCTTCCGCCATAATGAGAGTTCATTATTAATATTGTAATGGCTATAATTTGTCTATCAGTTTAAATAAGGCGGTGAACTCGAGCAACTTGGGTTTAACCAGGCGGGATCGGGATGAAAATGTTCATTTCGGTGGGATAACGAGATGGAATGAAAAATAGCGATAATACATTTAGCTTTTTTAAAAACTGCTTTTTATGGAGGTGGGGGACTCCAGGTAAGTGGGGTAACACGCTTAACCGTGGTCAAAAAATAGCCCACTTTTGTTTAGAATCCCGGTGAAGTCTCAAGAGGTTGTTGGAGCGCTTTCAAATGTAACATGAACCCAACCTCAGCTATAGATAATAAATTTCGGATATAACGTGCGTTGTCATTGGTTGAAAGAGCGCGCTCTGTCAGAGTAAAAGTTCAGGATATTTATCGTATACATCCACAGTCAAAGATTTTAGATCATAAGATTTGTTTAGTTTTTCCGAGTATCATGTGTTTCATGTGTTGTGCCCATCTAGGTGACCCAAATTTGCAAGTAGCCGATCAGAAGAAATGTCTGCCCTCCTGATATCTCACGATATTACGTGACTGACCTGGTATCACCGTTTGAAGTAAAGCAACCTGGTATCACCGTTTGAAGTAAAGCAAGAAACTGAAAAAGGTTTACCAAAATGAATCTTTCAATCTAACATTTGCTGGCGTTTTTTGACATTTGTTCTCTAACATAAAGGAGAGTTCTATGCTGTAAGAGGAGATAAAGAGAAACATTTTACCGTAATATTTCAAAAACTATGATAAACGTTCTTACGACACAAGAAAACAGATATATGTTATTTCGACCGCTAAGCAGTGGTTTGAGGTCGTATGGTCTACCAATTTCGAATAAAATAAGTTATGGCAGTTATAGGTCTGAAATCTAAATGCCATGATATAAAAGGAAATAGAGAAAACACGTACTGCTTGTTAAATAAATAATAACAAAGAACTAACAATGGCGTGCATTGTGCTCCAACTAACAAGAAAATATACTCTATCTGGTTTGCTTTATCGGCTGTCTCACCAGAGTGTGGCAAAGAAAAACTTTTCGAAGTCCCGCTCAGAAAATCAATCTAAGACCATCGGATTTCGCGCTCCAGTGCTCTTCCATTGAGCTACAAATATTAGTTATTCCGACTAAGATTAAACTGAAAGACATAATTTTCTTTGATAAATTCTTTTTTAATGAAAGATGCTTGTTAAATTGCTCTATCTCTTAGCTCGCATAATTATCAGATTAATTATTGTCACGAATATTCATCTCGTTTAAAGGTTAACTTAGTATACGTTATTATTGTGGACTTGCATTTTCCTTTATACACTTTTTTCCTTCACAAAATAGTTAAAGCTTCAATGAAGAGTACTATATCATTTCAGGTCCAAAGTAATAACCATCAGAGCTATTCTAACAGCCTAAATGGCTAATTGTATTTTTTTACAACGAGGTTCATTTTGCACTTAACTAAGAACGCAAAACCCCTTTGAGTCTTTAATTTTTACAAAAATTGGTGGGTGCCTCGTTCGTGTTTGATAGGAATATCCATGAGCGCAATTCTCAGAGGTAATATAAACCAGCTTGCATAACAAATAAGCGCCAAGATTCAGTTTAATCAAGCCATGTGCATCACACAACAATTCAAGGGAACTTCAGTGTTGGTACCATATTCTATACAGGAATATGTCTCATTATAACGGTTCCCTGAAGAGAGGTTTTACCACTATGAATATTTCAATCTAATATTTGCTAGCGTTGCTTGACATACGTTCTGTACCATAAAAGGAGAGCTCTGTGCTATAAAAGGGGAGCTCTGTGCTATAAAAGGAGCAAAGAGAAACATTTTACCGCAATATGTAAAGACTATGATTAACATTCTTACAACATAAGCAAACAAATATATGTTATTTCGACCGCTAAGCAGTGGTTTGAGGTCCTATGGTCTACCAATTTCGAATAAAATAAGTTATGGCAGTTATAGGTCTGAAATCTAAATGCCATGATATAAAAGAAAAGAGAGGAAACGCGTACTCTTTGTTAGATAAATAATAACAAAAAACCGACAATGCCGTGCATTGTGCTCTAACTAACAAGAAAACATGCACTATCAAACATAAGACCATCGGATTTCGCGCTGCAACGCCTTACTATTGAGCTACAAATATTAGTTATTGAATCATTCCGACTAAGATTAAACTGAAAGACATAATTTTTTTTGATAAATTTCTTTTTTGTTGAAAGATGCTTATTAAAAAGCACTCTCTCTTAGCTCGCATAATTATCAGATTAATTGTTATCACGAACATTTATTTCGTTTAAAGGTTAACTAAACATATGTTATCATTGTGGACTTGCATTTTCCTTTATACATTTTTTTCCTCCACGGATAAAAATTGAAAATGGTTTTGGCTCTTAATCGAAAAGTGTGGGTTGTTTACTTTGCTACAAACCTGAAAGACGACCTCTAATTAAAGCTTCAATTAAGCGTAAGATATCATTTCAGGTCCAAAGTGATAACCGTCAGCGTTATTCTAACAGTCTGAATGACTAATTGTTTTGTAAAAGCGAGGTTCATTTTGCACTTAACTAAGAGCGCAGATCCATTTAAGACTTAAATTTTTCCAAAAATTAGTAGGTGCCTCGTTCGTTTTAGACAGGCATATCCCCTGGGCACAATTCTCTGAGGTAACATTAACCAGCTTGCATAACACAGCTTGTTGGTACTACATTCTATGCGGTAGTTTGTCTAATTATAACGGTTCAAAATTTTCATAACAAAGGTCCGGAAATGTTAAAACGATGCAAATTTGCATTTTTTGCATCATACCCCGGCACAAGCTCCACCTGCTAGCTTTTTTTAAACGTTTCATGGAGCCGTAGCTTCTCTTATCTGGTGGAAACTCCAGAGAGTTATACTATGTTTGACATTTATAATGCAAGCAACCAGACTGTTGGTCTGATGACCAATTTTGAGTGCCCACCACACAAAGTCACTACGGCCGAGAAAGCCGGCAAGCTGACTGCGTACGTGCGATAGATGTGCGACATGGTCAACATAGCTTTTACCTGGAAGGAAGTGGAGGATGCAAATTCGAGAGGGGATTTGATCCTAAGCATCAGATTACTTGTTACAAGCGATGAAATTTGAAAATCAATTAAATCTTTCTCGGACATGATCGTTTGAGTTTTCAACTACTTTGAAGTTTTAATGCTGTAGAAAACTCTTCGGATTCAGCATGTTTGACAATTATAGTACGAGTAACCAGACTGGTGATGATATGGGCAATGATGGATGCACGCAACACGTAACTACAAAGGCCGAGAACGTTGGGAAGCTATCAGCCTACGTCATCGTATTTGCAATTTCACTCTTTGGGAATATTCTCATTTTGAATGTAATCTGCAAAAACAAGAATATGCACAGAAACACCAACCTTTTGATTCTGAATATGGCCATCTCGGATCTAGTCATACCAGTTTTTGTGATCCCTAGAAGAGTTATACAAATCGCTCTGGAATTACCCTCAGCCAAATGGATCCTCTCTGGAGTAACTGGAGAAATAACTTGCAAGCTGCAGACGTTCATGCAGGATTTTTCCGGTCTGGTCTCAACCCTTACACTGGTTCTAATATCCCTAGAAAGACTAGTGGCCGTCGCATTTCCACTCCGCGCCAAAATGGTCACATACAGGTTACGGGTGAATATGATAATTTTGTCTTGGGTGGTTAGCGCAGCCATCCATGCTCCATACTTCTACATCTTCAAACTATTTGAATTTAACTCTGAAGTGTACTGCATTGCATCCTGGGAGCCTGCTTTTGAAGAGCCCTCGACTGGGCAATTCTACATCACCTTTCTTTGTATTTCGGTGATTTTAATTCCGTTTACTCTTTTAGCTGGCATATACACAGTTATAGTGTCGATTCTGATCAGGCAAAGGAACCACTTGCGAGACGCAGTTCGTGGAGGAATTATACGAGACAAAATGAACAGAAATGTACTGAAAATGGCTGTGACAATTGTTGTGATATTTGCCATTTGTTGGGCTCCTCTCAATATCAATCTGCTTCTTGTGACATTTTTCAGGAAATCTCAAAATGCGTGGTGCACTCCTCCTGCTTTTGCATTCACTGCCGAGTTCCTTGTGATCGCCAACGCCGCTATCAATCCGTTTGTATATTTTGGCTTCGTGGAAAATTATCGACGCAATCTTAAGAGAGTTCTCACCAAGTCTATCTTAAGTACGAACGTTAGGAAAACTGGAAAGAGGCTAAGTGTTCGTCGCGAAACATTTGAACTGACATCTATAACTTGCGATAGAGTGCCCAGCTCTGAGAACGTGGTCTCAGGAATTCGGATGATCTCATCAAAGAGACTAGACTCAACAAGACGCAGGAGCGAAGTAACAATGGCGGAGAACCTGTAACTTAATGAACACTGATTCATCAGTACTCCTTGTGATTTGATATTTGAGTTAAGAGTTTGTTTGCATATCGCTAATCTGGAATAGGCTCTGGAATTATTGTTATTAGAAAGATTGTTTAGGTTAGCCTATGGCTGGAACGTGGTGTAAACTAAATGACAAATAATCAAAATATGCCCAGTCGTGATGGTGATCTTTTTTACCATGGTGTAAAAGGAGAAAAATACCGTTTTTTATTGGTCGGGGAAGAATTAGGTGATAAATCAAAGGGAAGTAGAAATTGTGATGCACAATTCTCTCTGTGTCCTTTATTTCAAAGATTTGACGAACTTTAAAGACAGGCGCGATTTTTTAAGGAGAGAAATACATGATCATGGCCTTTTTAGCAGATTGTTAGGAGTGATAACTGAATAAAGAGTTTTAGAGGCCATTTTAGCATTAATCCTCGGGGTTGAAATTCGTGTAGAGCCGTTTGAATAATAGGAAAATACTTTACTAAGAGAGACCTCGTATCGCTCTAGAAAGAGTTTAGTCGATGGGTTGCTTGTCAATAAATTTTATTACATTATGAAAGACCTGTCAACATTTACTAATGCATCCTTCGCAGTTGACAACATTCAGTCATTTCTATATCTTTTATGTAAGGGATGCATCCCAAATCGAGCTGATATAACTGAGTTTAGCGCCTCTTTGACGCCGACCATCATCGGTTTAGGAACTTAAACCAAAATAAATAAATATATTATGCTTCTATTTAACATTATCGATATGATACGTGTTTTATCTAGAAAAAGACCTAACAACGTGCATGTACCATTGTGAAATATCTTCTAGTGAAGCGAAATTTTCTGATTTTATGCCTCGAGGTAACGAGAAATAGCTAAAAAGGATAAAAATAATGATAGTAAATAAGAAAATAACAAATTTAGTTGTTACCCTTGGATGAAATTGATTTCAATGGACTGTAAATCTAACAAGCAGCTTCTTTCCGTCTTGTAAAATAACAACAATAGAAATAAAATGGGTTGATAGCTAAAAAAAAGTTGGCTGTTTTCCATTTCACACTTTCAACAACTTTTCCCATGGGGGTTCCGTGCGTTAGCAAGTTATTTTTCTTTGTTGAATTTAGGACGACTTTTCCTGCAAAATCAGTCGAAATGCTTTCTCTAGGGAGTGCTTGGTAAATGGGCGGGCGGGAAGGGGGGAGTGAGTATTTTCGTTAAAATTCTCGCTGTGCACACTATCTTTCTATTTTTATGCCCTTAGCTTGTGGTATATTTGTGTATAAGCTCGTAACGTCCGTTTACACCAGCATCACTTCTTTCGGAAACTTTGATTTTCTAACGAAGTTGATGAAGTCTGTTTAGTGTATCTTTGGGGTATGACTTATGTTGTTTTGCGATCGGCTGAAGAATTTTATCTACGTAACAGGATAGCTTTTCTGTTGGTCTTTCCGTAGGTTGAGTTTTTGTGTCTCATTAACTTAGACTGTAAATACATCGGGTGGAAACGGTCTTTTTAAGCCGGCTAAACATGTCTTAAGTAAATCATTGTCTTCCGCCATAATGAGAGTTCATTATTAATATTGTAATGGCTATAATTTGTCTATCAGTTTAAATAAGGCGGTGAACTCGAGCAACTTGGGTTTAACCAGGCGGGATCGGGATGAAAATGTTCATTTCGGTGGGATAATGGGATGGAATGAAAAATAGCGATAATACATTTAGCTTTTTTAAAAACTGCTTTTTATGGAGGTGGGGGACTCCAGGTAAGTGGGGTAACCCGCTTAACCGTGGTCAAAAAATAGCCCGCTTTTGTAGAGAATCCCGGTATTCCCAGGTGAAGTCTCAAGAGGTTGTTGGAGCGCTTTCAAATGTAACATGAACCCAACCTCAGCTATAGATAATAAATTTCGGATATAACGCGCGTTGTCATTGGTTGAAAGAGCGCGCTCTGTCAGAGTAAAAGTTCAGGATATTTATCGTATACATCCACAGTCAAAGATTTTAGATCATAAGATTTGTTCAGTTTTCCAAGTGTTTTATGTGTTGTGCCCATCTAGGTGACCCAAATTTGCAAGTAGCCGATCAGAAGAAATGTCGGCTCTCCTGATATCTCATGATATTACGTGACTGACCTGGTATCACCGTTTGAAGTAAAGTAGCAAAACATTGCAAGAAACTGAAAAAGGTTTACCAAAATGAATCTTTCAATCTAACATTTGCTGGCGTTTTTTGACATTTGTTCTCTACCATAAAGGAGAGTTCTATGCTGTAAGAGGAGATAAAGAGAAACATTTTACGGTAATATTTCAAAAACTATGAAAAACGTTCTTACGACACAAGAAAACAGATATATGTTATTTCGACCGCTAAGCAGTGGTTTGAGGTCCTATGGTCTACCAATTTCGAATAAAATAAGTTATGGCAGTTATAGGTCTGAAATCTAAATGCCATGATATAAAAGGAAATAGAGAAAACACGTACTGCTTGTTAAATAAATAATAACAAAGAACTAACAATGGCGTGCATTGTGCTCCAACTAACAAGAAAATATACTCTATCTGGTTTGCTTTATCGGCTGTCTCACCAGAGTGCGGCAAAGAAAAACGTTTCGAAGTCCCGCTCAGAAAATCAATCTAAGACCATCGGATTTCGCGCTCCAGTGCTCTTCCATTGAGCTACAAATATTAGTTATTCCGACTAAGATTAAACTGAAAGACATAATTTTCTTTGATAAATTCTTTTTTAATGAAAGATGCTTGTTAAATTGCTTTATCTCTTAGCTCGCATAATTATCAGATTAATTATTGTCACGAATATTCATCTCGTTTAAAGGTTAACTTAGTATATGTTATTATTGTGGACTTGCATTTTCCTTTATACACTTTTTTCCTCCACAAAATAATTAAAGCTTCAATGAAGCGTACTATATCATTTCAGGTCCAAAGTAATAACCGTCAGAGCTATTCTAAATGAAAATGGTTTTGGCTCTTAATCGATCAGCGTAGGTTGTTTACTTTGCAACAAACCTGAAAGACGACCTCTAATTAAAGCTTCAATTAAGCGTAAGATATTTCAGGTCCAAAGTGATAACCGTCAGCGTTATTCTAACAGTCTGAATGACTAATTGTTTTGTAAAAGCGAGGTTCATTTTGCACTAAACTAAGAGCGCAGATCCATTTAAGACTTAAATTTTTACAAAAATTAGTAGGTGCCTAGTTCGTTTTAGACAGGCATATCCCCTGGGCACAATTCTCTGAGGTAACATTAACCAGCTTGCATAACACAACTTGTTGGTACTACATTCTATGCGGTAGTTTGTCTAATTATAACGGTTCTCTGTCCTTTTAGGTAACGGAAAGATATGTAAGTCCAAATAATCACTTTCTTAAGCTAGATCATGGTCTTTAATAATTTTTTCCTTGTCAACGGGATATATTTCCCGCAGTCGTTTAGATAGTGTCAAAATTTTCATAACAAAGGTCCGGAAATGTTAAAACGATGCAAATTTGCATTTTTTTGCATCATACCCCGGCACAAGCTCCACCTGCTAGCTTTTTTTAAACGTTTCATGGAGCCGTAGCTTCTCTTATCTGGTGGAAACTCCAGAGAGTTATACTATGTTTGACATTTATAATGCAAGCAACCAGACTGTTGGTCTGATGACCAATTTTGAGTGCCCACCACACAAAGTCACTACGGCCGAGAAAGCCGGCAAGCTGACTGCGTACGTCATTGTTTTTGTGATGTCCTTCATGGGAAATAATCTCATCATTTACATCCTTTTTAAAAGCAAGAATCTGAAACGAAACATCAACCTTTTGGTTCTGAATATGGCCATCTCAGACTTGTTCACGTCAGTATTTATGATTCCTAGAAGAGTTGTACAAATCGCTCTGGAATTACCCTCAGCCAAATGGATTCTCTCTGGAGTAACAGGAGAAATAACTTGCAAGCTGCAGACGTTCATGCAGGATTTTTCCGTTGTGGTCTCAACTCTTACACTGGTTTTAATATCCCTAGAAAGACTAGTGGCTGTCGCATTTCCCCTCCGCGCCAAAATGGTCACATACAGGTTACGGGTGATTATAATCATTTTGTCTTGGTTGGTCAGCGCAGCCATTCATGCTCCATACTTCTACATCTTCAAACTATTTGAATTTAACTCTGAAGTGTACTGCATTGCATCCTGGGAGCCTGCTTTTGAAGAGCCCTCGACTGGGAAATTCTATATCACCTTTCTTTGTATTTCGGTGATTTTAATTCCGTTTAGTCTTTTAGCTGGCATATACACAGTTATAGTGTTAGTTTTGCTAAGGCAAAAGAATATTATAAGGGGCCAAGTTCGCGGAGGAATTTCCCGCGATAAAATGCACAAAAATGTGTTGAGAATGGCGGTGACGATTGTTGTAATATTTGCTATTTGTTGGGCTCCACTCAATATTAATCTGCTTCTTTTGACATTTTTCGGGGAATATCAAAATGCGTGGTGCACCTCATCTGCTTTTGCATTCACTGCTGAGTTCCTTGTGATCGCCAACACCGCTTTCAATCCGTTTATATATTTTTGCTTCTTGGGAATTTATCGCCGTAGTCTGTGCAATGCCATATCTGGTTTATTCCTCCAGTCCAGAGTTCGGAAGGCAATTGTTAGATTCATCCCAAAACGTCGTGAAGCATTTGAGCTGACATCCATTCCCAGAAATGAAGCCGGATTAGTTCAAGTGGTCTCCTCTACGAAATTACACACCGTTTGTGAAAGCAAAGATAGAGTAGTGGAAAGCGAGCAACACCAAGCAACATAGAAGTTTTGACTAGGGCTACTGCTCCAAGTAATGTAAAATGTTGTCTTTAAAAGGAAAAAAAACCCTCAGAGATAGAATTGCGCAAGAAATTTGTATGTAACCAAGCTCAACCACTGTGCTTTGCGCGCCGTTGTTATTTATTATCCGGGAATTGATACTTTTTCTCACAAACCCACGGAACGGCAAAGATAACAACCAATGACTTCTACCCTTACTGCACAGTCTACTGTCCACCGTTAACATAGACCTGTTTATCATCACGGATATCTTGTGTGGCTCTGGTTCTTCATTTTTCACACATTTGCCTCGGTGTAGACCGGCAACGGTGACAAAATATTATTTATGATTGACAATGATCACAAACAATGTAATTGACACTTTTAATCGTTTTCTATATCAAGTTCATTAGGTTTCAGTTCAGTTCAGTTCTTACACGCGTTTGCTAACCAGTTTTATAGAAGTTACACCGAATGATCAATTCAACGGGAAACCGGCGACAGAAGTAAGTTTCAATTAGTTTAGCTTGTACTGTCGGTTTATTATCCACTTTTATAATCGGTCTTGTAAATACTCGAATGTTTCATAATTACATTGCATAATTGTATGTTTCAGATCGAATAATTCCTTCAAATAAACTTGTTGATTATACGATTGATGGTTTCCTGGTGTTTTTGTGTCAATTATCCAACGATCCAAACGCACTAAATAATAAATACTGCCAGCACGGCTAAGCTTACGGACGACTTCAGCACGCCGTCGTACAAAGTGTGAAAGAAAGTGCGAGATTTTAAACCACCACAAAATGGGTTAAGTCTAGAACTGAACAATGTGCATATAAGTCTCGGCCTTAGAAAATTCGAATTTCCTTTACAAACTGCGAAAAACTGCGTCTCATTTAAATTCTCCATTTTTATAATCGCAAATTATCCATATAAGTGCGCGTGTGAAATCATTTGACCGGTGCTTTATCTCGCTTGAATCAACTCGCACGAGTTTCGAGTAACACTTTTTAAGAGAAAGATGTGAACTGTTTTTATCTCGGTACGAGTGGTCAAAATAGTTTGTCATAGTAGTTCAACATCAAGACGAGTATTTGCAACAGAATTGGAAACTAAGCAATTATACATGTTAGTATTGAACTAAATGGTAATTTTAAAATTGTCTTTTTAACAATTTTTTAGTTAGTTTTTCTCTAATTGTTTAAGGAATACTATTCCAGAAATATGTACCGATAATTGATGGGTAAAATCTTATGTTTGTGCAATATGATGGTATTAATAGTGGATTTAGGCATACACTGCAAGTGCTATTATGATCATCTAGCTCAGATATAAGTGAAATATTTAGGCTGAAAAATTGTCGTTATTAAGATATTCATAAAAAAAACTGAGTAAACATGTAGCAAGTTTAACAAAATCGGGAAGTTTCAAGAAACCTAGAGACACGTAATGTGGATTGATTGAGCCATTAAAGGCACATGATAAATAATTTTACTAACTTTGCACCTTAACTTGATAACTTTAGATAGAGGATCACTATAATTATCAACCCACAGTGTACAGCCATATCTAAGATAAGGATAAATAAGAGAAAATAAACACTTAGATAATTGTTGCAGTTGATAAGCAATGCTTTAATTTTGTCAAAACGTCTAGATCTTTGCTAATTTTGCCACAGGTGTAATCAATGGGGTCATGCCAAGTAAGATGGAAGTTGATATAAACAGTAAGGTACTTGATGCCTGAAGCCTACTATAAACAAACATTTGCTACAGTTAACGGTGGATACAAATTACAATTTTCCATTTGACTGGGGATAAAAATGAGATACTGAGTTTAGTAAGGTTTACGGTTAATTTTTTACTGCTCAACCATTTGTAGACAGCAGGTAGATGGTGTAACGATAAGTTTAAGTTAAAAAAAGCCAGCAGTCAAACGTTCAAAGACCGCGAAATCGCTGACTATACCCCGAATCCGCTTATTGTTATATAACCTTTAGTCGCGCGCTCATTGTGATAAGTTCAATCGCACATGCTTATTTTCGCCGCTTGTATATAGAGCTCGGTAATTTATGCCTGCATACTTCTAACGGTATTTTGTCACAGATGGTTGTTTATATCAGTTAATAAAACATCAAGATTGCTTTCAGAGGCCATTAATATTATGTCATCTAAATATAATCTTGTTGAAAAGTAAGCAGTAGACTTGATGAAGTCATTAATAGAAATAAGAAATAAGAGAGGTGCTAATAATGAATGTTGAGGTACACCAGAAGAGTTAAGGTTAAATCTTAGGTAACATTATTGATATGCACTTGCATATGATATGCATATTGCATATTGATATGCACTTGCACCAAAACCAGCTTATTTCTCTTTCTTGTAATCCATAATAATTAAGCTTGTTTAATAAAATGAGGTGTTAACAATATCGAAAACTTTACTTAAGTCTAAGAAACTAAAGGCACCATAGTTTCCCTGACGAAGAAAAGTATCAAGTTCTTCAGTAATATCAAGTAAACAGTTGCATGTTGAATTTTTTGGTCGAAAGCCGTATTGACATAGAGAAAGCAAGTTGCCATTGATTAAATGTTTTTTTCAAGAACTTTGCTAATCGTGGAAAGCATTCAAAGCATTGATATCCCTTCAAGGAGGAACACAAATACAATTTTTAGACTATGCCAGGCTCCCAATTATTAGAGAAGAGCGAAAAAGTGGGTGCGCTAAAAACGGCGAGCAGTCACACATGCTCGCTTGTCCGTTTTTCCGCGTCCACTTTCAGCTCGTCACGACCGACTAGAAGAAGCCCTGATAGGCAAATTAATAACGATCTTCCACGACACGCGCCTTGAATTATTAGAGGAAACAAAGAGGGAAACTTAAAAAAAAAAAAACCAAAAAACTGTGATCAGATAAACTTTCATTGTGCTCTTACAACACACACAAAAAAATACGTTATTCGGATTTAGCAGTATTTTGAGGTCCAAGGGTTTACCTATTTCGAATACAATAAGTTGTAACAGGTGTTGGACTGAAACTTGAACACAGTGGGACTAAAGAAAAGATAGAAAAAAAATATGCTGTTTGCTTTTCGTAATACTAAAAAACGATGATGGTGTGCATTGTGTTCTAACACACGAGAATACATGTATTATTTGCTTTACTTTATCAGCTTTACTTTATCAGAAAAAACATCCAAATCCTGCTCGGAAAGTCAAACCCAAACATCAGAATATCAGATTTCGTGCTCCAAAGTTCTGTTATGAAGCCACAAAAAACTAGCTATGGAATTATTCTGGCTTAGATCAGATTGAAAGACAGGATTTTCATTGATGCACTTTCTTTTTGTTGAAAGATGTTCACTAAAAATAAAAAGCAATCTCTACGAACTGGTACGATTATCAGTTTTATCAGAATCCCGATCATTCAAAGGCGTAGTATGCATATGCATATATATTATCACTATGGACATGTATTGCTCCTTAGACGTTTTCTTCATTCACGGTTAGAAATTGAAAACAGTTTCGACCATTTTTAATCGATCAGCGTAGGTTGTTTACCTTGCAACAAAGCTGATTCCACCTAAAAATTCTTTCCTTAGCGGCTCCACGTGAAGCCCTCGTACAACGCTTAACGTTGTGCCCGCGGCACGCTGCACCTAAGTTCGGCACTCTAGCATTCGCTTTTAATCATATTCTACCAGTGTTTCCTGAGGCACACGAGTGGAATTTTCAAGTTGCGCTCGCAATCGCGCCGACACATTACCTTATCCCTCCCCTTTCCAGTTACTTAATGGCTAAACTTGTGCCGCATTCCAGTTGGCCGCGGATGTTAATAGTAGCACCTTGTACGGACGTACGGTCGAATACCAAACCAAATTTTTCGGCTTGATGGTTACTACCATTTCTTATAAGTATGCTGCGCGCCCTTTGCGCGCTGTGAGTTCCCTGATATGTTTGGAGAGAGCAGCTAAAATAGTGCGTGAACATCGAGCAGGCCCAACGGCGACATTGATCTCCTTTCAATGATAACCTATATTTTCAGATCGTGCTGCTTTTTAATTTGCTAACCTGAAAAAGTGAATTAACCTTGCCATTATCTATCTAATTAATAACGTTTACTATCTACAGTCTTTCCTGTGACTCTCCATTCAAATTGCAGATACGAGCAGGCACAACGACGACATCGATCTCCTTTCAATGATAAACCATATTTTCAGATCGTGCTGCTTTTTAATTATGATAACCTGAAAAAGTAAATTAACCTTGCCATTATCTATCTAATTAATAACGTTTACTATCTACAGTCTTTCTTGTGACTCTCCATTCAAATGCAGATACGTTTTTGCTTCAGCTTCAATTCATCTTTACTAGCTGAAGATAATTTTTTTTTGACGCCTTAAAAGATCTTGTTTGTTTACATGTAATGGCGTGGTAATCCACGAGTTGGTTTCAACAAAAGTAAAGAACTTTGATGATATATAACTCTGTTATCTCCATTTATCTCCAGCCAAATTTTTCCTATATCAACGAAAACTTATCGCTTTATAGCATGTGTAGGATTTGGGGGTGGAAGGAATTGGGAACAGTCGCTTTTCCGATATACGCGGGCAACAAGGTCGTGATCCGAAGCCAAAGCAAACTTTTGAAAACTTCAAAGTGAAGTAGAATTTTTAGCCACTTGCACCAAGAAATATCAATAAAAATTAATGCAGATATAAGCTCATTGAGCAGCGTGACAAGGCCGTCAAACACTTGCTTAACCATGGCACATTACTAGAAAGTCTTAGAAGAAAGAGAAAGAGATTCTGGACATTGACGACTTAATAGGGACCTTTAGCAGTTAGGACGGCAACGCCAAGGAAGCAAATGAATTCATATTTTTAGTTGAAAATTTCGCAAATGACTGAATGTGTTTACCATCTCTTACCGCGCCACAAGTTAACCTCAGCCTAGCGTATGAGAGCGGCGTTGAGCTCCAAATGGAAACTTAAATAATCTACTGTCGGGGTTTCCTTTCTCGGACCACGTGAATTTTGATGATTTCACGTTGTTATTTTGCAGAGGACGACTAAGAAATGTTTTAAAACGCATATGCTGAGCTATTGTTCTGCCCATTAGATCTTCTATTTTGCCAAGTCCTCGTTGCCGTCGCAGTCGTGGTTTGCTAAAGGTCCCTAATAGGGACCATACTGAAGCAGTCAGGACAGCAGCGCCAAGGAAGACTTCGATTAAAAAATAAATTTCTGCCTTTAATTAGAATTTCAAAAATGGTGCATGGGTTTACTGTCTCATACGGCACCACGCCTTAACTTCAGCATAACGTATAAAAGAAACGTTGAGTTCCAAGTGGAAATAAAAACAATTTGCCATCGCGGTTTCGGTTCGCAGACGACGCAAATTGTGGTTATTTCACGTTGTTGTTTTGCATAGGACGGCTAAAGGCCTATTTACACGGTACGACTTTGTCGCATGCGACAAGCTTACGACAGGCCTACGACATGACTTAGGACAATTTACACGCGCACGACATTTTCACCTACGACATGCCAAAATCGCGTGCAATTCCACTCGTTTCGGCCGCGGTCATTGTTTCAATAATTTGCAAGAGAAGGAAAAGAACCTCTTCCTCGCTCCACAGTGATATCATATTCTCTGTTTCCTCATCTGAGAATGTATTTTTCGCTTTGGAAGCAGTCTTCGACTTTCCGGAGGCGACTTCCTCTGCCATTTTGACGCAAGAAAATTTCACCTTCCTCCCCTACTCAGTAGAAATTTGTCACAAAATACGTCATTTTCCATCAATTTTGGCTACGATTGTCGCAGCGTTTTAAAACATGTTTTAAAATCCTACGACATTTTTCGTGACGTGCACGACAGTCGTAAGCGAGTGGTAGGTTTGATTTACACGATACAATTCGTGTCGTAGGCCTGTCGTAAGCTTGTCGCATGCGACAAAGTCGTACCGTGTAAATAGGCCTTAAGAAATGTACAAAGTTTTTAAACGCACGTGCTGAGCTATTGTTCTGCCGATTAGGTCTTTTGTTTTTCCATGTCCTCGTTGCCGTCGCACCGGAACCGAAATACAAAGTTTTTCAACGCACGTGCTGAGCTATTGTTCTGCCAATTAGGTCTTTTGTTTTTCCAAGTCCTGGTTGCCGTCGCAACCGCGTAGAGACTCCCGTGCCAGTCCTACTCTGTCACTTTACACGAGGAGTGGACCGCTCGTTTCATCACCCAACCTATATTAGCCCTGGTATTTCTAAGTCACGCGCGCAATCGCGCATGCTGTTTTGCGCATGCTATCACTGTTTCCCTTGTGCTTACGTAATGGTAAGATTTGATCCCGCAATTCAGTTGGTTGCGCAAACTAAAAGTTGCACCTTGTACGTACGGACGTACAGTCATACCCTACCAAATTTTTCGGCTGGATTGGTTACCACTATTTTTGTTAACATGGGGCTACGCTGCGTACACTTCGCGTGAGCCCTGCTTTTATGTTCAGGAAGTTATGAAATCCCACAACAGTCTAGCTGACAGACCATTGGTCCCTTGGGCCTTGTTAGGAAAGTCACTCTTTCAGATATGGGTTGAAGTGATTTGATCTCAGAGACTGCTAGAACTGCTGTTATTTGTTCCTGTACTATTCGATTTTCTTTTCGCGTAGTAGCTTTATACAACTTTATACATTTACCAAAGCTTTAGACTATCGAATATTTTATAAAAAGCCTGTGAGTCGCATCGAGTGATATAGTTTTTGAACAGAAATTGTTTGCAATGTAAATAGCGGACGACTAAAATTATTTACATTATTTTTCGAAGATTGAATAACAAATGACAGCTGCCAATTCCAAGGAAACATATAAACAATAACCGTCATTAGGATAGGAAGTATGCGAAAATTACGGAATTGTTTGGCAAAGCCGCTGTCACATAAAATGAATCTCTTTAAATATTTACAAAGATTAAGGCCAAAGAGACAAAGATAGAATTACAATTTTAGCTTTCAATGAAGCCACCAAATTTAAACTTTCAGTTTTCTTTTCTGAGTTCTATGCGTGAGTAGCCAACGTGACTTCTCTTAGTTCATCTGATGACATGCTTTGGACATTCCACGATTGCCCACGCAATGGACAGAAACATGAATTAATGTCGCACTTGGGAGAGCAACAACCAAATAAACTCTTCAGGCCTTCTCGGTAATTACCGCTGAATATAAAACAGATACATGGGTTGATGGCACAATTCGCGTAAGCCATGAATCTTGCAAAGAAAGCAAAATGCTGTATGCTGCAGCTTGGCTTAGGAGGTTTGTGCCATACAAAAAAGTTCAAAAACGCAAAAATGTTGAACGGAGCCCAGCACAATGCAAATCCCATAACGATGGCTAGGACCATCTGAAGCACGCTTCTGTCCCTCTTCATTCGTTTTTCAAGTTCTTCTGCCCTCACTGATTCCCCTCCTGGTATCTTTTGAGCCCTGAGATTCAGGATGATGATGGAATAAAGTATTGACATCAACGCGAAAGGAATCACCGCCAATAATAGAAACATTGCTACATAGTAGCTCGCTTCAGAGGATGATTCTCCGAAGGCTTCCTCCCACTGCAGAGCACATCTTAGTAGTCCTTCCGAGTAGTCAAGTTTGCGGGCAAAGAAGTATGGGGAATGAAGAGCCATGGCAACAATCCACGTCGATAATATAAAATACGGGCAAAGCTTGGCGCTGACAACTGGTCGACGGAGAGGAAACACTACGGCTCCAAATCGATCCACTGCTATCAAGACCAATGACTGTATAGATACAGCGTTGGAGACGTCTTGTAAGAAGTACACCAGTTTACAAAGCGCCGAACCAAAATGTCCATCTATGAGCCAGTAGCCGAGGTACAATCGTGTGAGAATCCTCGGGACAGCAAATATTGGAAGAATAATGTCGGACATAGCCATGTTAACGATGAGGTAGTTGATGGTTCTTCTCATGGATTTTACTTTGAACACGATTGATCCGATAAGAATATTTCCAGTGAGAGATACAACGATTATAACACAGTATGCCAAGGTTTTAGCCACCCTTTCCGCTGTGGGATATTCTGAGCAATTAATAGATGTAGCAGTTCCGTTAGCTGTGGCGTTATTGCTCATCTTGACTGGCCAATTGCTTTGAGCTACGATTTTATATTCGGGTTCAAGAACGCCGATCGACTATGCTCGTAAAGATTGAAAGACGTGTGGCAGGCCATTAGGACACGAGCGACTATAAAAGAAACGTTGTTTGGTTTTCTGAATGTTTACCAACCAAAGTCAATATTGGTATCCGCCCATGTCCAAAAATTTCAGATTAAATTAAAATTGTGTTTAAACTTGTAAGGGATGGGAGATCACATTCTAGAAACAAATTAACGATCAATCGCGATTAGCAGCAAAAAAAAAAATGCTTTTCAAAGTTTTAATAAACCTTAGCTTCCGCTGTTTTCCCACTTATTGCTCTTTTCCTATAAAGTTAAAAAAAAAGCATTTAAACAATATGCATACTCTTGTTTCCTCGCTGAGGGGCGCCCAACCACAGGTACATTTTAAATTATGTTTGCGTAAGGTCGCTTTTCTTTAATTGGTTTGACAAGGACATAGGGCTTTTTGTTCTTCCAGTTTACAGAAAAACCATGGATAAGCCATTGCTTGCGTTAAACTAAAAATAAAGCAATGGCACACAATGAAAATTTACGTAAATCCAAGAAAGGCAGGCCTATTTTGTTGACACTTATCACCTAATACTTTGAGATTACTAGTGAATATGTGTTAAATGTGTAAATATTTTAAAAATGTTTACTGCCACGCGGAATCGTTTACATCAACTTAAAAAAGAATCCAGATATTTCACCTTTTTGAAAACTCAAATTTGGAAGCACATCCTTCCTGTGAGAGGAAAAGTTATAAAAATGCGCTTTATTTATCAAAGGAATCGACCGGCGGATATACGTCAGCGACACCTCGAACGTGCAGTACTCTTTCTTCACCTGTTCTTCATTTTTGTAGTCATATTTTAGTCGGTTCTAAAGAAAAACACAATTTAGAAATCAATAACTGCTACTTTGTTTCTTGTGCTTCTGCCGGTGTGTATTTTTCATTCGCAATTTTCATCCCTTAGCTAAACGTGCTCAAATTGTGGCATTTAAATACTGCTTTTGATGTTAAAATTCTGTAATTTTCTGCATAAAACACAGCATTAGCTTTGGATAATTTCAAAAGGGTCCAATTTGTCAGAAGTTGCTTTTCGAGTGGAAAGCTGATTTAGAAGGTTTATGATACTTCTGCAACAACAAATAACCAGAAAAGTTGGCAATTCAAATTTATTCATATCTTACTTGGTGATTGGCATTCACAACTAATACCCCCTTGGCGTTAAGAAAATAAAAACAAAGCATAAGAAAGATAGGCCCAGTTCAAATGTTCAACCTTAAATGAACCGAACCTAATTTTCAACTGACCCTGTCGACTAGAACGATAAAAGATCAACTTCGATTCATACGTGTACCTTTCACATGCCGAACCAAATGCACACACTATGCATACATTAGTTTTGAAATTAATTCCCACAATCTCGTTTGTCTCTAGGTACATGGTTTGTGTGCACAGTAGACTAAATTTGTGAAAAAAAAATGCTGATTACATTGTGGTGGATGGCAGTAAAATAATTTATGTTAATGAATGGCTGAGTCAGACGGATGAAGAGGGTAAGGGAGTGGGGAATTATACGACGTAAACAAAGAGGAAAAGGAAGCCAGTTTCGAAAGCCAAATGGTCTCCATGAGCACTTGATGATGTTATTTATATCATTGTGAGTAACAGCACATATATAAAATTAAAACCTATTGTCACAAATACCAAGCATCAGAAAAAATAAACAGCTGCATGAAGAAATTTTAAATAAGTTTGGAGTGGGAGTCTGCTTAGGATAGACGTTTTTTTTTTTATTTTTTATTTCATGTCAAACTAAACATTATTATTTTTACTATAGTTACCGAGAAAATTTTTGTTAAAATATGGAAAAGCGTGTGACTTATTTACAAAAACGTATTTTCGAACTGAATTCTTTGGCTCGCCAAACAGTGGATATCCAATTTTAACATGTCAACAGAAATGACTCCCCAACGCTTTCTTGCGGAAAAACATCCTGGTCCTTGGATTTCAATCGCGAAAACATCTGATTTCTGTTGCACGTGGAGATCTTTATTCTCTGTCTGCTTTTGAGTAGAATGTTTATTTGTGCGGTCAAATCTAATAAGGGATTAATTCGCTCAAAGAAACATGGTCCATTTCGAGTTGTCGCGCCCTATTCGGTTTACGATGAGATCAAGCTAAAACGAAATAGCTTCGGTAAAATAGTGCATTTCATAACGTTTCTATTGATATTTAGTTTGTGGTGGTTATGCTTCAAATAGCGTGTTAATTTTTTTTTGCACCCGCGAAGGACTACACTTTGATTTATCTGCGAATCAAGATAAGGCAGGCAGCCTCGACGCAAAAAACTGCAACTGAAATCAAGGGATTTCAAGCAGATGAAAGATTTGGCAAGTGGCTCACCACCCTGTTTAAAAGTAGTTGGCAAGGCGAAAAAGAAAGGCTCTTTATTATATTAAAAACGAAGAAAGCAGTAATCAAAAAAGCGCTGCACCGGTATCGCAGAGGTCATGGGTTCGAATCCAGTACAGGCCTGAATTTTTTCCAGGCCTTATTTTCGCTACTGCTCAAGTAGTGTTTATTACTGCGAGGATCCCTCTCATATTCACGGAACATTGTCCACAAATATGGCGTCTGTGACCGTGTGCTTATTAGAGAAGACTGGAACTGAGTTAAATGCCTGTCGAAAAATGCCGCCGAGCGGTCCTTGGGTTAGTCCGAAGGCGACAAAACTCAAATTTGCTGAAAGTAAACAGTTTTTCCCGTCGTTTTGATGCCAAAACATACAATAATTTCTTCGATGTTCGTTTGAAAAGAGACAGCAGAGGAAATAGTAAAAGGGAAGGTAAGGTTTGTTTACCATTCGTATCGTATTTTTGACCCGGATAGTCTTTTAAATATTTCTTCTTATCCGAGAAATTTTGTTACGAAGATAAACTTCAAAGCATTGAATAGAACTCTATGATTTTTGGTTTTACTAATTTTGCATTCTTTTCTTAGTTTTTAATGAGTTAATATTTGGGATGCCGCCCAAAAAGAACACGCGCTTTAACTTGGCTCAATACATGAAAGATTGGAAGGTTGCAAGAGAGAAAGCTGTTAATGAAAATCGCAAGCTATTGGCATAGTACAAAAAAGTCCAACGAGCCCAGGAAAAGGCGAGATAACATATTTAATTTGTCATTTTAACGTAAATTAGGGTAAAATTTCTGCACAGCCCCATACTACATTATGCATTCAGTTCTTGGACAGAGAAAACGATGAAAAAAACAATACATTGCCATAGGGAAAACAGATTTGTTTGACAATAGTTTGGGGCTGTGCGGAAATTTTACCTAAATTAGTATTGCTGCTTTGAGAATGTTTTATATTTCGAATATTAGAGAATTTTTGCATCAAAGTATTTTGGGCAAGTGGTGGAAGTGCGAGCACAGGGAGGCTTGTATTTCAATTTGACAAGGTAGGAAATTCAAAATAATAATAATAATAATAATAATAATAATAATAATAGTAATAATAATAGTAACGATAATGATAATTTTAATTATAAACTGGGTAATGGTTTGTGCATCCCTGCTGTACCTCCTTACACAAACATTCGTTAATACCCCCCGCCCCACCAGCTTTTTATCTGTCTGAACTTTAAATGAACTTTAAAAATTAACCAATCAGTGCATAAGAAAACACATGTTTAATTAATGCTTTCAGTTGGCCACAGTAGGGGAAGGATGCAAGGACATAACAAATAAATTAGAAAATATTCCTGTGAGTATACTCTTGATTCCTCATTGTGGTTGTTTTACCAGTACTGGTAAGTGTGCAGCAAAAAACTGCTGTGCACAAATTCTGACTGTAGGTTTTCATCAGTTAGTGGATGGATGAAATTTTATGCCAATTTTTGATAAAAACATTACTGGAAAAATATTCAATTTTGTGAGAAGAAAAAATATTTTTACAAGTTACATTTTGGTGGACTGGCCACTTAACACAGAGCCAGTACCAGAATGACAGCCAGTGCCAGGCTTCTATGCCAGTACCTGGGCAAGAAACCTGAGTGCGTGCCTGTGTTCATTTGGTCAGTCAGAAGACAGTCATAAATGACAGTGTCTCAAAACTATAAACATCAAAATATCAAATGTAAGATATGGCAAGATACAATTGTTGTGTTCAGATCTGTTTTGTTTACAATTTTGGTCTCGTCCAACCACTTCTTATTTTAATAAATGTGTTACTACTTAGTGTCTAATTTAGTGATATTTATAGACACAGGGACAGGTATCTCAGGCACGAACAAGAAGCCCTACTGCACTTGTTGATGGAGAATCATCACTGGGACCAAGAATTGCAAGGAAAAGGAGGCATGAGACTATTGAAGCTGCTGCCAGAATGCATGAAAGCACAAATGAACATTCTTCAGCCACTTTTGAGGGATTGTTTGACACTTTACAGAAAAGATGCAAATTGGATACTCTCACAAATTGTGTGACAGGGAACAAGCAGTTGACTAATAGTGTAGTTTCTAAAGAGTATAGGAAAAATGTTTTAAAATTTGAAAAGTCAGATGACAACATTGTACAAAGTATTGCAACATATTATGCAAGTGGTGTAATGGGTAAACAAAAGTACAAAAGTGTTAGACTAGTGCTTTCAATGAAATCAAATGAAAGAAAACCAGGGCAAAAAACAAGCATTTCAATTTGTAAAGGTTGTAAGGTACCAAAGCTTCTCACTTATAGTAACCATGTGGAACAGGTAACAAAGATTTGATATTGGAACTGTTCATGAAATTGACCCAGACCATCTAGAGGGCTTAAAACTGAAAACCAAGTGAATGGTGCATATAGAGACTTAAGACAATACCTTGCAATGCTTGCCAAATTTTATCTCTCTAAGAATACAAAAGAAAGCTTGAAAGGCTGTACAGAATCAACAGGCACTTTTCAAATTGCTCTTGGAGGTGACGGATGCCTATTTGGCAAGAATGAGAGTGCATGTTCTTTCTTGGTCAGTTTCCTCAATGTTGGAAGAAGGGTGGCATCAAGGTATGATAACTTTCTAATTTTTGGTGCCAACTGTGATAAAAGTTCTCCTGTTACAAAGAAATATGTGAGGTTATTATTACTGCAAATTACAGAGTTTGAAAGAGCTGAGTATGAATTGCCATGTTGGCAGGTGAATTGACTATTAGTGCTGAGTATTTCTCACCCTTTGCAAATGTTTCATTAGCTGATTTTAGGCATGTGAAAGGTACATTTGGAATTGACAGGTCAAACAAGAGGAAGCCCTGGATTTACCAGTAAAGAGTAAATGTTATCAACAAGGTTGAAGAATTTAAAAAAAAGAGTAGCACTTGAAAAAATTTATATGTAATGTTGATTTGGCTGCCTCAGCAAGGTTTTCAGCAGCCAGAAGCTGCATGCAAAAATGTAGCCTACATCCCAGAAAGGGTATTCAGTGATCCTCTTATTGCTATTGTGGTCTGTTAAAGGCATGTCCTGGGGAAGTTAAGTGCTGTTTCTGTGGAGACCCAATCATAAAATTTGTTGAGCATAGTGTTAAGGATGGAAATACTGCTCCACAGCTTTTGTAATTTAAAGCTTAATCTGTATACAATCTGTTTCAAAACCACTGTTGACTTGGGATTATATTATTATATATTGTATTAGCAGCAGGTAGGACCTTTAAGATAGTGTTGAATAAATTACACTGATCACCCTTCTGTTGTGTGGTTTTGTTTAAAATTTGCCCCAACCAAACGAATCAAACTGATTGGAACTCAAACTAAACGGCATTCCAACATTGTTTCAAATATTGATGTAGCACGTTTATGGTATTTTAATAGGATTCACTGGTAACTACGCAGAGTGGAGTACAATTAAGGCTAGGCAAGTAACTTAAATCGGCCGAGTGCATAATGTTACGACTACTTATAATTACAAACAGCCTGAAATATACTCCATTCAGTCGAGTTCTCATTACTTATATGCTTACGGGAAGGTGTAGCCAAATTCATTTGTGAATTTGTAATGAGCTTTCACCACTTCTTGCTGTGTCCTCTTGATAAATGTGATGGTGAAAGGCGTTTCAGAACTTATGGAAACTTTTGAAGTTCCTTTACATGTTCCTTTACTCTTCTTCATTGGGAATTCTCGGACTGAGTCGCTGCAGAGCTCGGATAACTAGGCAAAATCTCGAATAAGTCTTTTCTCTCGGTGATAGTAGATTACATCTCCGTGTTTTTATTTTTTGTGCGAAACACCATAAGCGGAACGAGCCTTTTTTACATTTTATAAAATTAAGGAAAAAATTTACGAGGATATCGCCCGTTTGAACTCTGAGGCCCAAGCGCTTCGGGCCTTCATTCTTAGGCTTAGGCCTCTATGGAGCATGTTTAGCCACACCTTTATTTCTCCTTCGAGGAATGCTGACACTGGAATTCGTGATATTTTAGCTCGTTTCAAAGAGCTTTGACCCACACAGTATTTTTCAAAAAATTGAAGTGAGAGCTGTTTTCACTTCTCCTTCAAACAAGAAGAAATTACCGACTTCATTACGTAGTGGACGCAGGGCCTCAGTGGCGTTCAATATAGTATTTTCAGCCGTCATTTTGAAAACTGTTTTGTACTTTTATTTGTATTTCCGTTGTTCAATTTCAAACAACAGCGGGCGGCAAAGTTCCGCTTCACAGCACGCGCCAGCCCGGCATGATAAGTGAATTTACGATCCGAAAATGTTCGCGACGCCGCGGCCGAAGGCACATAACAGTGAGTTTACGATGCTGTGATTCTAGAAGACGCCGCGATCTGTCTTGGTGGTCGCGTCGGGCCTGGCGGCTCGCATGAAAAATAGTTTACGATTCCGGTCACGACGACGCGGCGAATCCTATTGGCGGGAAAATTTCACAATGCGCCAGTTTGAGATCAGCTCACCAAACATCGCAGCCACACAAGCAAGCACATTACGTGGAAAGTTTCTTAGCCTTTTTTCTTTTGTAATAAGAAATTATGCCAAAGTTTATAGAGAGATGGGTTTTAAGACTTTCTTTAAGTTATACAAATCATTCTTATAAAAGCCAAATTCAGCTTGGCATTCATCGTCAGACGTCATGTCGAGTTCAAAAGCTTCGTAATTCCAGTAAGGAAAGTCAGGGCTTTTTGCAGTGTTGATATCGTACAGCAAAACAAATTCTTCATATTTTATGACACTTGAATCGTACGCATAAGGAAGGGAGATCCTGGTCTCCCTTAACTTTGGCATAATTTCCTATTACAAAAGAAAAAAGGCTAAGAAACATTCCACGTACTGTGCATGCTCGTGTGGCTGCGATGTTTGGTGAGCTGATCTCAAACTAGCGCATTGTGAAATTTTCCCGCCAATAGGATTCGCCGCGTCGTCGTGACCGGAATCGATCGTAAACTATTTTACATGCAAGCTGCCAGGCCCGACGCGACCACCAAGACAGACCGTGGCGTCTTCTAGAATCACAGCATCGTAAACTCACACTAACGATTAAACACACCGTGGATACTCCGAGACCTGCAATCTCTGCAATGGTATAGCCGCGGTCTGAAAGAATTGAGCGAAGGGCTACCCAGAGTTCTTAGGAAATCGGTTCCTCTGTCACTGCTTCTCTGGCAAGAGATGGACTGGTGCGTTTTTTTGTGTACGTAAATGTTAACTTAGAAATCAAAAATGTTTCCTAAACCTTCGACCGGTTATTCCAAGCATTCTCCCACCATTCAATGTTTCTAGTGAACCGACGACAAGAGCGAGACGCAGTGGTCTTGCTGTTTCGTTGAGATGAAATCAGCAGTAGAAGAAGAAAACAAGGATTCAATACTTTCCTCCTCCGAGCTCTAAGTTATTCCACACCGTCAGCATGTTTAGGCGTTATCTTCATTTATGGATGGCACTGACGAGAAGAAATTCTGATGAGTTGTTTCCCGTACTTTCTTGAGGCATCTCCGCCATGTTAAATCCTTTGGTTCGACTCAATTAGTTCAACAGTAATCCGTGACTGTAATGGTTTATTTTACACCTCAGCATTTAGGTTGGACTTAATTAAGTTCGACGTCTGAATCAACTGTCGGCGAACTTAGTTACTTGGGTCGGAACAAATATAGTTCGACGTTTCAAACGAGCGTAAAGTTTTTTTCAGTAAAGCCTCCTACACCTTAATAATGCAATCGTTTGTCACTTTTTTCCATATTAAGTATTAAAATTTTGCATCAGCCCAAATTGTTCCAAAAATAAGGGTAAACGTCCTGTTTTCCCAGTGAAATAAAAACATGTAGATTGTAATAAAAAATTTTCTTGCGGTCTTGTATGACTTGCCGCAGTAATTCATCTGAGATTTTCTTTCAAGTAAAATCAAGCATTTCTTTAAAACATAATCGAAGGTGGCTCATAATACTTTTAGGAAAATCGATTTGCACAACGAAAGCACGGATCGTAATGATAAAATAGCTAGATTGCCAAGAAATAGAAAAGATAAATGGCGCTTTGATAGGCAAAGTGTAAGGCACCAGAAAAAAATTACTGTAAAATTATATCATAAAGAGTGTTAACATCCAAATGCACTTTCAACGTAGTTAAACCCACCTGATCTATACTTGTGATCTGGAGATGAAACTTGAGTGCCTCGTTGTTCAATCCTTACGAAATGTCAAATACTATATCGTAGCTCTGAAGACTAATCTTTTCAAACTACAGACAGTTTCAATTGAAATATACTTATGCGTGAGCCCCCATAAAAGTATACATGTGAGATACTAAAAAAAATTGCAAAGTCTGTAAAGTGAAAATTTTATGATTTTACTTTTACTTTAAGTCAATTTTTAGTTTTAATGGATTCGGTCTCACCTTGGTTCGGTCTCACCTTGATTCATAAACACCTGTCATATTTAATTTGCTAGAAATCATTCTATCAATTACTCCTTTCGCCTAAATATCATTTTGCCGTTCGTTTCTCTTATTTCGCTTCGCATGTGAAATACGCTTTTTCGCTTTTTAAAAAGCAAAAGGATCGAGGAAAACCTTGCGGGAAACTCTGAAAAGTGAGATCATCAAATCAACTGAACGGCTAAAGGCTGCAAGATATTTGCTTCATCTGGCCGCACTTATCATTTCATAACTTTTGTGGAAACTAAATGTCAACTTCACCTTAATTATCCTGTAGGATTATATTTCATCCCAAGATCAATGAGTTTTAGAAGCTGTATTTGATAGCTAAAATTTGTAGGGAAAAAAAAGGAGCTAACGAAATAGATAGTGATTCCCAGTAACACGTTTGTCTTCTTAATATGTTTCATAATTTCGCAGTGTCATGTTACCTGTGAATCAATATTTGTACGGATATATTTTTTCTAAAGTTTAAATTCATAAAGAGATATGAATTCAAATTAATCATTTTTCTGGTTTCTTGAATTTTTTTCGCAACCTTCTATAAGAGCTCTTTCCAGGAGAATATGAAATGTCTCTGTTATATGGCGCTCATCTTCGAGATTTTGCGATAGCGATGATAAATGTTTTGAAATATCAAGGATTTTGAACTTGCAAATGAATGTACTCTTTCTCATCCCGAGGCACACTTCTATTGCTCCGGTATCTACCAGCTTGAACCCTTGATGGAGCATATTTGTCACCTTTTTCACGAGGCTGTTTGACATTACAAGGTGACAAACATGGCCAAAAAAGTTTGTAGAGTCCATTTCGATAGTTTTCACAGAAGGTAAAGTAAATGACAGGATTTACCGACGAATTTAGAAATGTCAAATAGAGCGCCCATTCTCCAAAGGTTTCCATGTAACAAGGAATTTCTATGTTTAAGTCCTTCTTTATCCAAATGTAAGTTACCAAATACGTGTAAACTATAAATGGAAACCAGCAGAAGCCGAATGCAAGGACGATTGCTAGCAATATGTTAAGGATGTTTCTGTCGCGCCTTCGTTTTCGCCTTCGTCCAATCGAAGTTTGATCACCAGGAACCGGCGTTCGCTTGATTCTAATAAGAATTACGGTGTAAAAGGCGATCACGACGACGGAAGGAATCATCAAAGCCATAATCGTGTGGACAAGGGATTCTATTTCTGTCGCCTTTTTCGGATCTGATACCAACCGGTCCCAGCTATGATGACATGATAGACCTTCTTCCACAATGGAAAATTCAAATGTGAAAAAATCCGTTATATACATCAAAAAAGCTAAAACCCAAGTAGACAGTATCATCACCGCACACCGTTTCTTTGGAATGGTATCAAGAAGGAATGGACGAGAGATGGCGTTGTAACGTTCAATAGCGATCACGAGCAGCGTCAACAATGACACAGCCACGGTGACATCTTGTAAAAAGTACACCACCTTGCATAACACTAGACCTGTAGTTCCCCCAATCAACCAAGATCCATGGTAGGTGTGAATCTCAGTCAAGACCCTTGGAATAACGACAACTGAGCACAGGAAATCAGAAACAGCCATGTTAACTATCAGAAAATTAACTGTAGTTCTCATTTTTCGGTCTCGGTAAACGACAATGGCAACCATTGTGTTACCAATCATCGATGTTGTCAGGATAAGAGCGCAGACGATGGTCCTACAAATGTCTGCAATTGTTTCATCCATGAAGTTACAAGGGAGAGAGGTATTGGTCCCGTTCTCATTCTTGATATGTGTGTCCGTATTCATGTTAAAAAGGCACGTGACGTAGCAATTTGTTACCGGGAATACAGGCGTTAAATGAAATAAAATAATATCCAACCTTTGTTAATTCACTTGTACTGTTAACATACATGGTAAGACAAAATACGGGAAAGAAGGCCTAATTTATTTTAAACTTAGCCAATCAAAAAGAAGTGTACACTGCTTAAGCAAACTTTTAATCTAAGTTCTGTCAGACAGCTGCAGTTATCGGAAGGGCTTCATTTGAATCATTGTAAATATCCCTCTTCCGAAATTCTAGGTAAATTTCCATCGGTAAATTATAGCATGATCTGGAAGCAAACACACAGAGACCCCTGTTGCCAGGGTATCCATGAGAAAATATAACACTGGCAATTTGGAGGATCTGCTTCCTTTTGTTATTAGTTTTTCCGTAGCCAGATGATCCTGGCGGAGTCGAGGTGAATGATTACCTATAACTTGAAAACTGTTTAGCCTTTCCGAATAATTTACATCTAAATGGGTTAATGGGTAGAGAAAATTAATCATCGACAGGATCTCATCAGAGTAAGGTTTAAAAATATTTTTACAAATTGATCTAAATCCTGGAAAATTTATACGTGATATCCTCGTATGTTATACTAATTAATTTCAAATGGTTAAAACTTTCTATTATTATACTGCTGGGTTTGAAGTGCAGAAGACTTAGACATCTTCAAAAAGTGGCGGAGTCGTCAAAGGATGATTTGGGAGATATTCGAATCGCACGCGAGCAGTCGTTTCACCGCGCGCAACACACCAAGAATTACATGCAAACTGCCAATTTTAAACCTCTCATCTTTCAAAATGTCAAATTAACTCTTAAGGGTATTCCTTAAAATTTTGCAGAGACGAGCTCACTAGCTTTCTTCCAAGAAGCAAGTCATTTTACAATGAGAGATGAATAATAAAGACAAAGCGTAGACGCTTTCAAATGATTCAAATTTATATAACCTTTTGCCTAAACAACTTCTGATTGCTTTTGTTGAAAAAGCAGTTCTGTCATTCCCAACACAACTTTGAACTTGTCTGAAAGTTATCAAACTCGAGTCATCTTGAAAGTTCCCTTCACTCTTAGAGCCAAACTTCTTATGAAATTTGTACAAATATTGAATGCAAGTTGCACAGCTGAAACTAGAAAAAGGATCAGGGAAAAAATTAAATAAGTGTTTTTAATAAACAAACGTCATTGAATTGTTTTGGTTAAGTGTTCTGGCTAGCCAATGGGAACTAACAGATGGTTTGTCATAGGTAATGGCAAACAAGGAGGTGGAAAGGTGTTTAGCAGAACAAAACAACTTGATATTTAAATTCTGTTGACTAAATATCATATTTCTTGCTTTTCAGAATCAGTATTTACCTCTGAAAATTTTGCTCGTCCTCACGAGTACAATTTTAGAAAGGTTATGTTCTGACTAATTTTTTTTTAATTGCAGTTTCCAAGAGTTTATTCTCACATGAAATTAAACTCATTTTATCTCTCTCTTATATTTCCCTTGAACTGTGGGAGAATGCTGATGAACAAACAAGGCTATGCTGAAGAAAATTTGTTAAAAAAAATGCTGCTCTACAACTCTTACAATAAATCACAACTTGTCGAAATTGCGTAGTTCGACATCTGAACATTGAACCACTCCGTTCCCGGGCCAAAACCCGCGTTTAGTCCCTTTAAACGGCTTTGTGGCTTTTTTGTTCAAATTTGATGGTTTCTTAATGGAGAGAGGTAAGCAGTGGCGGATGAACCTTTTAAGTCCTTGTCTATAATTTTCACTGAACACAAAGTAAATGACGGGGTTCACAGATGACTGCAGATACGCCATAATCAATGCTATTTTCCCATAGATTTCCAAACCACAAGGAAAGTTGTGTTGGTCCTTGTTGAAATAACCGAAAATAAATGTATATGTGTAAATTATGAAGGGAAACCAACAAACACCGAACGATATAACCACTGCAAGCAAGATACGAATTACACTTCGGTTACGCTTCCGTTGACGTTTTAATCCTAAGGAACTTACATCATCTGGAACAGAAATGCGTCTAATTTTCCTTAGGATTAATGAATAGAAGGTGGTTACAACGATGAATGGAATTATCAAGGCCAGATTTGTATTCAAAAGGAACTCAATTGTGGTGGCTTTGGCTGGATTTGCCACCAGATCTTCCCAACTATGGGAGCAAATTGATTCTTCCTCCTCGACGATCAACTTAAACGAGAGCAAATCTGTGATGTACATAAGAAACGCCACCAACCAAGTAGAAAGTATCATAAATGCACATCGCTTATCTGGAGCGGGGTTTGCCACGACTGGACAAGAAACGGCGTAAAAACGCTCAATTGCAATCATCAGGAGGCTTAGTAGAGACACGGCAACTGTAACGTCTTGTAAAAAGTGAACTATTCTGCATGAGGCGTCACCCATCTCTCCAGTAATAAACCATGCCTCTGAATAGGTAAATATGCGTGTGATACTTTTCGGAACAACGAGGATAGTATTTAAGAGATCCGAAACAGCCATATTCACAATCAGAAAGTTCACGGTTGTTTTCATCCTTCGGCCTCTGTACACCACAATAGCCACCATTGTGTTGCCCATGAGAGATGTTAAGAAGATAAAAGCAAAGCCGACGACTTGCCAAATTACCGAGGATGTGTTGTTAAGATCGTAACAAGCAGAATCAAGATCGGATTCATTATTGCCCCTGAATGCTGTGATATTTTCGTGAGACATAACTTGGGCTACCTAAAACTTTGACAATGAGTTTACGGTTATTATGATTTATCTTACGAAACGGGTGTCTTAAAATTCAGAGCAAAGAGAGTCTAGTCTTCCTACTAAGGAATTTGCATAAAGTACTGTAGAACCTAACGCACTGTACAAACCAATAGCAAAGATGCTTGTATTAGTTTGTAAATAAACTTAATGAAATTCCATACAGTTTTGACAGATGCTACCGGTCATATCACTCAGCCAAGTCGCAATATTTCCGCTATTTAATATTGCCTAAGGTAGTAAGTTTCGATTTAACAGATAAGAAATCTGTAGGTTGATCTTTAAATCGCGGGCAGGTTTTAATCCATCATAATTTTGGAACCTTCTCTGATACAAATGATTATTGCTGCGCACGTGCTCTTGAGACGCAAAATAAACTTGAGAGCAAAATTTGTAAAAATAGAATTTGGAATTGTAGATAAGAATGCGGATGAACACCAATCTAAAAACGTTGTTGAGGGTCAAAAATCATTTCAATTAGTCCTAAGTCCTCATTTTATTCAAGTCTTGTCATTTTATTTTACATATATTCATTTTTTTGAAAAGAGAAATTGAAATTCGAGGTAATTTGATCACTTCCATAGCGGCTAAATGGAAAAAAAAAAAACGGAAACAGCTCTTTCAAATCCGTATCCTGTTTTTCTCAATCAAATTTTTAGGTTTTTCACTTGAAATGTACGTTGAGAAATTTGTTTAGTGGCCGATGTGTTCTACTCAAAATTTTTAACTTAAATAAAAGCGCGTTTTGTACTCCTGACCTAATTACTTTTCCGATGTACGGTTTGAGGTTTTATCATAATTATCAAGATAACGAACCGATTGCCTCTTCAGTTTACTTTCCTGGGTCAATAGAACAAACAACATCGGTTATGAGCAAAATTTCGTCAAAAAGTTTGATATATTTCTTAGTTTAAAGTATTGCATTTTTAACCTCAAAGAAACAATCAAGTGAATAAAATTTTTGGTAGGATCGTTGACAATTTTTTTAATGATTAAAGAGTACTTGAAAGCCAAGTGAGTTAATCTGTGTTTATGACAATCAAAGGGTTAGTGATAAAAACTTTCAAAGAAAATATTCCTTTTTTTTTCCCGTCAGATCGGCATGAGGGCAACAAAACCAAACGACGAATAAGGTTCACGTATTCGTTAAGTAAGGGCATAGTGCTTGCTGGGTATGAATGAAGGTTACGGGTAAGGGTACGCCCTTGCTGAGTGACCTCTCCTTAACGTGAAGTGCGGTCTCACCAAAGCGTCGTTATGCCGCCCTATGTCGACTTCCAACTTAGATGCTACTAACATGTAATACTTACACAAGGTCGAACTAAGTATCGACACTGTTTATTTTTTTGGGTCCTTGTTGGATCGGTTATAGGTGTGTCTGCTTTCTGACCATCAAAGAATTCTTAACTATAACTAGGTTAGTACAGAGCGAGTTTGATTTTGGGAGTGTGGGATGACGCGATATTTTTGTTTTGATTAACTCCAAATAAGTTCGGCGATGTGACTTCACCAAAGGCAAAGTCTTTCAGTTTGAAGGCGAAGCGAGTTGACGTTGCAAGTTGGTTGCGAGATGCACTCTGCAAGAAAAAAATTTCCAAAAGAACAGAAGCAGAGCTTGATGCGTAGCCTTATCTTTCTAAGCCTATTTTTTATCGGCGAAAGAAAGATATGGTTTTGCGATGGTTTCCTGTCTTTCACCCCTAGTTGTAAAGGTCAGCTCCGACTTGGCTTATGTCCTTTGGTAAGTAACTGAATGTGAGAAGCACGAGTTATGGATTTGAGTTTCACGAAAATACATATATTCTACATAGAGCCTTTACTACCTGAAAAGTATGAAACTGTTAGCGCGTCGAAATATGATTTTTATCCTCATGCAATTTTCGCAAATGCTCGTCCTTTTTATTGAGGGCTATAACGTTTGTCCCGCTGAAATATTACAGGCTCGATGTCCACTGTTTTACTATTGGACAATAATAAACTTGTAGTTGCACGCGCACCAGCATGTAAAGGCCTTTTCTGTCTTGAAGCTCCTGACAAGATGATTCATGATGCAATTTAATTAAAATATGGCATTTTTTGATTACAACTGTCTCCGTTTCTCATCATCACCCACCATTAAAATTATCCACATGAATGAATGAATGAATGAATGAATGAATGAATGCATTGCAAATCCTGACGTATTTTCATAAATCATCATGTTTCTGTTTTGGTCTTTCCAGACAATCGCCTCATTTTCTTTGTCTCAAAGTATGATACCGCCAGGAGATCTCTTCACCCACAGATAAGGAGACAAAACATGTTGTAAATCAATTACCATTATTCTTATTAAAGAGTTACACACACACTTTTTTTACACACACACTTTATTTTTTCTTTTTCTTACAAAATAATTTAGATTATGTTGACCCGCAGATAGCAAATTTGCTATTCGAGGCGGGTCAATCATCAACAAACATTATTTACAATATATAAAGAAAATTAAAAACTAAATAGTTAGATATTGTTAAATTATAAAGAGAAGCATAACTGGTAAATACATCAATAGTTGTTCAATAAAGTATAGAAGCAAATAAATTAGTACTGAAAGCAATCGGATCAATTTGTTTTAATTATGCAGTCCTTAAGTTTAGAGGAGATCTTTTCAACATCAAGATAAGAATCTTCATTATCTAGTATCTGAAATAAAGACGTTTTTATTTGTTTATTAAAGGAATGTTTTGATAACGTTTTGAATTCTTTCGGTATCTTATTCCAAATTTTGACACCAACACGCGAGAAAGCCTTTTTTTGTAGGTTAAGTCTAGAGTACTTTGTACTAAAGAGCTGCGATTTGGATGATCGAGTATTGTAGGTATGAATATGAGATGTTTTAGTAAATAGTTTCAAAATATTAATGGGAGCCCTCTGGTTGTGCACGTCAAACATAAGTTTACTTACGGCTTCATAATATAGAAACGTAACAGGCAGAATTTTTGCTTTGGCAAATAAAGGGATGGCATGCTCTCTTCGATCGGTGAAATAGATTAAGCGCAAAACTCGCTTTTGAAGAACTAAAATCTTGTTTAAATAAGCATTTGACGCATTGCCCCAGGCAAGGAGTCCATAAGTTATATAAGGTAGAATTAATGAATTGTAAATATTTACAAGGACAGTAGAAGGAACGAAGTACCTCAGCTTTGCAATCATCCCTATTGTTTTACTTATTTTTACGATAACAGAGTCAACATGGTTTTTCCATGACAAATTTTGATCATTTGATATAACTTTTTTGCTCTAAACTAACTCTTCGGTTTGTCTCACAATCTAAAATACCTATTTGTGGAGAAAAATGCATTTTTTTCTGACGAGGACGAAAAATTAAGAAATTTGATTTTTTTGTATTCAATGTCAACCTATTTGTAGTTAACCAGTCATGTACGTTATTCAACTCTACATTAACCGTTTGCTCGATCGCCTTAAGATTCTTATCAGCATAAAGTATATTAGTATCATCCGCAAAGAGATAATTTTGATCTTAATGTCAGAAGAATGCACATGCAGATACCCCTTTTCCGTCATGGATGTCCAAGATCTCCTTCACTGGGGGGTCATAGACGCTTATATCTTCAAATCTTCTCCTTTAAAAAAAATAAAGAGGACGAAATTAAAATATCATATCTTGGAGCGTTACATTTTTACAAATAGTTGATTTTCATTCATAGGAATACATCAAAACTCTCTTTTCGTGCCACATGCATGCCTCCATATGCTCGGCCCTGGAGGTTGATGACGTTTTTTATCTTCAAAACTGTCTGAGTCTTCTTTAAAAAAATCGGTGTTGTTTTTTTTCGAAAAATACAAGAGGAAGCGTCTTAATTTTCATGGGAAAAAAGGCCCCTTCGAATTCAAAACCTTCTTTTATCTATATATAAGTACACCTTTTTGAGGATTGTCCGAAAGCTTTGTGTGGTGTGAAACATCAAAATTTCATTGGGTTTTTCAAATCTTTCAAATCTGTATCTTTCGAAACTAGGGTTTATGTAGACGATTCAAAGATCTCGAAAGATGTAAAATTTCTTTCTTTCTTTATGTCCGATCGAAGATCAGATTTTGTGCAAACTTCTAGTACTTTTGAGCCAAAATTGACCCGATTTCTAGGGTTTATTTTTATGCTTTTGTTCAGAATGGTGCAACATAATGCCATAACTTCATAGTTAGGGCAGGAAAAACAAATAGTTTCTCTTCGACATGCCGACTTACAGAGAATATTTCAGGGTTCTGTTTTGGGCTTTTGTAAACCAAGGCCGAATAGATCTCAAAATTATCACCAAGCTAATGAGGTACAAATGCAGGCTTTTTCAAAAACTGAAATGGTACTTATTAGCCAAATCGTGTTACTGATCAATTTCAACATGTTATGGGCAACGTGGAGAAAAATCATTCATTTATCCCTGACTGCCGAAAACAGAGCAAGAACGAAGAGCGAAACCTTAGCAAATTGGATTTACCGAGAGGTACCATATAACTCATATCCGTTTTGATTCGAATTTTCCTGACAATGATATAAAACTTAAGCCTTATCTAGACTCTTTAGACAGTAGAAACATTTTTTTCTCTCTTCCATGTTAAATATCATAATAGATTCTACAGGTTCTTATCTTTTTTTAAACTTGTTTTGATACAGTTTTCGCTACACACATCCAAAAAGTTAAGTGTTTCCATGTGATTAATTTTTTAACAGTCTGGCTCAATTTTTCATTTTCCAGGGTACGCCCTGTCATTATCTCTTTTGGCGGGTTTCCCATCCAAGCACCATCAATAAAGTTATGAGCCTAAAGGTATCCGTCTACCTTTATTAACGATCGGCCAAACTTGTTTGATTTCAAAAGGAAATTTCAGATTTAGTGGAATTGAACAGTCAGTAATAATGAAGTTTGTCTTTATTGCTTTTATTACGGTCGATAAAAAGGCTCTGACTAGTTTGTTGTGACATGACCACAGTTGCAACCATTTCACCTCAGACTCATTGTGCACTGGCAGGGGTAAGAGGTGGAGGATAGAGGAAGGGTTAACTGATAAAATTGTCGTTCGAAAATGAAATCAGTGCTCGGTTAAATGATCAATTTGATTTCGAGATGAACTCAGTATCTCTCGGCCGTGTCGACCGTCGCAAGTTGCAGTGAACGCTGGAGATCAATAACCGTATCATTTAGCTGACGTCACTGCCTGTAATCTTACATTTTTGCCCACAGATAATTTATAGGCGCTTTTAATCTTTATGCGTGAATCGTCATGCGTCTTCTTTTTTTTTTGTAGAATTCTAGACCACGGGAGATAGGAAATTCATTTGAGAAGAGAAGATGTTGTTTGCTCCACCACATTTGCCCTTCAATAGCAGGATTTCTAGTCTCACATGGCTACGCTTATCTTAATATGTTATAATCTTAACTAATAAAATACTATAATCTCTAGTCTTAATTCACGGGTCACACTAAAATTAAGGAGCGGATCAATTAACCATATACCTCTCCTTCTTTTCTACTCTTTTCGTTTGGAAAAATTAAAGTCATCGCTGTCAGTAATTTTTCTCAGACCTGCCAGTGTTCGAGCAAAAGGTAACAATTTTTTAGCAAAGCTAAAAATAAATTTCTCTCTTAAAAAACAAATATTACTGATTTCGTGCTATGCTGTTGTTGTGTCTCACTATTTACTTTGGTCGCATCGTTTCATTTTAAATCTCAAGAATTTTCATGAGTTTGCCTTATAAATAAGACTTTTCATTACCTTAGCCATCCTAGAAGTAGTTTCTTTCGGAAATTATCTGTCACTTTGTCATAAAACCCAACTGGTCGAAAACGGTTTTAATAAACAAAGAGCACTTGATATTTCAGATACCGTTATGAAATCGGAAATTGTTGTGACATGAGTCTAAACAAGAGCAGCAAATCTCATAATCGCTCAAACTTTTGAAAGTACAGAGTATATTGAAAAAAATTGGCGAGGTCAACAGCCGCTTTGACCACGAATCATGATGCTACAATATAAACTCACAGTGTTTCTTACTCTATGCATTTTATTTTCATTCGTTATTGAAAACGAATGTTATATCGGCATAGTAGACTTTAGCACATACAGGACTGTGACGAACTTTGCAGATGAGTGTGTCAAATGGAAGCACCTCAAACATATGCCTATGAGGCGCTTGAAAAAACTTAAAAGGGTAAGTATCGGAAGTTCTCTTGAGCAGAGGCGTAAAAAAAAGGGTAGTTTGGGTGTGATTCTGTTCAATGCAACAGTTTTGATTGTCCAATTCGAAAAACTGTTAAATTTTTTCTGATCCTTCCATCCGTTTGTGAGGTTTTACATCACTTGAAGAACTGATGGAAATCCGAATCGCCTCCATAGGAGCCAATGGGACAATTATTCTGTTTTTATGAATTAAATGAAACAAGTTTCAAAAACGATTGTGCTATAAAGTTTTCAAAAAGGTGTTAAGGAAGCTATAACATCTGCATATCCTTTAAAGACTATGAGTCAGTCGGAATAGTTTCGATCTTATTCAAATGTTGGATATCTCTTTCTTTGAAATCACAGTTCAGACTTGAGGATGAAGTTTGCTTCCAAATTAAACAGAAGTATTGCCCTTCAGAAACTGATCAGCTTACCAAGGAAGGAAATGAACAGAGAACTGTACCACTTCATTAAAGAGTCAATGAATATAATTAAAAATAATACTGAAAACAATATTTATAATGTTCCCTACTTGTATGTATTAGTCGTGATCATGGATTTTGACAAAAAAAGTTGAAGCCAAATAAAAATCACAGAAACATCTGTGAAGATCTTTCTTTCTATTTTTTTTGTGGGGTGTTCGGGCAACCAGTGAGAGGAAAAGAACTTAGGTAAAATAGAAAGCTGGCAAAGGATATTAGCTAGCTAAACACTTCGCCCGACTGAAACAACCGAGATGAAGGCATTCAGTTTTGTTTATCTATGTTCTGATTAACTGGGGGATAAGTTCGTTTATCATGTACACTCGCCAACCAGCAATTTCTGATGTTGGAGGAAACTGGTTTTGCTCTCCTTAAAGGAGTTGGCATTTCGAAAGCTCTGTCGAAGATTTCGAGCCTTCTTACGCCCCAGCATCTACAAAAACAGATATTTATTTGTCAGCATAATGGAGACAGGCTTCTTCACACTGTCCACTGTCATAATTGATTGGAGAGTTTACTTCCCTTTGCAAATATTTTATGCTTTACTCAAAGTTGTTAATGCTGTGTACTTAGCTTTGGTATCATAAAGTTAAGTTTCAAGCGTTGAACAGTCATTTTGGAAAATCATAAGCAAGAGTCCAGAACAGGAAAAGGGATGCATGGTAAAATCGTCTGTATTTTAGTGCTTGCTGTGGGAATTTTCCTCGCAAGCATACACATGGCAGAATCATACATCTCTGTTACAGATAAGGATGAAGAAAAATTCATACAGAGAAACTTAGGAGAAGGGAAAAGGCTACCGAGTAAAAGATTTGAGGAAATGCGCGAGAAAGAAGCGCGAAAATTCAGAAAGAATCAGGTAAAAATAGATATCTTTATTAAAAAGTGAATATTGCCTGGTCAGAGAAATTGATTCGTTTAAAGAATTTGTTTTCTCGTCGGTAGGTTTACGTAGGGCGTTTATTAGAACAAGAAACGAGAAATATGAACTATGACTTTTACCATAATAATTGAATAAAGCCTGTTGAAAATAGCCCTTTATAGTTCATAGTAGCTGCAAATATGTTTATAAATAAAACGGCTTAAGGCACACGGAAAGGGAATTAATTTTTATGTGGGCTTCAAACGTCTTTCTTAGTCTTTTCACTAGAATTACTGTTCTGGAAAAAATTCAAACGGTTATTTTTATCTACTTGTAAACACTTACCTCCATCAAGGTGCAAGGAACTGAAATTCTATGCTGTTTTAGTGAAAAGAATGATAATACTTTAGCATTAAGAATAATACTTACACTTAAATTTGTAACAGTAATTACTAAGATAATAACTACTGCAGTAATTTGGGATTCGTTTGAATCAGAAGGGAGGTCTCTAACTTGCATTATTAATTGTTATGCATATCCGGTTATAGGTGATCCGGTTATATGTGTGAGATATCCTTTTTATCAGAGGTGAGATTGATAAATTCATCGCGGGTAATAGTGCAACATTTTAATGCACCTCTTTGCTATAATCCTTTTAAACAGGGCTTTTTGCTTGATGTCTGAGTTCGTGATTGTTCCCTGAGTCAAACATTTACAAGAAGAGATAGCGACGATGGAAGATATCGCAATCAAGGACTTTGGAACTTTATTGAAATACATCCTTGGTTTATTTTATTGTTTATCAGTTTTTGACGTTATATCCAATGGCTTGAAAAAAAAATTCTTGCTTCAATAAGTCTTGTACATGGTCACTTGAAAATCATGGAATTAAAACAACTCCACGAACTGTGAAATATTGACTTTGTTTAATTATGAAACCCACTGAGCCGGTTATTTATACGAGATCTAACCTATACCACGGTCTTACCCAATCATTGGGCCTGAGACTTTCTTAAAAGAGGGTTGATTGAGTTCATTAACTATCCTTTCACTGTTAGCTTCAGCCATCTTTGCGCTGTTCACTAAAATAAATGTTCAGATAAAAGGTTCAGCAAAAGTAAGGATTGTTTAGGACGCGCTTTTTTTAAACAGCAGCTAAACTTTCTCTAGATAATCAGGCCTTTGAGGCTCTCTGTCTCTTGGCATGAATCTGCATATAGGCCTTATTTCAAGCATGAGACTCGTTTTTTCTTTATGTATGAGTCCTTTCCTTAATTCATAGAAAGCCTTCTGTGGAAATTCGTATCACCTTTTGCAGTTTTTTGTTTCTGCCGTGTCGTTTTTTTAAGTTGTATCTATTTCCACACTTATGTATCAAGGAGAGACTTTTAAAAGCATCTGTGACCTTCTAAATACCAGTGAGCTTGGTGATAGACTCTAAAATCTAACTGGACCCTGCCACATCAAGGATTATAACTTAGTAAACCCATGCCGCCACTGCAACGGTCAACTTTAAAACTGAAAACCAGCACATTTTCCGAGAGAACAAGGAAATTTTACAGTTGTTCCCCACGCGTGTCTTACAGTCATGTGATTGCAATGGTACGCTTCATTCATGTTTCTCAGCTTAATTGATGTACTCTCACTTGGAAAGTGCCATAATTTTGTTAAAAATATTCTTCCTACCTTAAAATGTATAGAAATGAAACTTTTCCATTTTGGGAAAAATTTGTGAGTCAGACCTATATGCGTTAAAACCAGATGAAAGAATCCCTTTCATATATTTCAAAGGTGGAAAAGGATCAGCTTTAAGTAATATTTATTAACTCAGATATTTGGACACTGCGTAAGTTCAGTGGTATTCTGGATATCATAGCCACGTTTTACATATCTTAGAACATAACTGCCATGATCGGCGATAGAACATTTTGCAACTCAGGAACACTCTATTCTAGTCACTCTCTTTTCAACTCCTCGGCTGTGCTGTGTAAATAGCCAACTGGTTTGCCCTCTGCCAGTTGGGGTTATCAAGCACTTCATGTTTGTAATATAACATTAACTCTAAAGAGTCCCGTGGGAACGAGCAAATAAAGTATGTATGTATCTATCTATTTATTCAAAATGCGAAGAAGTCGGATCATTCTGGTGTGACCAACTAAAAAGAAACATAGATCTCAAAATTGTCTGCTAGATATGGATGAAGAACGTGCTATATATTTGTTACTCTCCCCCATTTTCATTCCTGTCCACAACTATTATATGTGCGCGTGGTAACTGTGTTATAATTAAGTCGGGAAACGTGAGGAAAAGCATCATTCATTATACATTGAATAAGCTTGGGAGTTAGGTCTGCTGCTCATGACACACATCATATCCTGATCGTGGACAGTCGCCATACAAGATTTAAGTTTCCATTTGGAACTCATCACCGCTCACAAATGTTATGCTGAGTTGAGGTGTGGCGCAATAAGAAACTGTAAACACATCTTTCCATTTAAAAAAACTCTAACTAAAACGGAGAAAAGATCATTTTAATCGAAATATTTCTCGGCGTTGCGGTTCTGATTGCTTAACATCTCTATCGATAACTCAAAGAAACAAATTCTAGTTAAATACGCTTGCGAAATTGAATGGCTCCTTAGAGCTCAGAACAGGTGACCATATGTCAATATTTGGTTAAGTAAAGAGTTAAAGGATGTATCATCAGTTAAAAGAAAATACTAATACTCAAACAATCAAATTGCGGTGTTTTTCATTACATCTTCCTTCGACAGGTTCAGGAGTGTGATTGGCCTTAAGCAAATCTGAAAATTTGTGAACTTGAGAATGGTACTCTCACGTGGGCACGCATGAATTAAATATAGAGTTAACCAATATATCATTGGTAGACTACCGATAACGGAGTCATCTGAAGGGCAAATCAAAACCTCTGATATTACACTTTCCAGGCTGTTTGTTCCATTAAAAATAACATTTCTCCTACATCTAGCATGAGCTTATTATTAAGAGAGTGAGGTCAGACTAATTGCTTTTTCCATTGTGGTTCTACTCTCTCAAGCCAAGAAGGATGACTCGAAAGCTTACTGCTTGTGCTATGGGTTTCGTTTTCATATCATCTATAATAGTACAGAATTCAGCTTATTTAACAATCATAGAGAGAGGACTTCGCGCATGTAAAAGCAGTGCTAATTCAAACGAAGATGACAGCAGAGTTCGAAGATGGGGATGGTGGCCCCCTGTAATAACTCAGGTTTGAAAAGTTTCTAGTTACCCTTTCCTTCGACAGTTCCAATGGACTTTAATGTAGCGAGGCTCACACTTCAATTTTGTGTAAGCGTCCTTTACGGAAGTTTCGAACATCTCTAATTTCGTCATTTTTAGGATTCTAAACCCTACATGGGAAGAAGATGTACATTGCATGATTAATTCTTCACCGACAATTATCCTCGTTTCAAAGAAGTACTGAAATACGACACTCTTAATACCACTAAGCCTGCTTTATTCGTGGCCTTATTTTGGGTGAAAAAAAAAAAAAGAATCGCAGAGGGAAGAAAAGCCGGCGGGGCAAGTGACAAAAAACCAGGTCCCCCCTTAGCTCAAAGTCTGGATCCGCCACTGCTCATGTATGGCAATATGTTGATTTTTCTTATTGTGTTCGTCAAGATTAATCATTTATTAAGGATTTATTGCAACTTACAAAAATGCACAATAAAAAATCCAAAGTTATCCATTTTGGAATCGATTTTTCCTATTGATAAAGCTTGCCATGCAGGTGCAAATCTGAAATGTTGAATCTTCATAGTCATCTAGGTGATTTGGTCTTTATAGTAAAGTGAATTTAAAATAGTTCCTAAGCTATAATCAAGCTTTAGAGTGTAAGGGAAAAGTTACTCCTATTTCTTTTCTTTTTCCAGTATTGAAGTTAAGCAATGGTTAGAGATTTTGCAATTAGCAATTATTTGACCAGGCTTTTTTCGACAAACTCTCTGACAAGACCAATATTGCTCATTTTCCAAAGATCTTGGACTGTCAGTGACTAAGTTTTACAGTTCTGAGAGAGAGCGGGAACCTTATAGTATGAAGTCTTTCGAACTTCATGACTTATTCCGGCTGTCATTTTTTTTTTGCCCCATTATGTGTTATCGTGGTATAGCATATTAACCAAGACAATACCCTCTTAATACTGACTTTC